TCAGGATGGAGCAGAAGTTGGGAAGGACAACTTAGCTTATGGCGTAAATGGTGCTGGCGATTTGGAGGGAGAAGGAAAAGAGGTGCTAATGGACTTTGCTACTTGTACATGGCTATACTAAACCATCGATCCTTTACTATGTATTCTGTTGCTTTTTCAGCTGATGGTCCCTTGACGTCATCACATGATTGCACTCAAAGTGTAGGTGCCCAATCCCACCAATATAATCGAATACACAAAAGCACTCGAGATATCTCTTTCTTCCTGACAACTCACTCAGCAATTGCGGCCCAGCGGCGACATTTGTGGCATTCTAGACCCACACAAGCAAATTCATCATCAGAAGGGTATGAATATGTAGATCGATCAGGCCGCATAGATAGTGCTAGGGCGACAGCCTGCAACCGCAGGGATGGCCAACAAAAAGGAATCACGGCGAGGCGATCATTGCGCGGGACCGTGCTGCCTACATTAGCCCAGACAGATGGATGGATGCAAACAGACCCTACGGATATCAACAATATATCGTACACTATGCAGGGCGTATCTTTGTACATAGAATCGTGATGCATCATGCCTACATAACAAAATGACATTTTTTTACCTAATTCAACTCATTTTCAATTAGACACTAGAGTGCGAAATGCCGTTCCGTCCTGCTGCGCCGTCCGTTTGGTGGACCCGGTTTCCTTTTCCCTCCCCCTCTATAGGTAGGCTCTCCCTCGCTCGAGTCGCTAGCTTGGCTGCTGCGAACCGCCGTGCATTCTTTTTTCTTTCGATCGGCATCGTCGTGGTCGCGACGCATTCCTGCCTAGGCAGGGCAAATTACATGGGAGGATGAGCAGTTTCGAGGCGTCAAAGTCTGGCGCTTCGTCTGATCTTTGACCTTGTTAGCCTTGTCCACCACCTTGTGGGGGGTGGGCATGCCGACGGCAATAACCTCGAGTTTTCTCAATGCTAACGCGTCGTTAGACTGATTGAACCAACGGCACCGAGTGGTAGCGTGCTTCTAGTGATAGTAGTAGCCTTTGCTTAGCAACAATAAAGTGCCCGTAGTGCAGTAATGGGAATGCTTTTTTTTTCCCCCTCTCGCGGGCGGAGGAGCCAATTTGGACCTGGCGCATGAAGCCGAGCGGCCGACTAAAGCTCAGCTGTCCTCCATTACAGTAATAATAGGTAATCAATCCTGCTCTCTCAACGCCGTTCCACTGTCACACAATAGCGTACCGTACCTACTTGAAGGGGCGCTGCCAAGGTGAACAAGAAAGAGGGAGAGAGAGAGAAACCCGCAAGACTTGAAGCACATGAACGCGCCCTATCTACCCGTACTCTACACAGTACATTAGTTTGTCACTAGGTAGGTATTTACCCAAGCTAGGCCGCAGCCTTTTTACAGCGCGTTGTATTTTCCCTCCAATTCAGGATAGAAACCACCTAGTAGACAGTATTCATCATGTACAAGATATCCTACACTGCACGTTCAGTTGATTGATTGATCTTTCAGTAGTCCCAAGTGATGACCTCAGTTGGTCGGTGTTTGGCTGCCCATCTTCCGTCAGATCAATGGACGAAGCGACCTTGCCCCCCGGTTCGTCTTTTGTCGTCAACATACGTACACAGAACACGCAACATAGCACAAAACAGCTAAGCACAGCCCGCTGCAACAGCTGTCGTGCGCTCGCGATGCGGTTATGAGCCGGTTACACCTTTGGAGACGACAAGCATTTCGTTTCCCATGAAGTTCGGACGTAACCGGGGTCACAGCCAGTACAAACGAGGTACATCGAGGAGCCAAAGAGATTGGCGAAGTAACCTGGTCATCTAGCCCGTGCCAAGCCCCTACTCTACACCCTGGCTTCGTCGCCAAACCAGGGTCCCTATCCTACCCGGCGCGCCGATGGAGTGCTGCTTGTCAACCCGCTGCAAAAAGAGCTTGGTTGCTTGGCTTGTGAGTCTGCCACTACTACTACTACTGATACTACCAAAACTACCTCACCTTTCGACACACTAGACTGCATACTCACCTAGTCTCTATGGCAGATCGGAGATGGTCCAATAGCTTGCTGTTCATGAAAATAATGTTGCAGCCGCTAACCCAATGACATGACATATCCGGGTATTGCCCACTCGATCGTGCAAAGCAGTGTCCCACCATCCAGCAGCAATAGCAGCAACTTCCAGCAGCAGCAAGTCAAGCAAGTCATTCTGCTCAAACGTACAGTTCGTTTCATGGCCCATGCATTTACACTTTAGATTGCCGGCCGAGTCCCGCTAATCACCGTCGTTTTCATTGGCGCGCCCATACGGACGCCCATTCCATCCGTCTTCAGGGTGATGCGGTCCTGGCTGTCATTGCCTTGTCAAGCATGCCGAATGACTATGGCCGCAAGAAGAAGAAAAATAGAAGCCCAAAGCGGCCAACTTACTCGTCGCGACTGGATACACGACATCACGGCTTGGGATATTGCTGTTCGCGCCGCTGTTCAAAAGTTCCATCGTCGTCGAGCCCCGTTCATTGTCTAAACACACAGAAAGAGGCAGATGGGACGAACAGACTCTCTTCTATTTCCCCAATCGCGCTAGGTTCCCTTCCCTTCGTTCCTCCTGACTATGTAGGCTATGTACTATGTAAGCCATGTACTATGTAGGCATCTGAGAGCTAATGTACCGGCAACGAGTCTCCGGTTCCTCCATGAGCACACTCCCACAGCACTCAACTGATCCTTTGGTTGGTCATACAGTCCAAGTACACAATGCTACATGGACTCTTGCCCTATACAGCATCGTGCCATCGTACCAGGCCCTAGGAGGAGAGCACAGGCTAGTTGATGATGTAAGTCCAGCTATCCCTGTCTGTCATGACCCTCCCGTTCCTCGTCCTGGGCGCTGCTTCTTTCTGGGGGGGCGTCGTTTCTTTTCTTTTACCCTTTCCACCTACGCCCAACATCCTTGTACATCATTAGCCAAAGACATCATGGTCGATCGACTCAGGGAACTTTTTCCTCTCCCCTGTGCCGAGCTTCCTAGACTTGTACGTATACATGGGTACAAGCCATAGTTTGTACGTATGTAGCTGACCTGACCCACTCGCGTCCCGTCCGTCCAGGATAGATCAAAGACTATCTCTCATGCCATGGAAACCATGGCATACTTTCTACCTACGCACATACCTGCTGCATACATTTCATTACCCAAGCAGAGCATATATACTTTGCATACTCTGTTTACACAGGCAAAGTATCTAGATAGATGGCAGATACCTTCTACCCATCGGTCTTTCCCTGCCTAGGTACTGTACCTCGAGTCCCAGAAAATTATGGTTTCCCCCATCACTCTGACTCTATTTTCCTCATCCAAACCATGACCCTTGCATTGATTTGCAGTTGTGAGACATGATTAAATCTCAACGGCCGGCTTATAGCTCATCCCTGTGAAGATAGATGCCATCTTCCTAACACTACTACTTGGACACCGTCAAGGCCGACGACTTCAACCACCTCTGGCGGGCAGTCTCACCCTGCACGTGCGCACAGATTCCTGGGGAGAGCCGAGAAAAACAAAAAAGAAAAGCAGTACCTACTCGACGACAGGCAAGAGAGGCTCCGGACAATTTTGCATTTCTGCCCACCGCCACGCCAATCAGCGAGAGCATGCACACTAGGCGCCACGGGAAAAGAAACGCGGTGAACCTCACAACATGAACTACTAGGCACAGGTACTTGTATACTTGCAAGGTCTCGACCCTTTTCACCTTGTATCTTCTTCTTAACGACAAGCCCCCATCATCCTATCTATCTACTTACTTACTTCATCGTCCCGCTGGACACCACAAGTAACGCCTCTTGCCTTTCATTCTTTACTTCCACATTTCTTCAAATTCTCCCCTTTGCCCGCTCCAGCTTGTTCCAAAGTTGAAAAACAACGTCTCACACATCTTCTACCTCCTGGATCCGTTTGTCGTGAGTCTTGTAGATTCTTTTCTGCCTTCTTTCTCTACGCATCCATCCGGTGCCTTTCTCTGGTTCGTCACCTCCGCCCTCGTTTTGGGTTGGCACTCAACGTCTCGTTTCCCTACCATTCATGTTTCTGGTTCCGTCATATACGATACCAACTTTGCGGGAAGCAGACGCGAACCATTCGGGAGCTCGGGAGGCTGCCGATTCTGATTTGCAGTCCTTGCTAACACACTTTCATGCGAACAGGTTCGGGCTGCCTGCATCCACCAACGAACCATTTCTCCACTCGCCATCGACGTAATTGGCCCGAGTGTTGAGATTGTCAGTCATCGATCTTGGAAACGCTTTGTTCAACAGGCATCAGGTAAGATCTGAATTACTACACTTTCTTATGTGCGGATGCGCGAGAGAGGAGAAGGGCGAGACTGTATGCAGATTTTGATACAGGCAGCTTAAAAGGAGCATCACGGTGGACTAACGCATCATTGTATAGTTTATTCAAGGGCTCTACTCAATAGGTGGAGTAGGATAGTTTTGGACGCTTCCATCTTCCGAGACTCGATTCACTCAGTTTGTCAGCGACTTTTCAGAACCAATGAGCGCCATTCTGGCATGATTCTCTGTGTGTCTGCTGTGTCATCAAAGAGCGAGCGGGCCTGTGTAGAAGGGCATTCGGCACTATTAATCTCCCACACAACTTCAGAAACGTGTGCAGTCATACCCTGAGCTTTGGTTGGAATTCAGCGTTGATCGTCTCTCAGCCAGCGAATCTGACAACGCCAACGGCCATTCCAGTCGGCCTGTTTCACCTGCCAGCCAACAGAAGCAACACCATCTCATTCACTATCCAATCCCAACTCCGCTTCAGCCAGACTGAACCGTTCTCTCGCAATCTGATTAATCAATAGTCCTGGAGACCATAACTTGGACCCTTGAAGAACATTCCCATTTCTGCAACATCGTTCCCGAAACAAGTGTTGCATCCAGACTGCCCTTGGATTAGACACGTCAATACTCTTGGGAACGTCGATAAAATCAGCCTGAATGTCTACCTCCAAGTTTGGGTACAGCTTTGAGGTGAGTCCCTCGAAGAAGGAACTAAGCATTTGGTCCAACGACCTGGCCCAACCCAGCCCGTGGCAGGTTTCGGAAGCATGAGAGTCCTGACAGCTTCTACAGCCACACTTCCACCCAGATAGGCCAATTATCATCGACCCCGACGTCGAGTCTCCAGAGACAGTGGCCTTGAGATACGAGGAAGAAGCCGCGAGAGCCAGTGGTGGAGGCCAGCGTGGGGATTCCCCTGGTCTCCTCAACTCATCTACGTATTCCAAGTCGCAGCCTCCCCAAATGCATGGTTTGTCCCCCGCTGTATCCTCAATATTCAATGAGGGCTATTGCTGATGGTAATCCGGCGCGATCTGTAGGATTTGAGTCGTCAAGGGCGTACCAGGACTCAACATATCACTATCCAGCTCAGTCGTTTCCATCGCACCAAAATGCCAATGTGGCTGCTCAACTCAATCAAATGGCCTTTGCTGCCAATAGCTCAGCAGCTCCGTATGTCGCCCCGGTTTTGCCGACATTGCTCTCTGCTTGTGAGCCCAGCTCTGGTATGAGCGGTACCAAGGTGATGGTGAAGGTCTCTGTCCCGTATGACTTGCTCGCAGGGAGCCACAACTTTTATCTCGTCTTTGGTCAGCAGAAGTGCGAGGCGCACGCTGTGAGAGATCACCAGGATGCAAGCGGATGTGGATACGTAGTCAGCGGCGTTGCACCACATTTCAACGACACGAGGAGCGCGGCAATCAACGTGCCTTTATCATTGTTGATTGAAACAAGTGATGCCCAAGCCCCTGCTACTCTCGAGGTCGGCACGTTTACTTATCATGACAGCCAGATGGGGCCAGCTGATCCAATGGGAGACGCTATCACGCGCTCCTCCAAGGTACCTCCATCACCTGAACACCGCGAGGATACCCCAAAGCAAGCACATCACCGTTTGCAAGAGCCATCTACAAATACATATGGCTATCCTCCCGAGGCTCAACAAGCTGCCGAGTCCACCTACGACCCTAGCTATGCGAGTACAACAAGCAATAACAACAACATGATGGCGGCTTACCACCGCTCTTCGTATGCTGACGATTATTCTCGTCACATACCACCTCCAATTAAGACGTCTTCGCTATGGGGTGGCTACGGATCTTCACTCAACTCGATTAGGAGCCCAGGAATGGCAACGAATCACACGACAATGACCAGGCCAAGCATCGCATCACTCCCAGCACCGGCTTCTGCCAACCCTCAGCTTGTACGGACCAGCACTCTGCAGACGTCCGGGTCTCCTAGCTCTGGATTTCACCCATATGCCGTATTCCAGCAGTCAAAAGCCAAGCTCAACATTGCTGGAGATCTTGAGAGCATGACCGAGGGTTGGACTGCAGAGGAATTCGAGAATCGCCGGCGCATTGTACTATTCAGAAAGCATCAACAAGGTGCAATTCTGACAGCCAGCTTCAAGGCAGTCAGCGTAAACGAGAGACCACCCAACAGTATTTGCATCAGCTGCATTTATTGGGCTGAGAAGGGCGATTGGTACGTCACAAGCGTTGACACAATACACCTACTCGAACAGCTAGTCGCCGCTCCATCGAGGTTCACTGTGGAGGAGAAGAACCGCATTCGTCGCAATCTGGAAGGGTTCCGTCCGGCGACAGTCAGTAAGGCTAAACCAGAGAGCGAGGAGTTCTTCAAGATTATCATGGCTTTCCCGAACCCGAAGCCTCGCAATATTGAAAAGGATGTCAAGGTCTTCCCCTGGAAGATATTGGCACAGGCCCTCAAGAAGATTATATCAAAATACGTAAGTCCTATTCACGTCTAGTCATGCCTTGGGTACAACATGTGCAAGATGACTCTGCAACATGGAAAAGGAGATGAACGAGACGGCAGTTACAAAGTAGTCATTTGAAGGATTCTGATGAGTTTTTATTTAGTCAGCCTCACCCTCTTCTCAGGTTGGGCCGGGTACTGGTCATATGCTGCTCACCCCCGTGAGCAACCCGAGCCCAAGCCTTTACCATCACCCGCACCATCCTCCTACGCCTAGCGAAAGCTCATACGGTCATCACGATCATCATGGTATAACATCACCTCGATCTCTGTCGGGCAGCTCTGCTTCATGGAACACATACTCTGCGCGACCGCTGTCTCCAACCCTGAAGCCACACTCACCAACCTCGGGCGGGATCCGCATCCCAAGCCTATCATCGTACGGTGCTAGTGATGGAAGACACACGGCTTCATCAGGTTACGGGCTCGCGTCGCAACCGCAGACACGCTGGGACACAACAAGTACAAACGGCTACATTGACGCAGGAGGGATCCCAGCCTACGCGGGTCACCACCAGAGTCATGTGTATAATACTGCGGCATATGGAGGTGGTGGCCAGCGGGCATGACGACTGCCAGGCCACGAACACGAGCTACAAGATCGAGACTCGAGGCTCTGCTCAGGGTGTGAGTCAGTGTCGCGGGTGACCGGTTAGTGTGGATCTCCCATGCAAACGACGCGTTAGGATGGGGGCTGGCGCCCAGTCACGCTCCCACCAGGGCATAGTATTCATTCTCCTCTTCTGGATGGTGTTCCCTCTTTAGCAAGGCATGCAACAGCTTGGCATGTACAGTACTGAGGGGGGGAAGGGTTAAGTGGGCGCTCGTGAGCGGAGGCCGGGCGCCGTCGTCAACACACAAAACAGATTGCTCAAAGGCGACATGAAGCATCTACTCCATATCTTGCCATGCCTTAGTTTGGAAGAGAGGGAAGAAAAAAAAGGACAAGGCATTACATTGATGGTGGTCGGGGTGTACATGTTGCATGGCTTTTTGGTTCTGTCTGCCTTGGAATGGGGGTCGTCTGGTCTGTGTCTGTGGGGTATAGCACGGCATCAGCTGTTGTGGCGCTTTGTGGCGCACACCAATCAGGGCAGGGCGCAACACTCCATCTACCTCTCTTTACTTTCAGTCTGCTCTGATTTCTGCCGCCCTCCGACCCCCTTCGATATTCGCATTCCCATTTTTACACCACTCATTCGACGCACCTTGCTTGTTTATATTCTTCCTCAGGTGCTCGGCGACATATTCTGTTACACTCACGCCAAGCATCAGCACGTCCCTTGTCCTGCTGACCCTCCCTGGAGCGAATCCGACCGAACCCTCAGTCTTTCCTTATCTGGACCACCTGTCATGTTGGGAATCTGTACTGCAACGCCCCCGGCAACTTGACGCCATCATGGATATCTCAAATGGTTGAAAGGGGTGGGGCCCCTGTTATCCATTTGCTCATTTTTGGAATCTTCTTTTTTTTTTTTTTTTTTTTTTGAAATCAAGTGGCTTTTTCCACCGCCCTTGATACTGGTGAGCTGAAAAGACTTGCCAAACATCCATGATCCCCATTGCATACTACATACAGCAGGGGTGGATGGGATGGTCGGCTTTGGGAGGGTTCAGGGTTGAGGTAGTCAAAGGGCTACTAGGGATGCGGCTATGCATGCAGTCCGAGCCTACTAATGCAACGCGAGGGACCCGCCTGATCCCGCTCTGTTCCCGAGCTCGATACTCTCCGTCCTATCGCTACGTTAGTCTGCTGCAGCAACAGGCAGCGTCTATTACTATTCGGTCACAAACGTCAACAACATTGAAGCCTTAAATATGCCACAACGCCAAGGAAAGGAAAGCAGTTTGTCTGCAGCCCCAAAAAAACAAATCAAGATCCCTGGACTGGCCCGTCCCTTTCTTTTCCCCCATGAGCCTCTCACCTGCCTAGGCGCGAGAGCCTGCCTGCCTGCCTGCCTGTACAAGGCCTGGATCTGACCGACAATCATCTGCCTCTCAGCTTTGCGTTCCCGGCAACCCACCTCATTGCTGCTCGATTCCTATGGATCCGCTTTGGGCGGCAGTTTCATCTTCTTCTCCTATGCTCCCATGCTTTCTATTTCGCTTCCATATCCCGAATGGACATGTTCGGCGGCTATGATGGCTATGAGTACGGCTAAATTAATGACATGTCGTCTTGTCATTTTTGGGCTTGTGGCCATTATTTGATTTCGTCCTAGCTCTCCCCCACCACGCAACCACGTCTCCAAAGAGCGCTGCCGTCTCCCCAAGCTTGTGCAATTCATGCAGCTTGATTCAACATGCTATGCTTGCATATTTCGCCCTTTCTTTCTTTCTTTCTTTCTTTTTCTTTCCATTAGTCTCATCTCATTTCATCATGTTCATTATCTTGGGATGGGTTCATATCGGTGGTGCATGTACAGGTAGATCATCTTGTTTCGTGTCTTTTTTTTCTTTTTTCTTTTCGGTGGCAAATGGTCTGGATTGGCCTTGGACTATGTCTGCTCGGGTTGCTGATAAGCTCGAGCTCGGTTCGGAGCACAATGGGTGGGAGTATCGGATGGACCACTAGCATTATACCCTTATTACTACTGCTTTTGATTTTCTTAGAGGAAAAAACACAAACAAACAAACACTACCATGGTATTGGGTGCATCCAATGTGAGAAAGAGAAGAAAAAAAGATATGGATACAGGAATATTTCAGACGGTCGGCGTAGGATGGAGGGTACATTGTTCAAGGTTACAGGATAGGAAGTGCATTGGCTGCATGCTTCGGTTGGAGTACCTTGACATTGGGACTACATGTTTTATATTCCATCTCAGTAATAATAATAATATTTATTCAAAATCAGGAGTAGCTGCTTCGGCGGGTCCACGCACACACACCCGAAGCCCACATTATACTGATCTCGGGAACCTGTCTCGTTATTGATTCTGGCCTCTGGGACCCGCCACCGATGGATGCTGAGACAGGAATCTGCAACGTTCGAATACTTTTGTCATTTCGCACCACGCGGAGTTATGGTCGGCTTGTGGCGATATAGCTGCATATCAGTTATACTACTTCCCGGTTTCGTGCCGCAAATTGGAACAGTTACCGTTTTCTGGGCTTTGGTATGACTGACGCTCTTAGTTTCTTTATTTTTTCTGTTTTGAAAAAAAAAAAAAATAACCGTATTCTCAGACGTAAGAATTACCTCTGCTACCTTGATCAGCATCTGCATCACTATTCAAGATCATTGTTGATCCACATTGGGCCTCTGTCGCCACGCACCACACGCCATGACTTTGACGTCCAACCGGAACTAGATATATACAGAAAGCAGGTAATTCTCAGGGAATGGGGTACGATTGCAGCATTTGGGGAAGCATCGTTCCATGGAGGAAATCATTCTCTTGCGCTTGTCGCGGCGTGGCGGCGAACTTTGCATAACATGAGCTTCTGAGATTCCCTGAATGTGGTATGAAAAATGTCTAGTGACTCCTCCCAGTGCTCCAAAGAAGTCTTACTTCTTGCATCACTATAGCGTCAAAATATCAAACATTGCATTATTCACTACTCTTATGGTAATAGTTCATGCAGTAAAGATGCTAAGCATGTTACAATAATCGTGATTGTTTTTCTTTGCTTACATTGTGACCAGAACGATGAGCCCCTGATGTGAAACATGCCTAAGTGAAGACCATATTCGCCATGTATAGGGCCATGGTGGAGATGGACTGAGCCTTACTCTTCAGGCCAAGTGTATTATCTTCCATTATGCCTTTGGTCCATGTTCAACACCGATGACCAGCGCATGGAGCCAGAGAGATCGGATTCGCAAAGCTGTACCTCTGTCAATCACTCCGAAATGTCCTTATGCAGCTGATCTCGTAGTGTTTCTTCAGTCCGTCTTCAGGGGCGCCCCATTCCCCCCGGCAATGACTCAAAGCTGCATACTGCGAATTGGTCCCAGATGTACGATGTACTGTTGGGGTAAGCAGAACTGTGCTTTTGTGTCTAACATCCAACCGTGGCTCTGGAGAGCTGAAAATGGAGCCGTTGTGTCACTCGTGTTTCCGGGACCATTTTCCCAACCATGAGCTTGCAAGATTCATGATGCTTTCAGGAAAGCTTAGACTTGTTGCGACCAATGCTGCCTGATCATGACTTTCAGCAATCAGAGAGACTTGCCAGCCAATGGCGTTATCAAGGTTGGCGGTTTCAATCCGAAGAGCCCTCCTCTTGATTATGAGGTCGAAGTGGCTCGTACCCGAAACGATTGTGGTACCCAGAACAGCCACTCATGATATGTTTAGGGCTGTTGTTCTCGAGTGTTCTGAAAAGCACTTTGCACAGACGGCAACCTTGAGCAGCAGATTCTACCAAACGCTTAAAAGGCTTCGGGTTTTTGAGAGAGTTTGTAGAACTTGCCACGCTTAAATGTCGTGATCGGAATATCACAACGTGCTTGACGAAGCTCGTTTAGATAAAGAAAAGGCGGCCTTATCTGCGATGTTTGCAACGCTGATTTTAACCATCAGGGCTGGGACGACGTGTTGTCGGATTCTCTGGTGGCAACCAAATTATAAGTAATAACTGATTGATAAACGATATTGTCTCAGTAAATCTGGGCGCGAGGCAGGAGATAAGTCCGCTCCTGCCCAACTAATCACAAAGTAAAATATTTTTGGTGTTAAGGAACCAAGAAATAGCAAGAATTGTGAAAACCCAAAGACTCCCAAGACGGCCAAGATCATGTTCAGTTAGAAAAGAATGCACGAGATAACTCCACCAGGGTTATTCTAAGCCTCTCAATAATAGGAACGAACTCCAGCATATGTCGGTTTTATAAATAAATGCATCAGAGATACAAACTATTATTAACCATTAGTTCTATAGTGCGGTCGGTGAGTTTATTCTACGGATTGGATAGGAAGATTCTCTGAATACCTAGACACTCTGGGGAATCGAAAGGAGGACCCGATGCCCGGCACTCCTATCAAACTCAATCATTGCTTTTGGCTACTACGACTCCGCCAGAATATCTACCGCCTTTATTTGTTTATCATCTGCTCGCCATGGTCTTGTACCGACGTTAGTATGAGTCTGTAGCACCAGCAGTGCTATATATAGCACAGTTATTCTTATTTACAATCAATCTAGGACAAAATTAATTGGATTCATTCAGGGACATGTTTGGTTAACTTTTCTAGAGTTGCCTAGCGGATAGGATTCATAGTACAACTTGCAAGTCTCCTAGCCTCCCAACGATGAATGACTGATGGTAAGGAAAGGAATCTTTCAGATTCTGAAAATATACAACGCCCCCAAGAGAGATAGTCCTGTTCTGCCTACATTCAAGGAAATTCATGACATAAAATATTGGCAACGAAAAAAAGGGGGGGCACTAAACACCATCGGCAAATGATGCACCTCCCGCATTCATATCAACAGCCATGCTATGCTTGAGCCCACAGACCTCAAACAGCTTGACAGGGGTGATGTTCTCGGGGGTACCGACAACACCCTGGTTCTTGAGGCGGAGCAGAGTCTCGCGGATGGCAATGTAGGCCGGAGCAAGCGTAGCAAAGCTAAAGATCATGATGCGGAAGCCCATCTCGCGTGCCTCTTCGACGGTGATGGTAGGGCTCTTGCCGTTCTCCACCGAGTTGAGCAGCAGCGGCCAGGGAGCCAGGTCCTTGACGGCCTGACGCGCCTGCTCCTTGGACGTGAAGCCTTCGAGCAGGCCCACGTCGGCGCCCTCTTCCCGAGCCGCCCGCAGCCGCGAGATGCACTCGTCGTAACCCAGCGACTGCAGCGCGTCGGTCCTCGCAATGAGCACAAAGTCGGACTGCAGGCGCACGCGGGCGGCGTGGGCGGCGCGGATGCGCGCCAGGTATTCCTCGCGGGGCACCACCTTCTTGCCGCTCAAGTGGCCGCACCGCTTCATGAGGACCTGGTCTTCCAGGTGGGCACCGGCGACGCCGGCTCGGATGTACTGCTCGACTGTGCGCGCGGCCATGATGGGACCTAATGAGGGGTGTTAGTTGCTTGAGGTTGGTGACGGAAAGGGGGGCATGTCATTTCTCACCTCCATAGCCAGTGTCCATGTCTGCAATCAGAGGTGGGCCGAATGGGTCGAGGTTGGCAATCATTTCGGCATTTTCTCGCATCTCGTGGAGCTGAGCAATAGCCAAGTCGGGTTGGCCAAGACGGGAAGCAGTGGTTCCAGCACCTGTCTGGACTAGAGTGTTATTACATATCTCTTATGCTTACCACGTGTCGAGGTGTATTATCATTTCACGTACCATGTACATGGCGTTGAAGCCAAGCTCAATAGCAGTCCGTGCCGACAAGCCATCATAGACTCCAGGGCATACGATCAACTCATTGGTCTCAAGGAGCATCTTGCGAAGCTTCTTGGCTCCAGTAGTAGGCTCTTGAACGCTCGAGGCTACGTGGTTGAGCTGCAGCCATGTGTCATTGATGGCCTTGAGGGCGGCCTTTGGCTCGTCGTGGCCGTTGACGCCATTGGTGCCGTTCTCGGACGCATCCGACTCAAGCAATGGCCCGTCAGGAGCGATATTGACGGTCTCAATGTTTGGGTGTGGCTTGACGGGCGCGGCAAAGCTCTCAGATAGGGCTTCGGCTTGGAGGACAATTGAAGACTCATTCTCCAGTCGCGAGACTGGGTCTTGAGGCTGAAGCGTTGCGACTGACATGATGAATATGTACAAAGAAATATAAAGATAATCGTTGCAAAGTGGGTAGAATGTGGAGATAAACGTTGTAAGACAAGTGTAGATCTTGTGGCAGTGCTCTGATATCTCTCCATTGACGTGGCAGAAGACTCCTATTTATACTTGCGAATACGCTTTTCATCTCTTCAACCGATATGCTTTCTCGAGGACTGGTTTATTCGATCGAGAAGTCCGGATTTCCGTTCTGGGAGGAGGTCGACTATCCGGAACCCGAATTCTTTGGCGTATCTCGGCGCGCATTCGCATACACACTCAACTAATGGCTTATCAGCCAAGACACGATCATTGAAAGATTGCGACAACAACTGATCCTCCGACATGTATGCCAATGTTTCAGGCGGAGGGCAAATCCCCATCCTGGTCATGGGGGATGGCATCAAAGGAGGGATTAATCGCGGCAATGTTGACCTCGTCGCGCTTAGAGGTTGCCGATACGCACGGAAAAGGCCTCCTTGGCGACGACCTGTAAAAGTCTCGAGGTCGAGAACCGGTTCACGGACTTGGCGAACAAGCCTACGCGTTGTTGATCATTTCTCGTTGCTTTTTCAAAGACCGAAGCGCCACAATAATGCTACCATCTTGGCTCTTTTCCTCGAGTCTTACAACCAGGATCGGAAGAATACGGCCTCACAAATCATTGTTGAGAGAAGTATATTGGCAAGAGAAATTCTATTACACATGATATCTTGGCTTCTGTAGAATACATCGTTACGGCGACCACCTAGGCGGCCTCAGATCGCATTGATGTGAACGAGCATGGCAGGTTACACCGAGGAACTGCTCTCAAGAACCTTGGTAATCCAGTCATTCATTCAACCATCAACCAATGTTAGTGACGTGTCGAGAAAGCAGGAGAACGTGACAGAAAAGTCCTGAGACAGCATGAAAAAGGCCAACATTGCACTATCTTGGCATATTTTCCTCCCTTTTATTTCCAACACATGTGCCAGCCACCATTGACAGCTGAAAACGAAATTCTCTAATCATTTCTATTGACTCGATGAAGCTGCTCTTGATTCTCTCAAGCATGAGGCCATGTGTAGCATGACTTATTGTCTACTATCACATGAATATGTTAATTACTTTTGGTTATGGCGTACGACGTACGTGATGCATTTTGCCCATAAAGATTGTGAGAGCACAACTGGGCTCAAGGGGCAGATCTTAACTTACATCATTGATTAGCAATGATCTCAACGAGGAGTTTGCCAAGTCTAATAGCTTCAGATTGGCGCTATAGTGGATATTCTATACGCCATGCTACACAATAGAAACCAATGGAGCCTGATTAGTTCATAGCGGGCCGTGCCGAGCTCTTTGAAGCCCTGCAACAGACCCTTTCCGGTCCAACTGTTATCTCAAGCCCGATATCAATGACAGGGCTGTTTAGAGAAGCCTTCCCTATTCTAGCAATACCTAATTTGCCCACCATCTATGATGGAGCATGCTGACGCGTCGGCTGAATATATGCCACTGATAAATCTATCCAATCGGCCCCTCAAGGTGTGCAAATCGACGATTAGGGGAGCCTCAAAACGATCGGCATATAGCTTACGTGCATAAGATGCTAGCCTTTTGTTACATTCGATGCAATACCATGTCGAGATCGTAAAGGAAAAAGCCGAGGCCAATGATGATACACCGTCTGCGGGATATACTGCCACGTTATTTGTCATAAGACACTTACCATTCCGGAGATAAGTTTCAGGGGCAATGGCATCATACTCTATAGTCATAACATGTGTCTCAGAAGTTTGGTTGAAAGAACTATACTAGGATGGCTTTGAATGAAATTTGAGACTCGTTATGCCTGAATGGCTTTCCACAGCATATAATCACAGAAACGATGTCAACCTATTTCTAATCAAAGTCTGTTCACACGGCACTCGGTAGGAGTGACAGCTGATGCAGCCACGCCGTCAAACGGCCGAACCGGTGTGGAAACACCAAGCTTAAGGCGGCGGATTTGCAACTAGTAAACTAGTACAAGCTTATATGCATCGCCCAGCCCCGGAAATGGCCATCCGCTATCTCCCCGAGCACCCTTCGCAGGGTCTTGACAAGTGTTTTCCTAGGCAACGTCTAGGTTCCGCTCCGGCACGTGCCGTATACCAAGATCCGCCAAGTCTCTGGCCCAATGTGATCTACAATCCGACTACTCCATCTTGCTCGATAACTCCGTCCTTCGTAAGAACCATGACCCCGATGTCTCCGGTGGGGCCCGGGGATGCGTGAACAGTCTGGGGTTATCGTGGAGCAGATTCGTATATCCCAGACTAACTCCACGATGGATCTGGCACCTTACCCGTTTACGACGATGCTGCAGATGAACAAACAAGCAGAGCGGATATGAAGAGCTACCCTACCGGGCAGTGGGACCGAGTGTGGATCGCGAGCCCGGCTAAAGTTCTAAAGATCCCGGACCGCCAAGCCAGAGCTGAGACGGCACGTTGGTGCTTGAAAGTCTTGTCCGATCCGCAGATAAGTATCCATCCATAGCTTTGCGACTCCGGTTTCCCCCCTCTCGCAACTCGTTCACTGGCTCGAGTAGTGGAACACTCCTTTTGCTGGTCCAGGTTTATTACTCAAGTACATGCGCGCCGAGACCTGCTTGCTGGCCTTTCCCTTCCGCCGTTGCATACTTGGCTCCTTCGCCGCTGAGCTGTAGCCCGGGTTTCCAAGAAAACGCCCAGCATCTCCCAAGACATCCCAAGACAATTCCAAGAACTTCCAAGAAAATCGGTGCGCCCGGCATGGGGCAACAAACGCCGAAGCGTGGGGGGACTTTTGGACTCTGGAGATTCTCCCGAAAGGACGAAATTCGAAATTTCTGTAGCGGAGATGGAAAAGGTCTCGGTGTTTTTTTTTCTCTCTATCAATCGCGACCCCCTCGAGAATTGAGGAGTGCATATTTGCGCTTCTGCCGCGCATCACCTGCATCAACAACACTGCATTACTGAATGTTGTTATAGTAGCCAAGACGGAACAACTCGGGAGGCCTCAGATCGCCGGTCACAACGTTGCCGTAGAGCCGATTGATCGTTGTTATCGCCATCTCCTTCGTCTCTGGGCGCCCCTCTGAGTCTCTTGGGCCAAACTGCACGCTTCTGTAGATTGTGCAGATAACAAACTGCCTGTGTCGACTAGGACCAAGCAACCAAAGTGCCTCTTAAGATCTCCCAGCTCTGCTTCAGTCCACGGTTCATTACCGACAACAGCATATTTGATCAAAATCTCAAACAAACGTATCAATATGTCAGACGAAGAGAAGGTCGTTGAGACTCCCCCTGACCCGACGCTTGGTCACCGAGATGAATCTACGAGTCGCAAATACCGCCTGGGCAAGCACTTTTCAGAAGAGGTCGACACTGCGGCAGGCTACATACCTCTATTGATTTGTTGTTTTGTTACTGGACTTACAGATGGAACATTATACAATGGTTAGTAGTCCGCCATAAACATTTCGGTCCAAAGAAGTCGTGTTTCTGATGCTTGTTTTTCACATAGCATACGGCACTTTTGTTTCCATGCAGACAGGTAAGCACCAATGAGCGCCGAAAAAAAGGCCACCACTTGTACAATCGAGTGCATCAAGCAATCTGATCAGAACCGGCACAGGAAACACGATATTCGTGGCGCTGGGCACGTCAGGACAGAACAACAAACCATTTGGCTGGGCCCGCTCGCTCTGCTCCATCGGCTGCTTCACCATAGGCTGCCTGCTCTTTGCGCGCTTCCACAAGCTCCTGGGCGGCGCGCGGCTGCGGCGGACGGTCCTGGGCTCCTTTTTCCTGCAGACCGTCTGCGTCATGGTGGCGGCGGCCATCATCCAGGGCGGCGTCATTGACGGGCGGTACCCGTCGCAGCGGGACCCCGACGACGTCAACTTCACCGAGCTGGCCGCCGTCGCCCTGCTCTCGTTCCAGGCCGCGGGCCAGATCGTCAACAGCCGCGGCCTCGGCGTCAGCGAGGTGCCCACCGTGGTCATCACCAGCCTCTTGTGCGATCTCGTCAGTGATGAGCGGCTGCTGGCGCGGTACAATGCCAATGACAAGCGCAACCGCCGCGCCATTGCCTTTGTGCTTACCCTCGTCGGTGCAATTTGTGGTGGCTGGATCTCAAAGGCCACGGGCATGGTGCAGCCCAGCTTGTGGTTTGTGGCTGCCATCAAGGCGGCAATTACCGTTGGCTGGCTCGGTTGGGGTGGCTTGTGGAAGCTTCGCCGACTGTGAACTCCTTGGACTGTCAAAGTGACTAGGCTCCTCTCGACTTGCAGGATCTGTTAATTGCCCAAGGCAGGTTGCTAAGTATGTTGACCAGTCGCGGAAAAGGGGTCATAATTAATGCTACGGCCCGAATCATATATAGTGAACAAACTATAACATCGGATTTAGTTTGAGTCAAGGATGTTCACTTTAAGCCATCAACACTCAAAAGCCTTGAGTTCATCAATGTGCAGCGTCAACACAGCCTCTACATGGAGGATGATAGTTGCTAGTATATAAGGTATCGAGGATTACATAACTACATTAATGGATATCTGTCCCCGTTGCAGATTGAGCCTGCGCGTGTTTTCTTTCCTTCCTCACCCGCTTCTTTTCTTCCTTTCTCTTCCGCCATTTGATGCCATTCTTCATGATCAAAAAGAGAACGGGGGCCAGGCCGAGCTGCAGAGCCCCCAATATGAAAAATGCCCACCCGCTTCCAATTCCGTTAATCATTGGTTGAATGACGGCACTAGCAGCAGCGCCTACAAGACATCTCGTCAAGTTATTGCTGGCCGTTGCCGCGCCGGCGTTGCCCGGGTTGACATCCACAATAAGCGTATTGGTAGTGTTGCTGAAGCCTATCATGCCTACGCCTATGAGAAACAACAAAACGCAGGGCACTGCGAGATGCGCTCGGTATTGCAGTGCCCAGCCCCAGGCCAAAAGCACCACCGAGGAAAGCAGCAGCAGCGGTATGCCAATTTCAAGCCTGGCCTTTTCGATAGGAAAGTTGGAAAGATCTTGTTGTCTACTTTGTTCAAAAGGGACGCCGAGCTTTTTGCAGTGACGTCGGTAGTTCCAGTTGACAAACTTGCCCATGATGATGGCGGCCACGATTGAACCCCCTCCCATGGGTAAATACATCAAGCCGACCTTGAGCTCGTCGAAGCCGTATATATCGGCGAATTGTGCGGGCATTGAAGTGGCGATGGCGTAGAACCCAGCGAAAACAAGGGAGCTATACATGAGTAAGATGAACATTTCCAATTCAAAGAGAATCTGGAGACTGCGCAAGGGGTTCGGTCTGTTCATCTTGAGCTTGCGCCTTTGCGAAGTATGAGTGGTGATTTTCTGCAAGGCCAATTCATCACCGCTGCGCTTGGCTTTCCATTTCGTGAGAGCGTCTGATATGAGCTGCCAAAATGTTCGGAAGAATGGATGCGGACGCTCGCTGCCATCGCCCACGACATTTCGGCACGTCTCAGGCATAAACAGGGCATAGAGAAAGAAGACAGCCCCCGCCAAGATGGCCAGGAACCAAAATATCCATCGCCACCCAAGATAGGCGGCCAGTAATCCACCGATAACCGGTCCGAGCGAGGGTGCGAGGATGATTGGGACGGTCACGAAGCCGACATATTGGCCACGTTCGGCCGATGTGACAATATCAGCTACCACAGCTTGACACAGTGCCACTGTGGTACTGGAGCCGGCTGATTGCAGCATGCGCAATATGAGCAGGGCTACATAATTTGGAGCCAAAGCACAGCCAATATTGGCAGCGATATAAATGACGAAGCAAATCAAGTAAGCTGGGCGACGACCTGTGCTGTCGGCAAATGAACCAATAAACATTGGAGTAATTCCTTGAAATATCTGCCATGAAGTTAGTAGGGGATTCGAAAGGGCCACAAACAAGCTCGTTATACATACCATGTACGTCGTCACCGTCAAGTTGGCCTGGGCCTCAGTGATATTGAAGTCAATAGCCAATAGGTTCAGTGCCGGGAGATATATCTGGGCTGTTAAAGGCGAGAAGAAGGCAGCCAGGGCTGCACCGAGAACGATACTTCTTTTCTCCCATGTTGTAAACACCGAGTATTTGGGTGCAGCCTCTTCCGTTGGCTGCTCGCTAATGGGCTCCGCGTTTGGGGGTATTGCATCCACTGACTGCTTGGTGGTTTTGCTCTGCGCGTCTGTAGACATGGTATATGAAGGGTGTTATGGGTAGTAGTTGGAAACTGTCGTCTTTATGCCTATCATCCACGGTACACAACATCGCCAAGTGTTAGGCCATGGCATTATTTATCATGAATGATTCTGAGTCGCAGAAACCCGTGACGGCGTACAAATGTCACATTCTTTACCATGTGCTTTCCAATCGGTCAATGCAGGTACTTGTTGTTGCATGTGTTCGATGGGGCTTCTAGAGGTACCAGCCATAAGCGTTTTCGGAACCGAGTTCGGCTAACACCAGTCAAATGGCAATGATTGCCCACAAATTCGGATTTAGCAGCTCCTGCTTTCGGCTGCCGGTTTTAGCGTAGGGCTGTCAACCGATTCATGATCGCCGTTTCGTACATCCCAGTTACCAGGCTGAGGGTTCGGAACCTTGAAGATGCTGACAATGAGTATGCTAAGTCCATTTGTGAGTACGGTATTCCTGCTCATGAGATCTTGTATGTATTCCTTGCCACCGTTGAAGGGCGCATGATTAACCACTTAACCTAACATTTAGAGTTCCCCATATTTAGCCGCACTCTGAGGATTAAGGATTCTCCAGTCCGCTGGACATTTAGGATACCCAGGACCTAGCATGGCTTCTAGTGGCCTGACTAGGTGTTAGGTACACCCTTGATGTACCCTTTCCAGGGGGTCGCATCGCTACCTAACGCAGAATCTGGCCCTGCGTAAGAACGAATTAAAGAAAGCCAGATTGCTACCTACCAGCTGGAGCTCTAAAAAAGGACAGCCAGCAACATCGTGAACTCTATCGGTGTCTGGAATTATACATTTACCAGCCACGTCACTGCATAATCAGACAGACTCCTTGCTCTGTAGGAATAATTCCGAAACAGGGTCTGGTTCATCTCTTGAATTTCCTTTACAACTTAGACACACCACCATCATGGTGAGCTTGCCATCTGCAGATGCATCCCTGAAGACAGAGCTGACTGGTCGCAGAACGTGCAATTCAATACAGCTCTTAAGCAGTCGACTGCTATCAAGAAGGAGCTCACCTCCGTCACCTCATCTGGCCAACCAGCAACACCTGCAGCTCTCGGCTCGTTATCGGCATCACTCACATCCTTCTCGCGAACCCTCGATGAGTACAACCAGCTCGCAAAGCAGGAGCTGGTCATTGCCAAGCAAGAAAAGGCCTACGAGCGCATCAAGAACTTTCGAACCGAGCTATCCGAATTCCGCGAGCAGTTCAATGCCCTCAAGACCGAGCGTGACGAGTCGGCGCACCTGCAGAGCCGCGCGGAGCTGCTGGGTCGCAGACCGTACACGACCAGCACGCCCGAGAACCCGTACGCCAACGTCGGGGCGTCGGACCGCGCAGATGGCGAGGTCCCCACGAATCGCTACGGGAGCGGCGGCGTCATGGGCGGGCAGATGAGCATGGGCAGCAACGACTACACGCGCGAGGCGCACGCCCTGAGGGAGCAGAATTTCTTTTCCAGCACGAACCAGGCGCTCGATGACTACATAGCCAGGGGCCAGGCCGTGCTTGGTGACCTCGGACAGCAGAGAGAAATGCTCAAGAACACGCAGAAGCGGCTCTACAGTGTGGCCAACACCCTCGGCGTCAGTGGAGATACCATCCGCATGATTGAGCGCAGGGCCAAGCAGGACAAGTGGATATTCTGGGGCGGCGTCATTGTTTTCTTTGGATTCTGCTGGCTATGCCTACATTTCTTGAGGTAACCGAACCTCGACAATCGGGAACCAATGTCCTGGCGTTTTTCTCTTGACTATTCAAAATTGCATTTATGGCAGTCATAGCGTGGAGTTTGGGGAGTTGGCAAGGAATCGTGGCATGAGTCTATTCTGCTATTTGCAAATTTCAGAAGTTCTACAACCCGCACATAATCGAAAATCATCTCCAGCGGCCGAACTCGTGGTGCTGTTCAGGCTGCACAAAGCCAACGACTCGCCCTAGCTTGAAGACGGCAAAGGTTTTGTTCAGTCCGGGCATTGCGACTGTCCTCAACCTCTGCCATCTCGCCCATTCAATGCAATTGTGAACAAGACATCTTTGCTTGTTGTAACCTCCACAACCTGACTTTCCGGCAATACATGGTTACTCGTGCTCATCTGGCCACCGAATTCTGTTGGCCAATCCGTCACGTCCCATTCGAAACCTTTCAGAGTAATGACGCTAGGCTCCTTGACGGGTATAATTCCAGCATATTTTGCAAATATCTCCTCGGGTGCCGCCCCTGCATTACCATTGCATCTCGGTTCACGCACGTGAATCTGGTGGGATCCCGCCTTGAGGAGGAAAGTTAGACTTTCACCGCTGACGAGGTACATCTTGCCCTTGGCATAGGTCGGCGACGTTTGGAAAAGGTAGAGATGATGGATTTGGCTCAGACCCTGATCGACGCGCCCACCGAGGCCGCCCATGGCTACTATATCCTTGTCGCCGGCTTCAGCGCTGGCACGAGCATGAGAAACCGCCTTGGAAAAGTCTGTGCTATATTGGTCTTTTACTGTGATAATCTTTATAGAAGGGTTGACCTTTTCAAAGTGTGCTCGTACCGAGTCACTAAGTGAGTCCAAATCTCCTATAATGACGTCCAGGTCGTTCTGGTAAGAGCGAGGGAATTAGCAAATACATGTCTGTAAATATTGGCAAATGGACATCAAACATACAAAATTTGGGGCGTCACCGCCCTTTGTCTCTTGGCCTTCTCGTTGTTGCAAATCGCATAGACGGTTGGCTCCTCCATCCGCGGCAATCCGTAATGATGCTAGATTTGTTTAGATATAGTGGCAAAACATGTGCAAGTCAACATGACTTACAATTTTGCCAGAGTCTTCCAAGGGTCTGGACATCATTCAAGGGTTGGTTTAAGATGATGAGAGCAAAGTCACGGTCAGGTGATTCCTCTTGGAGCATGCGAGCTGGACGCCATACTGTGGGAGTATTCATGATGATCGTTGGGGGGGTTAGGTTTATCTGAAAGGCACACAGGTACGATTGCACTTTCTTCTCTCAGGCGTTGTGTTTGTACTCGAGATTATATCACCAACGAATGGATCATGTCACAACGAGGGAACAGGGAATGGGCCAGGCTAAGTACTGCTGCTGTCACGACGGCAAATATTCAGTCCTCAAGCGTTTCCGATTTCCCTTTTACCCAGACTGCTAATGACGTGCCTCTTGGACTAATGTCTGACGAGAGATTTTGTGAGAAAAAAGAAAAAAAGTAAAAATGGTGTACGTTCGTAAGTCAGCTGGTCAGCTAGTCAGCCGTTGAAGACCGACGAGCAGAAAAAAAACCGCCTCTAGCCCACGTACTGCCGGATAGCGGGGCAACCCCTTGAGCGGCGGACCGGGCGGTAGTAAATTATCCTTTCGGTGTCGTCCCGGCTATAGCATACAGCGGCGCCGGGTGAGACTCGATAAAAGTCAAACGGTGGCCGGCAGCAGAGCCGGGACGGAAGAGCAATGAAGATGTCCAAAAGATTCAAAACCCTTTCTCAACATAATCATGCCCACTCAAGAATGAAAAGGTTCCAGTTTCATGAAAATGGACACCTCATAGGGGTTGGACTCCCTTTTTGGCTTTTCTCATGTCATTTTTGGCCCATGTGTGAACATGTTCTTGCATAATATTCAACGAGATGTAATAGGATGCACTGAGAAATAAGGGGACGACTAGAAAGTCGAGATCAAGATCTCATGGAAGCTGTGTCCTGCAGCATGCATATTGTCCAGAGCAGAGTGGATAATGGACCTATTCTAGCGAGTGACCGCCAAAACATGGCTAAGTGGCCCGAGCTCTGCGCACCTTCAGTGAGTGTCTAGAATTGTCTACCAATGTCGTCAAGCCATTGACGGGACACTCCGGAGATGCGCGTCACTATCAAAAAATTTCCCGGGGCAGCACAATAATCGGTGCCAAAGAGGGTGTTTGCGATCGCTTACAAAGCTCAATTGAAGCTATTTCCGATTTCTCAGCAAGCAGCAACAGGCTCTGATCTCGCCTTTTGCGCTCACTCGATTGTTGTTTCTTTTTTTGTTCCCCGTCCTTCATTTGAAGCAGAAGTTCATTGCACTGTATTATTGCATTGCGACCATGTATCGATCAGCGCTGCGGACTGCACCGCGCGCCTCCGGCGCCGTCAGACAAAATGCTTTGAGGACGACAGTGCCACGACGATTCGCCTCGACAGCACCAGCAGACAAGAAGAGGAGTTGGAAGAGCTCGGCAGTGAGATGGGGTCTTGCAGCTGGCGCAGTGTACTGGTACAGCACAAGTCCAGTGTTTGCCGAGGAAATCCAACGTATGCGCAAACAACTCACGCACAACTTTCTGAAAACTTGATTTCAGCTGCTGACTTTTCTCAACAGCACTCCACGTGCAACCGCCGCCCCAATTCTCCGACGATGACCTCCCGACCGTCGAAGCTGTGATTGCAGAGAAGCGCAAGGAAGCCGAGGCCAGAGCCGCCAGGGCCGCCGAGGAAGCCGCAAAGGAAAAGACAGCTGCTCCCTTGGCCGATGCAGACAAGCAAGTCTCAGCGAGCGAGCCCGAGTCCGGCGAGGTTAGCGGACCAGAGGCTTTGGAGGCCGAGGCGAACCAGCAAGGCGCTTTCAACCCCGAGACTGGCGAGATCAACTGGGACTGCCCATGCCTGGGAGGAATGGCCCACGGTCCTTGTGGTGAGGAGTTCAAGGCTGCATTCAGCTGTTTCGTCTACTCCAAGGAAGAGCCCAAGGGAATGGACTGCATTGACAAATTCCAGTACGTACACCAACAATGAGCACATACACCAGCGCTAGGACCCAAGATACACCCGAGCTGCACAACTGACACATGATTCTAGGCACATGCAGGACTGCTTCCGCTTACATCCTGAGGTCTACGGAGACGAGCTTGCAGATGACGAAGAAGAGACACCAGGTGCTGAGGCGACACCAGAGGCTGCATCTGCCGCCACGACCACGCCGGCACCTGAGCTTGATGCCACCAGCTCTCCAAGCAGCACAGCAGTCGTCAATGTGAAGACTGATGTAAAGCCCCCGACTTCGGATGAAAAACCGTCCGCAAACAAGCCGGAATCCAATGGTCCCGCATCCAAATCTTCCTAGGTCTGTCTAATCATCCCGCGTCGCAACATGGGATATAGCCTCTAAACGCCCCTTGGGGTCGTCATCATGATCACCAACAACCCCAGGTTTTTCTTTTCTATTTTCACGTGTTTTGCAGGGGCTCCGGCGTTTCTCGGACACTTGAAGTGAGTGTCATGGCTCCCGGACGTTGCTATTGTACAATTACCTGTATCATTGTGTATGAGATACGCCCATATAGACCACTCAAAAAGAAGGCCCCCAAATATCTACTCTGCTTTCAGTAACACTCCCATCCTGTCTGCACAGGGGTTCGCGGCCACTACTTGACAGCTGAGACGCCCGTCCAGGGTGCTGTTTGGTTCCCCAACCCCGCATGACATGACCTATGCGCCAGGCATTTGCCAATGGCACTCAGCCAATTCCGGAGATTATCTTCCAAATCTGGCACCTGTTTCTTCTTACTTATTGCTGCCATATGATCAAGTGACTCCAACTTTTGCTACATTCCAATCTATTTATCCTTCGACAATGTTAACAGAATAGACTGGCTCATAATAATGAGCACGGGCACGGCTACGACATCCCAGGCTGCCGGTCTGATATCACCAACGTCCACCACACCGCCTACCGCCAACGTGGCCGTGGCCGTGGCCGTGGCGGGCAGCAGCAGCAGCAGCAGCAGCAGACGCAGCAACAGTAATACCAGCACGACGACGGATGGACGAGCACCGGCAAGGCGCTCGGTAGAGGATGATCCATCAAGACAGGCCGCCATGGCACAACGGAGAGCGAAGCGAGCCCAGGTGTCGCGTGCATGTGCGAGATGCCGTAGGCTGCAAAAAGGTTGCAGCGAGTCGCGACCTTGTCAAAGGTGCATCAGGACGGGCCTAGCCGAGCAGTGCCTTGCTGGAGGTGCCAATCCCGCGTCCGCCGCGCCGCAATCACGATTTGGCAGCGGCACGGTTGTCTATGAGTTGGGCACGACATCGGCGCTCATCACGTCGCCGACCCTGTCGACGCTGGGCCTCGGTGGCCGGACGCACACCAATTTTGCCAGGGAGTCCTTTCAAAGGCAGCCAGACTTGGTACCCAACCTCGTCCTGGAGCAATGTGCAGAGCGCTTCTTTCTCCGTCTGGGCCCCACCATCCCGATCCTCTCCCCAGATTACGTCTCACATTTACAGAGGCGTATGATGGAATCGACAGAGGCTGGAGCCGAAGCATATTGCGTACTTATTGGAATGTGCGCCATGGTGCTATTGCAGGTCGAGGAGCCCGGAGGTCGGAGGTTCGGCGACCTGGTGACCGCGGAGACGAATGCCGCTTACGGATGGATGCTCCTGGAGGAGGCTCTTGCCGCCCACCGTCATCTACCCCGGAGTTCGAACCCCAGCTTTGAGAGCGTGCTTCTCACTTTCTTCATCTACACATGTCATGCGGCATTGTTACATCACAGCCAAGCATTCTTCTTTCTACGCGAAACTACCACGTTGTATCTTTTGTTCAAGCCGGAGACTCTACCAGATTCTACCCGATCCTTGGCCGACCGTCTATACTGGGTGCTCATCGCTTCCGAACGCGGTCACGCAATACGTTATCGACGCCCAATTACGCTCCAAGTCACATCTGCCAGTCCCAGTGTGCCTTTGCCGACCACAAGTCCCGTCGAACAGTCACACCCACTAGGTGGCTTTTGGTCTCTGGCGTCGCTCTTTCGACCCCTGGACACCTCCTTTATCGCGATACTGAATTCGGAATCCATCTCCTGCCCTCCTTCCCCAGGTTCCCTCGATGAGATTGAGGCCGCCGTCAATGCCGCCTTGGGCCATAGTCCGCCGTCATCGCTACATCAAACGCAAAAAGCCAACTTGAGAGTAACGCAACTATGGCTTCGTATCATCATATGGCAGGTCCGACTTCGCCTAGGGCTCCTCTCCGAAGCAGCTCTGGCCAAGTCCAGTCATACATACCATTACCCATTGGAGGTTGCAAAGGACTTGGCATTGAGTACTCGAGACCTAGAAATCGGGGCCATGACTGTACATGGCGTAGGTCTCACCGAGAAGTTGTTTGACATTGCTTGCGTGGTGGTCAATGTTCTTGCCAGAGTGCCTGTAGGGTTCGAGCGAGGACCAGCAGAGGAAGACGTCAAGTATATCAGAGGATTGATCACGGAACTACCAGGCGGCAGAACTGTATATGATAAACTGATGGTCAAGCATCTGATGGCTGTACTTCCTGGCATTGTGGACAATTGAACACGCGAAGAAAAATGATATTGGCGGAGTCGCCTCGCTATATTTGAAAGTGCTTGCATATAAAAGCTGCCCAAAAGGGATCAAGAGACAGGCCCTGTCCGAAAAACGGCGGCACACCGGATCACACCCACTGCCTCTACCACCTGTTTGGTGATATGTCACACGAAATACATTTGATCGACGATCAGATTGCCGACACTTTGGTCTCATGAGGGGCTTCCTTCTCATCCAATGCGTGGTCATGTGCTGTTGTCGACGTTGCGTACGGATCAATCTTGGTTTTGGCAAACTGGCGAGCTGGTACTTGATGCTCGAAGAGCAAATCTAGCTCGGCATATGTTCGACCTAAAGACAGCCGAAATATTAGCGAGGTTACAAGGATCATGCGTTAGCTTCCCCCCGACACGAGATATACTCAGTAGCGAAGAGGTAAAAGCATGCGAGAAGGGAAAGAATTCACACCCACCTTTGGGCTCTGGCAAGCGGAGAAACACCCATATGGCACTTAGCATACACGTCCCAGCCCAGAAATACGCAGCTTTGGCTCCCCAGTTCCATGCGGTGGAGCTCAGTTGGTAGTTTGTCATCACATTGACGAAGATGTTGCTTGCGTTGTAAGCCGCGCGAGCAAGCACAATGGTTTTCGCCTTCAGTCTCGTGCTCGATAGCTCGGACACCAGGGTATAGGTGACGGGCCCAACAGTAAAGTCGTAGACAAAAGTAAAGATGATCAGCAGAGCCCCAATGGCCCAGACGGATGCATTAGTGCCGGCAAACGCAAGCGACCCAACAATGATGAGCAGTATGAATTGAGCACAGAGTCCAGAGAAGTGAATCGTCCTGCGCCCAACCCGCGCCATGAGGAACCAAGACCCCGCCGTGCCCACCATCCCAAGAGCGTACTGGGCCATGGACAGGGAGAATGAGTTGCTTGCCGCCATGCCGGCTTGCGTCAAGAAGTAGGCAAAGTACCCCATGATATTCTGTCCGCCCAAGGTCTGCACCAGCCAGATGCCGACGACGATCTCGGTCCTTCGCAGATCAATGCCTCGGAAGCAGTCGCGGAATGTGGTGCCGGCCTTGATCTCCTTCTCCATCTGGTTCGTGTGCTCGATCATTGCAATCGTCTCGTCCACGTTGAAGCTCGTGTCCTTGGCGCTCGTGAGCCTAAGCAAGCTCTTCCTTGCCGCCTCGCGATTATTATGGCGAATATACCACCATGGGCTCTCGGGCGCAAAGATGAGCCCGGCCAGGATGGGTATCGGCCAGACCCACTGCACGCCGAAGGGGATCTTATAGGCCCACTCGTCGGTACGGCTCACCGAGCCCTTGTTTACTGCCGCGGCGAAGAACTGGCCGATGACCCAGCACATGTTGATAAAAGTTGTGAGATAAGGGCGTAACACCAACGGTGCCACCTCTGCGGCGTATGCCGGAGTGACTGATTGGAATGCGCCCCATGGAATGCCTGTACCAGCCTTAGTCAATCTACTCCTTGTCCAAGACATGTGACACATGTCGTGAGCATATCCTATCTAGATGTGCAAAGAATGGTGGCAAGATGAGGAGGAGATTGGGCTCGTTCCGCTAGACTTACCACACAGTATCTCTCCCACCACGAGCACTTTGATGTTTGGTGCAAAGAATAAAACAAAGATGAAGACAATCATCAAACATAGACTGGCAATGGTGGTATTCTTGTAGCCAATTCGGTCTGCGGCCCAACCAGCAAAGATGAGCCCGAATATCTCACCGGCTCGAGCGCCGTTTGAGAGACCAGACTGCCATGCTGCCGACACGGCCCATTTCCCGGTCTCTGGGTTCTGTGTACCAAACTTTTGGTTAAACACTGGCGAAGCGTAAAGGGAGCCGAGCAAGGCAAGGTCGTAACCCTCCATGATGAGGGTGCTAGACAATAACATGGACCATCCTATCGCCTTGGGGTACAGCCTGAGGGCGGTACGCAGCGTCATGCGATGCTCCGCGTCCGCAGCATGTCTCGCCTCCGTTATCAGGGCCGTCTTGCCGTCTGTCGTATCGAGCCCTGGATGCGAGGGCGTGCTCTTGGCCTCGTGAACAGCTCCGGAAGCAACGTGGCTTTCATTGGTGAGCCCGGCGTCGCCTAGTTCGGCATCTCCTTGCTTGGAGGATTCCGCCATCTTGGTAGCGGGGGGGTGAAAGGGAGGGTCGCTGTGGCTCGCTTCTGTTATTTCCCTTCTTGAGCCTCAAGGGAGCTAAAAAAGCGAAAGGGGCGAGAAAAGTATTTCACTTTTATAGAGTCGACCGTCTGCAGCGTCTAAATACCCGGCTTCTCTCTCAAGGTTCGCCTTGCTCCTCAAAATTGCTTCTCGTGCCGACCGGAAATTTCTCCCCCATTTCACGGTGCCGCGTCTGTGCAATACGTTATGTCACGAACGGCCCGAGTTATTTCCTCGGTCCTTCTGGGGTCACTTCCGGGGGGTTGGCGATTTGATGATGCGGGGAGCAAAGCTGGAGTTGGAACGCTTGGATCTGGCCATTGCTCTGCGCTATCTAACGAATATGGTAGGGAGGGCCGAGTATAGCCAGGGTGTCGGAACGGATCCTCGTCTCATTGGTGCAACTGGGTTTTGTCCTATACTACTGGCGGAGTTTTGGTCGGACCATGGGGTCTGTGTCGGAGTAGACTCGAGTCGTCGGACTTTTACATACTGTGAAGATGTGTAAAACATGCTACTTCGTACTTGTTATTACTTTATTATACTCCGTACACATAGGGATCGCCCAAACTTGCCTTTCGATACCGGCCGGGGGCTCTAGAAAACCCCACACACAAACATGTTTAGCCCTGGATACCATGGAGCAGCATATGGTTACTTGACATGAACTTGGATCCCTCCCCCACCACGACTCTGTGCCGCGTTGGTGCTGCTACATTATGCATTGCATGCTCTTGGCGTGTCGCTCCAAGACAAGCTACCAAGGTGTTATCGCATCATTTCTGTAGTAGTAGTAGTACTACCACCAAAAATACCCCCAACAAAACTATAACAGACTCACCACTATGCCTACTTTAGAAGACCTGCCTCACAAGCTAGCTTCCGTACGAGTACGACAATAGAGAAGCAAGGAGTCTAGGCAATTTGGCTCGACACTGGATGCTGCCTCTCAAGAGGTAAGGGAGAAAGAAGCTCGCAACCCATTCCCAACATAGCTACTCACCGAGGTTCAGGAAGCTCCGCCTCGACTTCCGCCCATTATAGCAGAAGCCTCTATTCAACAATTGCCATTCAGTATCGGATGTCAAGTTGCGAAAAGACGAGAAAAATACGCTTGGCTAAATTTTTACCCACCGATTTTGACCAGTCAAGGTGGACTTTTCTAGGATCCCCCTCCCCCTCCTGATTTAGATGGAAAGATGAAAGATTAGATTACAAAAGATGCACGCTCCGGCAATACCATCCCGCCAAGCTTTGGCCCTACACGATGCAACAATAAAGGCCGTCCATGTGCGCGCATGTGTGTTGCAAAGCGGGTATGCGGGTCGGGCGATGGAGAAACTTTGATGGAGCCTCGTCAATGGGCCTGTAAGTTTTTTTCGGATCTGGACCCGACCCGGTCTTGAGTCTTGAACTCCGTCGGCACTTGGTGTGCTCCATGGTCACACGGGAGAAGGGGGGAGGGGAAAGGCACGGGGCGAGCTGCTGACTATGATGAGCTAGTCTACAGTTTATACGGGTTTCGTGAAACTGTTGAGGGTCCGGGTGCACGAGTCAGAAGTGTGTGACAGTCATGGTGTCCAAGCACAGGTTGATGTCGATCTGTATAGATAAGAAGGGATTCTAAATGATTTCTTTTCCCCTTCATATAAACAGTCGACCATCAGTCTTTGGGTATATGTGGTAGATGTGGAAAGCAGAAGCACGACCTAGCTCACAATGCATTCCCATAGCATCACCATCATGGCTGAGAATGCCGACAAGATCACTCCTGCGACACTGTACCCAAATCATGTTTCCTCCAGCAAGTTGACCAATGGTTTGTGCCATCAAACGGAACAGAATGGGACACAACTTCTGGGTAAGGAACCTTGGTGGAAAGCAGGCGTCTTTTACCAGGTATACCCGGCTTCCTTCATGGATAGCAACGGCGATGGTTGGGGAGACATACCTGGCCTGATATCAAAACTGGACTACTTGTCAGATCTGGGCGTGGACTGCGTGTGGCTCTCTCCAGTCTTTGACAGCCCCCAAGCGGATATGGGCTACGACGTGCGGGACTATCAAGCAATATACGCGCCATACGGCACGGCGGAAGACGTGGATCGTCTGACCGAGGAATGCCATCGCCGGGGCATGAAGTTGATACTCGACCTCGTAGTCAATCATACAAGTGTCGAGCACGCGTGGTTCCAGGAATCCCGCTCCAGCAAGACGAGCCCGAAACGGGATTGGTATATATGGAAGCCGGCGCGATACAATAGTCAGGGCGAGCGCATCCCGCCGACCAATTGGCGAGGATATTTTGCTTGTCCCACGTGGACTTGGGACGAGGAGACGCAGGAGTACTACCTGCACCTCTACGCCCCTGATCAGCCTGACCTGAACTGGGAAAACCCAGACTGTCGAGATGCCATCTACAAGGAGACGATGCGGTTCTGGCTGGATCGGGGTGTCGACGGCTTCCGTATCGACACTGTCAACAAGTACTCCAAGCGCACCGAGTACCAAGATGCGCCAGTGACGGATCCACGCTGGGAATCGCAGCCGGCACCAGAAATGTGGTGCAATGGTCCCAGGATCCACGAGTTCATTCACGAGATGAACGAAAAGGCGCTGGCGCCATACCAGGCCGTGAGCGTGGGCGAGCTCTCCAACATGGCCGGGCCCGCCGACGTGCTGCCCTATGTCGGCGCGGCACGGCGCGAGCTCGACATGGTCTTTGAGTTTAGCATGATCCGGCTCGGCACGGGCGGCGGCTTTGGCCCCAAGTACATTTACCAGCCGTACACGCTGCCGACGCTCAAGCGGCACGTGGCGCGGTTCCAGACCTTCATCGAGGGCACCGACGGCTGGACGACGGTGTTTTGCGAGAACCACGACAACGGGCGCGCCGTCTCGCGGTTCGGCGACAGCGGCAGCGGCGCCGAGCTGTGGCGGGCCAGCGCCCGGACCCTGGCGCTGTGGCAGGCGACGCTGACGGGGACCCTGTTCCTCTACCAGGGCCAGGAGATCGGCATGGTCAACATGCCCGCGGCCTGGGGCATTGAGGAGTACAAGGACGTCGAGAGCCGCAACTTTTACGCCGACGCCTCGGCCAGCGGCGATCGGGACCGCGTCGACAAGACCATGCACGGCCTGCGCATCCTCGCCCGGGACCACTCGAGGATCCCGTTCCAGTGGGACGGCGAGGCCCGGAATGCCGGCTTCAGCGACGCCGACGAGACTTGGATGCGGGTTCACGATGGGTACCGGGACATCAATGTGAAGAAACAGACCGGAGACCCAGCCAGCGTTTTGGAGTTTTGGAGGAGACTGCTAAAGATTAGAAAGAAGTATCCAGACGTCTTTGTCCACGGAGTATTTCGGTCTCTGCGGGATGAGGACTTGCAGAGGTATGTGTATGTCAAGGAGAGCAAGCTCGACGTAAATGGCAAGCCTGGCACCAAGCGACGGGCGTTGGTGGTCATGAATTGGTCCAAAGAGGTACAAGAGCCGGAAAATGTGAATGAGGTCTTGGGTTGCTCAGCGGAGAGTGCTCATTTCTTGGTGAGTACGACTGACGGGTGTCGAGAGAGGGCTCAACTTGATGCAGCATTGGAACCATGGGAGGGGAGGATTTATACAAACTTTCAGCCATAATTCATGTAATCAACAGCCTATAATTGACTTTAAGTTCCATATTTTCCATCTTACGAATAGCCTGGTTAATTCATGGCAAATATGTATTCTCCAGTGGTACGTAGTCTCCTTTCTTACACATATTATTTGAGGATAAGTTTACGCACCCCAGCATCCTCATCCCAAGCGAATACCTAGTCCTCGCCTTCAATCAAGGGCAACGATAATGTCTGGTACATGTCGCAGACGAATCAATGGAGGACTGTTGATACATCATTGATTTTTTTATATCTCCATTTTTTGACTCCCCAAACGCCTGATATATTTGTATTTGTAGGATTCTTCAAATACGTTGTAGATCAAAACATTTGTGTAATTTTCGATGCTTTGATCAAGCATTTACGGCTTGCTTGCTACTCATACATTTACGAAAAGAGACCAAGAGTTTCCATAACCAACGCTAAGAAATTACTACGGGACAGATCTTGAAAGTATTGTTAAGAGAACGTTGCTTGTTGAGCATGTGTCTCAATTGTTGTTCGTAGCCTTGGTGGTCTTGGCAGCAGCAGAGGCCGCCGCCCGAGTAGCAGAAGTCTTGGTGTTGGACGAGGTAGCCGAGGCGTCATTTCCCGTGGCTGCTGCTCCTCCGGCTTTGGCACCCGAAGAGGCCGTGGCCTTGGCCGACGACGCCGAAGTGGCACTGTCAGATGAAGCGGAGGTTGTGCTGGCACTGGCGGCGTCGCCTGCTGCTGCGTCTCCTGCATCGGCAGGGGCGGCGGCAGTACTGGTTGGGGCACCAGTTATCTCAAGGCAGCCGGTAGGACGGCTCGCGGTTATGGTGGAAGAGCCGGCGGCGGCAAAGTACTTGTCAATGTTGGGGAGACTGTTTCGTCCATTTGAGTCAGTTACAGCTAGGACCTCGGGGCTACGGTGTGGACTTACACATTCACACAACGGTTCTGGTTGATTGCATCTACGTCAGCCTGAGCTGTGTCAGGCCCGCCGTCAACCATTTTCTGAAGCGTATCAACCACCATCTGGAACGTTCCCTGCATGGCCAGTACATTATTGGCATCTTGCACGTCGGGCTGCTGGCCCATGGCGGCATCCAGAATCGTCTTGTGATTGAGCTCATCCTTCTCGGCATTGAGAGCAATGGTTGCCTGGCGGGTAAAGTCGTCGCCGGTGAGAGACGTGGCCGTGTCGAGAAAGTTGGTCACCTTGCCGGTATCATTCATCCACGAAATGACGGCATTGGCGATCTGGGTATCGCTGACCATTTTCATGCCCATGGTCACGCCGTTGCTGTCCTCTGCAGGGACGGCGCTGGCCGTGGCCGAAGCAGTCGAGTTTTTGGCGGTCGAAGCGTCACCACCGGCGGCACCTCCAGCCGTTGCAGAGGAAGAAGCAGCCGCAGAAGCGACCGCAGAGGAGCTGGTCTTGGACACTGCTTTGCTCTGACTCTTGGAGCTGGTACCTGCAGGCACTGCGGCACCAAAGAGCGGCAGTGCCGCGACAATGATGGAGATTACATAGGCGGAACGCATATTGACCAGCAAGTTTTTGAAATGTTGATGGTAAAAGCAATGACGAGAATTGGATTATTAGAGATAATTATGTTCAAGTCTGCCTTGCAAAGGGACTTGAAGAAAGAAAAGGAAAAGGGAACCCCCAGGTAGAGAAGGAAAGAATGAGTAATTTTTGTTCTTGCAAATGAGAGTAAGTCTGTCTGCACCGTCAAGGCGCCTAGATCAGGATGCGAGTTGGGGAGAAGGAAAGAAATCGCACGCATTCTCATCGTCTCACTTGAGCAAAAAAGAGACTACATATACCAGACGAAGTGAAGAGACGAGACCACTGCAAGAGGTCGAGTTCTGGGCTGTATAGTTGCTGATACTGCCAAGCTCAAGCGCTGAGCAGATCAGAAACGACTACCACCTTCTGCTGCAAGATGCCATGTGAACCAAATTGACCAACAAGGGTGATACTGGCACGAGAAGAGACGAGAGAATCTGGGGAATAGGACCATAACCTTGGGGTCAGGTGATCGCGGCATATAGAAGGCAGCCATGTACTATAGTGAGGCTCCCTCAGGGGATCATCTTGGCAAGCAAGCTCAACCATAATCATGTTAGTGAGCCCGGGCCGACAAAATGCATACGGCGTCGATCAGGGCAGCATTCAAGGTTAGGTTAGTTTGTAGCTATTCGGCCAATCGCAACTATTCCCAGGCCATCATGGACCCCGAATGCGGCAAGCGCCGATCTGAAACTGTAAAGCCGCACTGACTTTTGGGAGACCGATTGTCTTGGAGAAAGATCGAGCGTTTGAAACATACGGCAATTGACCAATCGTGTCCTTCTTTTCGTCCGTCGCCGCACGGTTCGCCAAGAAACCCCCCTTGTGGCACATCATCAGGCCAGACTCGAGTATTACAGCGCCAAGACCGCCTTGTAGGCCGGAGAGCCACCATCCGCTTCTAGGGGCCAAGAGACAATATCATTTTCTTCATCATCACATATGCCTCTCTCATGACTTTGCCTTCATTGAAAGCCCCCTTTGTTGGACGGCAACGCACGGGATGCCATCGGCACGGCCTCATGGGCGAAATATACGAGACGGATCCGGGGCCGGCTCATGCGATTGAGTCCGTGGTAGGCGCATAAGCAGGAGGAATCATAGTACCCATAGATGTTGCCAATGCAGACTTCTTAACTTCTTGTCTGCCCATATAGCCAAGACGGTGAAGAAGCCACTCGGGCTCGTTCTGGTTGTCTTCATTCCCTGATTGATTGCAGGGCAGGCCTGGGCCGTTACATTCTCTTTCTCTCCATCGTCTGTCATTACAACGTCTCTCCTTTTCCTACAGCCCCGGTGGTTGATACAAAAAACTTCCTCCTAATAACATAATGGCTTTCTCATCGATATGCGTGTCAATTCTTGTGCTGGGCGGTAAGCTTGTCATGCTGGTAGCAGCCCAGCAAGATCAACAAGTTCAGTTCAATCAAGTCATTAATCTTAATGGCGACGTGAGTATATATCATCCGCGAACGAGGCAGTCAAATACGTACTCACTCATGATTTAGATGCAACTGAACCGCCTCATCTTCCCCGACAACTCAAAGATTGAGACCTTTTCTCAATCGCAAAAACAAATCATTGTCAACCAAAACCCAAACCCGCTTTCGGCTAATCATGTCGTTGGGTCCTCTGGTCAACCGTTTGTCCAGTTGTCTCAAAACTCCATGACCATTCAGACAAATAAGGCAACCGACTTGGTTGGTGGTCAGGTTGAGATGTCGATTGACCCCAACATCCTCCAACAAGCTGGTGTCAGCCCCGACAATACTTTTGTTGCTCAACTTTCACCTGACCGGCAAGCTTGGATCATCATGGAAGGCGTCAAGAGTGTCAACACGTGAGTACCACTCTCAGGAGCCTGTGTCTTTGTGGCACAACCTCCCTTCACAAATCAAGTGGACTAACAATGATTCAGCACGGACAATACAGTGCGAATGATCAAGATGACGAGTCTCGATGGAGAATACATGGCCGTCGGACGGCAGACCATCGAGACCAGCAATGTCTTGACTACATTCAACCAGAACCAACAGGTCCAGATCTCTGGTTCTGGCATTCAAGAGGTTGAGTTCACCGACGGTTTCCGCATGTCTGTCAGAGCTAGCCAGCCAATGACACTCAAGACCGACGTCGTCAACGGTGTCAGTTCGAGTATGACCACCGGCGGTATCATGCCTGTCAGTGAGTAAAACGGCCGTCCCTCTGAGTACTATTTTCGTAAGCTTACTCGACCACAGACAACTTCCGTTACAAGGTTACTTCGAATCTCGCTGGAGTTGCAACCGATCTTAATTCCATGGTTGCGGTTGTCCAGCTGCCTCGTAGGTCTTACGTCTCGGTGGTGTAGACAAGAAAATTCTAATGCAGTCTTAGTCAATGCTCAACGAATCATGACAATGGCCCAACAGATGGGAGCACAAGCCAACACTCCGATTTCTTTGGGTGTTGCGCAACGTGTAGTGCTCCAGAACCCAGGAGGGTCTTCCGTTCAGAATCTGGCACGCCGGCAGAGGTCCGCTTCGTCTGCCGCTACCTTTTCCAACACAACCAGCAGGGCCGTCGAAGCCGCCGACGCCACATCGGCCGATGCTACTTCGACATCCTCGGACGCTACTGCGACAGCCGGGTCGACAACGGCCGCCGATGGATCATCTTCGACTTCGACCGCGGCTGACAGCGCGACCTCGAGCTCAACTTCAGCCGCCACCTCTTCCACAACCGCCCAGGATGCTGCCGCAACCCAACAAGGGCAACAAGCGGCAACGTCTCCCACTCAGACCCAGGCACAGCTCCCAGCAGCCACACAGCTTCTCCTATCCCCTACCTTTTCCCCCATTTCTGCCCAGGCGCTCCTCGACAAGCAAAACAGCCGCATCGCCGTACCCGTGAGCCAGATTGACGGCGAGTTTATTGTGACAATGGGCATGTCCGGAGCCGGCACCGTCCAGGTCGCCGCCCCCGCCGGCAGCACACCCAGCGGAGCACCACAGGCGGGTCAAGCAGCAGCCGGCGGCGGCGAGGGTGCTGCGCAACAGCAGCAACCCGGCCAGACGACTGCTACTACTCCCCCACAGGAACCTGCCGCTGCCGCCGCTAACCCCGGCACTTCTGGAGCGGTTCTCGCTAGACAAGCAGCGGCGGCAGCCGTACCCCTGGGCACCATCACCATGACCATGGCAGAGATTGAAGAAATGGCCAAACTCCAAGCCACGGGCGGCGTTGTGCCCGTCTGGAGCATGATGAGCGACTTCGTATCGCAGCAGGCGGCAGTGCAAGCCGCTCAAAAGAAGCGTGAAACCGAAGGGCCGAGGAGATTTGTAGCTGTCCCCTTTAAGGTTTAGCTGTTTCTAAAGGGGGCTCCAGGGGCTTCAACGTTTGCGGGATGTGGGATGCGATGCAGGTACGGATGGATACATTGGCGCGGGAAGAGGAAAACAAAAAAGCCTCCTGGCTTGTCCTGGCTACAGAGCAGACAGAAATCAAAGTATCATTCGTACGTAGATATTAAAGACATTTTCTTCTTTCTCCTCCATGATTCTTTTGTTCGGCTCAGGACGGTGACGTGGAGACGTATCGGAGTGAGACGTGAACCGAACAAATCAGCGGCAACTGCCCATGCCCGTCACTGTATCTATTTTGGTCTATTTTCCCGTAGTATTGGATCGATGATCGCCCCGGCCGTCCTTGGGGGGTGTTCTCTTTCTTTCCCAAAGCGTGCAGCAAGGTCGGCTCTGGTGCAGAATTGAGAATTGGTGGAGTCTAGAAACATTAGACGGGTAAAGAAAGACAAGCAAAGACAGAAAAGAGCCAAGCTTTCTGCAATGCTTCTTCTAAAAACCGTCGGCGCTGGAAGCCGAAATGGGCTTGAAAAGGCCCGTACCCATGATCTGACAGCCTCTGTGGATCGTATTGGCAGTGCTGTGCCGCAAAGCTCGTATGAGATCGCTACTGAATTGGGTTGGAAGGCGCGAATCTAGTACTAGATAAGGGGTAAAAACAACAACAACAACAATGACGCTGGCAGCTGTTAGCTAGACCTTCTCTCTGCAACATCAATAACACCACACCTCTTCGTTCTTGGAATCGTTTTCCATACACAGTACTAGGCCGTGCCCAGTGAGTGTCTGATTGGGTCGTTTAGCTGATCATTATAAGCTTAGGCATCCATATTTCTGCAGTAGCGCCAGGGGTTGGTTTCCTTGGACGTTCTTGGGGCAAGCAAAGCAAGCTTTCGGAACCAATCTTAGCATTACATTTAGTACCCCCCGTGGGTCATTTCAGAGGGCTGAGCCACTTTCCCATGAGTCTAGTTCCTTTCACGATAGGATTCCTTCTCGGCTGGGAAGTGTTTCCTCTTGTCTGCGGATTCTGGCGGTCGCAAAGAAAGAGGATGGTGATTGACTGGTAAGCCGCCAATTCGGAAATCGTATGTCCTACCACGAAAGGAATCCATCATGTCTTACACGACGCCTCCCATCACGTCGACCACCATCTATGGAGCAGTTGAGACCTATAGCGCGCAACAAGCGGCGCCGGCTCTCTTGACGCGCTTTACGCCGCCCGATCAATGCTCAACTGAGTGGTACTGGGACACTGGCGTCTTGCGGTCCTCGAGTACGGCCTTCAGCGACTCGAGCCACAACACAGCATGGAGTACGTGCCAACCGTATAGCGCAACCGGCGCGACCTACTCGGCCGGCATCTGTCCATACAAGTCCGAGTTCAAATCAGTAACACAAGTGTCTTGGGATGGAGTCTCATCGTCATATTATGTCGGCGCTTGTTGCGCAAGGTAAAATGGACTCCTTTCTTCACTCATGACAAATATATCCCACTAACCTTGCACTCAAGCACCGCTTCATATGACACTTATACCAGCGGAGACTCTACGGGACTATATGGATGCATTGCGACGGTGACCTCGACTACTGTTGCAGCGACAATGGTGCAAGAAAACGATGAGCCGACGGTCGTATCATCGGCAGGTCCAATTACCATCATTGCAGAGCCACTGTTCATGGTGTGGCACGAAAGCGATACAACATTGCATGCAGCGTCAGACGCAAGCTCACTCTTCGCCGCCATGAACATGGCAATGCCATCCGAAACTGTCACCGCGTCTCCTACGCCCTCAATGGCAACGGCTGCGCCAGAACCCGGACTCGGCCAAACAGCCGTCATTGGCATTGCTGTAGGTTTCGGAGTATGTGGTCTCATCATTGCCGGACTGGCGTATTTTGCCTTTATCCGGCTCCGGAAACGGAAAGCAGACGACGCAAACCCGGACAACACGCCAGCACAGAGGAGTCCAGGCGCCGGCGCCCAGGCATGGAAGGACGGGGCCGTGTACGCCAACGAGCTCCAAATCCAGACCCCAAACACAATGGACAAGACGCACTCCTTTTCTAATTTGCACAATGGCGAAAGTGCATATATGCGAGGCGGCCAATCACCACCTGCATCTGCATCGAATCAAGACAAGGACGATAATATATTTGTAGTAGAGCAGAAAATGCTGCTTCGATAAGCAGGGATCGACGAGCACGGCGATGCGGACGACATTGTACTCTGATAACATGGCTGCTGCAATGATCAGACTACAAAGACTTGCTCAAACTATCCCGAAGATATCACGATCCTACAAGGTATTGAAAAGCTCAAAAGATGCAGCAAGCCTCAAGAGCGTGCATGTCACTGCCGAGAGCGAGTCCCTTTAGTACAGGAAACCCGAAGAACCTTCCGGGCTTCATTGCAATCTCCGAAGATATACTCTGTCGAATGAGCCGGTACAACGACCGACTGAATCATCTGCAACGCAAAACGTCATGAGTTTGAAGAGCTCCGGACGATCAGCTTCGAGGATCGGATTCACAATGTCTTGCCAAGAATCGACTCCACACGAAGATATAATTTTCCACCACTCAGACGAACAGTAAATGAGGCACACCCGCGACCCCTCGAAAGAACTGTCTGTATATATCGTCTTGAATTTCCATACCAGTCAAGCGCTCAGACAATTCTCTTTATTTTCGAAAAGCCTCAATACAGACACGGACCGATATCCCAAGAAATGTCTCTCGAAGAACATATTACAGCTTTACAGGCCTCACTCGATAAGGCCAAGCTTGTCCCTGGCTCTGCTTCCGAGCTGATCCCTTCTTCCTTTGCACCTAGCACGGTGCTTAAAATCAGCTTTGGCGACAAGGCGGTGGATCTGGGCAACTTTTTTCGAGCGAGCGAATGCAAGGTTGCCCCAACGATATCCTTTGCGCCGGAAACGGGCAGCTCGTCATCGTCAAACGCCTCGTATCTTCTCATCCTGACCGACCCGGACGCGCCCACGCCAGATGATCCGAAGTTTGCCTTTTGGCGACACTGGATCGTGAGCGGTCTGCAGCCCCTAGCTGGCGGGAGCCAAGGGGCGGTTGCGTTGACAAAGCCGACGATTACAGAGTATCTAGGCCCTGGTCCCAAGGACGAGTACGTAGCCTGGAGTCAAGGCTTCTCATTTGATAAGGAAACTTTTGGAACAGGAATTAATGCATAATGCAGCTCGAAACCACACCGGTATCTTTTTCTCTTGTACCGAGAGCCCGAGGCCCTCGATCTCAAAAAGCAAGACGCTGGAGGAGAGGAATTTGTGGAGCGACGGTCATTTAAGCCGGCGCAATTTGCAGAGAAATTCCAGCTGAAGCTGGTCTCGGTCAATTGGATGACATGCGCAGGTGATGGCTGGTCAGAATAGACCATAGACTTCAATAGCTAGAATATACAAAACAACCACCTCCCGCTGAAAGACTTGGTGTCATAATACACTATAGGGAAAAAAAAGAAGAATATTGATTATCGGGTTATATCATTTTGTGTCACTTGGATTGGGAGCTGAGAGTCACTGGTCCGAGTATGCCTTGCGGAAAGCCCATTTGTCGGAGCCCAACTGCGCTGGCCCAGTAATGATTCGCTGAGCCTCGCTGAGCCTCGCCTGTTCATCCATATATGCAGATAAGGCTGTACGCAATCTCTTTGTCGTCCTTTCATCAACACTATCAAAACTTTTTATCGTCTTCCCGTTCTGAGCAGCGGCCTTTGATAATATGGACGGCGTATCGGCCGCAGCCAGCGCCATTGCCATTGTGCAGGCAGCGGGCATGCTTCACGTGGTGGGAAAGTCATTCTGGGACACGTTTATCAGCAAAGACAACGAGGATCGGGGAGGCGACGCGACCGCGCGCGTCGCCAGCATTGACGAGTTTATCCAAAAGATCAAGCTTCTTCAGTTTGCCACGGCAGCGACACCACCAGCACCACCCGAGGGCGGCGGCGGCCCAGCCGTCCTAGCCAACGCCGTGACCGTGTCGGGACTCGGCGGCACACTGACGCAGTGTGAGGCCCAGCTCGCGTCACTCCGAAAAAAGGTCGCGAAGATGACGCTTCCGGCTGGTGTGAACAAGTGGAAACGCTTCGTGGCTACGGTGCGTATAAAGTTGAACGAAACCGAGTTTCCACATCTGGAATCTACAATCGGGACTCTGCTCACACAACTCGAACTCATCATTTCGCTTGCGCATTATGAGCTGTCAAAGAACAGGCGAGTACAAGTTCTTGTTGAACGGCCTTTGCCAGATAAAAAAAAAGTTGTACTGACTTTCTTTTCTCCACAGCCATGAGCGCAGCCAAAAGGCCCAGGCTGAAGCCGCACAAATACTCCAGCGACTAGAACAGCGGCAACAAGAGGACAGGATTCAGGTGTTTGACCAGCACACGGCAAGTCTCGCCGTCATCCAGAACACCCTCGAGCAAAGCGGCGTGCAACTCGGAAAGCAAGAGCAGATCTTCCAAGAGAGCCACGACATCATCATCAAGGCGCTCGAGAAACTCACCATCTCGCCGCGCCTAGACAGAACGGCAAGCGAGCTGTCGGGCACCACGGCGGGAACCGTGGCCGTCGAGACCATGGAGGTTGACGACGACGACGACGACGACAACGACGCTGTCGTCCCCGTTGCGCCGGGCCTCATACTCCACCCAGGCTTCAACTTTCGCGATGACCGGCTAGAGGGCGCGGCCGAGATTGCAAAACCCACACTCGACTTGATCGGGCGGTGGCTGGACCCGAGCAGCGTGGACGTGTCGCGCGTATACATCCACGCCTCCAAGGACGACGACGCGACCCACGACCTGTGCAACCGCGTCGTGTACGAGCTGGCCATGGCCAACTCCTCCAGGCTTTTGTGCTACAACGGGCTGCCGAGGGAGGGATCCCCGCCCGCCGACGGATGGTATACCATGACCCATCTGATCTGGTGGCTGTCGGCGCAAATGCTCATCGCCATGCCGCATCTCGACGGCCACATGCCGGCGAGCGGCTATGATCCGGACGTGCCCTCACTAGTCGAAAAGCTGCAAAAAGTGCCCGACGACGGCCCAGCTTATGTTGTTCTCTATTTACCGGGAGAGTCTTGCCATGGCGACTCGGACCGCAAGTTGTATTATTCCCTTGTCGCAAGCATGTGCGGTATTTCAAGTACCCGAGTAAGACTCTTGCTCTTCTCAGACGGCAAAGACTGTGAAGTTATGAACCTTTTTGGCACCAACAAACTTGTCATCGATAATGTTACCCGCCAAGACAAGATGTCGCTCGATGACTGGATGCCTCCAAATATTGGGTAACTGTCTTGACGGAGACAAGTGACGCCGGCTCACAACGAAAATATCGATACGAGTGTTTAGTAACATTGAATACGAGCCATCCCATTCTTCTCTATGTAGAGGTAGCTTATGAAACAAAAGCGGGTGCGGTCGCGTTGATGTCAGTTTTACTTCTTCTGGAATTGTAGGTCTTCATGCATGTTAGGTGAACCAAAGTGCAAGTCGTGATTAATGCGTCTATATTAGTAAAATAATTGTTTTTCGTTCCTCCTTGTCATCTGCATACCCCCTCGCTGAAATCGGATTGAATTGCATTCTCCGTGATATATCCATCAATCATATCGCGTTTTCTGGCCGCCTTATAAGACGAACAGGATGTTGGTATCTGCAACTAATTAGCACAAAGCACTCTAAAAATCAAACATGAGTTCACATACCAAGAGGATGACTGCAGCTCAACTGCGGCTTTTGTGTGTACTTGGTCTCTAATACGTCACGAATGCTGTTCAGAAGCTGGACATAGCTTTGCTGGGGGTTCTGCTTCAAGGCTGTAATAAATGCCCAGCTCATGGCGCCAGTAGCCTGCTGAGCAATAGTCGCATCTGCAGATGTTTGGTCATCCTTTGATCCAGACCACATGATGACGTCAGCTGGCGAAGTACGTGTGTCCTTGGTCTTGTTATAAGCATCGTCGCCCTTGTACGCCTTCTTGGCAAATCCGAGAAGGGAGCTTGCGACGCCACCCATATCTCCGCGAGCATACGAGCCAATGGCAGAAAGCAGTCCCTGTCCAGCTTCGGCAGCCAGATTGGGCTCCTTTAGCACACCCTTGGTGCTGTACATGTACGGCAGATCAAGAACGGAACCCGAATGGCATGAGTCAAAGATGGCTGTCAATCGTACACCGGCGGCGAGAGGCTTGACCACGAGAGCGTGTAACTCATCATCCACGATATGGCCGGCACTCTTATAGTCGACCGGGTAGATGACCTCATCGGTTCCATCCTCCTCGTCTCCGTCAAGATCAGCAGTCTGACCTCCGTGACCACTGTAATGCAAGAACAGAGCATCGTCCGGACGGGCACCAGCGACAAGCCACTGCATCGCCCGACGAATGTTGGCAGCAGTCGGTTGCAGGACCTGATCCTGCGCATCATCAGTGAGGATGATCATATCCTCGCGTTTGTAGTTGTAGCGCTCCATAAGGAAAGCAGAGACATTCTTGGTATCGTTGATACATCCACGTAGCTCGCCATCCTGTCCAAAGTAGTTGATACCAATCAGCAGGGCCTTGCGCTTACCAGTACAATGCGAGTACTGGAAGGTGTATTCGGAGGGGGCGCCATGGCCGAACTGTTGGGCATTGTGAGGGGGAGGGGGCGCATTCGAGCGACCTTGATTGCCGCCACCGTATCCGCCCGAGTTGTACCCTTGAGACTGGTTCGGGTAGCCGTAAGAGTCGAGATTCTGCGGGGGCGGGTAGTTGGGCGGCTGGTGATGACCGTAGCCGTGCTGCTGAGGGGGTTGAGAGTATTGACCTTGACCGTAGTGCGACGGAGGCGGTCCGGGAGGCCCACCGCCGTATCCTCCCTGCTGCTGCCATTGACCCGGAGGAGGTCCCTGTGGAGGTTGACCGTAGCCACCGCCGCCGCCATATCCTCCTCCGTGTTGTCCAGGATAGCCACTATGCTGGCCGGGATAACCACTGTGCTGGCCGGGATAGTTGCCGCCAGGGTAGCCGCCGCCGCCGCCGCCGTAGCCTTGGTTGTAAGACATGATTGTGCTCGAAATGTGGAAAGTTGCCGAGTGAGAGTGGAGGGATGAAAAAAAGAGAGGGTTTCGCCAAGCAAAGAACAAAGACCACAAGGAATTTGAGGTACGGCAATGTGATGTGATATGAGAAATGTAAGACGAGGCCAACAGCAGCCACCAGTAGTACGTAGTCGCAAACCAGAGCGGGGCTCCTATTTTGGAGGGGCAATAGTAGCAGCAGCAGCAACAGCGACGTAGGCTGGCAGCAGGATAAGGCAACGTCGTTTGTTTGTTTGACGCCGAAACGCAATAAGCTGCATGCGGGGCAAGAAGGAAGACGCCAGACCCTTGTAGCAGCTGACGAGGGATCTGCTGGAGATGCAGCAGCCCCCCAAGCCCCTGGAAACTGTACAGCAACCCCACTAACAATGACTGGCTGGAAGGGCCAGAACGTCGGGCTCAGCCGCCTAAAAGCCGCGCTTCCAAGGACTTCCAAGCCGGAATTCGGCAACTTCTCGAGGGCTTAACTTTGCTTCATATGCGTGGGAGGACTCCAATCAACAGGCCTCCAACGTGTCTCGCGATGAGTATTCCGCAAAAGATAGGGGATCTTTGGGGGGGTTCCTACCTCTTGTAGGGCTGCTCGTTTGCCAGAGACATCCAGGAACCACTTAATACCAGTGAAACAAATGCTCGGCACGCAGCAGTATTGGCTTGGCAGTTACAGCAGCGGGTCTGATTGACTATCTGGAAGCTGCGGTGCACCAAAACGTTGAATGAGAGTCATCTCAGACGTGTCCGCTTTGCTCGTGATTTTCGTGGATTGATTGATTGATGTGGGTGTTTGATTGCTAAATGTGTGGTATAATGACCTCTGCGTGAACCACTCAACCCTCTCAGCGGTCTCTGTATTAAATCGTTGTATCTTGCAACATTTACTCAAACTCCTTCCCTCCATTTTCCACCCCCAGAAAAAACACAGAATCCCCGTTCAAACCCCAGATTCCCACAACAGCATTTGCCATGTCTTTCTTCAAGAACCTTGCCGACAAGTTCGATGACCTTAGCGTCGGAGGTCGCAAGGATGATGAACAGCAGCAGCAGGCGCAGCAATATGGTAAGCTAAAACCACATCTCACAAATCTTTAACACAAATCCATCTACCCTAACCCGACGCCAAAAGAGCGACGGCGTTTCCCCCTTGCGCAATAGCGTATAACTCTGTGCCTCAACTCGGGTTTCAGCTTTCTTTGAGTTAACCACGCCAAACTGGGAACAGGCCGCCGCGACTTTGGAGACTCTCACTCGGGCTCTTACTCGTCGCCTCCTCCCCAGCAGTACGGTCAATACGGATCGCAGTACGGACAGGGCCAATACTCGGCTCCGCCTCCTCAGCAGTACAACTCGCCGCCTCCAGGATCGTACTCGTCACCTCCGCCGCAGCAGGTCAGTTTCCAATACTCCAATCCCTGATACGGCATAGGGATAAGGCCGAGCCACATATTTAGACCTTATGCTTTAAGATTCTACCTCGCCTTGAAGTCAACCAAAAAAGGAAATTGCTAACTCCGATACGTGAAACAGGGATATGGCGGCCAGTCTCAGGCTCCAGAGTACCATCCTCCCCAGGACAAGCCTCCCATTCCTAGAGGCTGGATTCCGAAGTGGGATCAGCAGTACTCGCGCTGGTACTATGTAGAGGAGGCCACTGGTCGATCTCAATGGGAGGCTCCCGGCTATGATGCCACTCGGCCGCCCATGCCCGGCGCCGACTCCCGCGGCCACGAGTCTTCGTACGGTGCCGGCGCACCACCTCCCAGTGGCTATGGGCACCACGACTCGGGCTATGGAGCTGGTGGATATGGCAGTGGTGGTGGCTACGGCGGCGGCAGTGGCTATGGAGGCGACCACGGAGGTCAGAGCCAGTACGGAGGTTATGCAGGCGACCAACGTGGCGACAGCTACGAGCCCGAGAAGGAGAAGAAGAGCAGCAACAAAAGCGGTATGCTGCTTGGTGCTGCCGGTGGTCTCGCAGTCGGTGCCGTTGGCGGTGCCCTGCTTCACGAAGCCTTGGGTGAGTCTTTATTATCTTTTGGGGTTCTCCTGTACAGCCGAGACGCGGTACGCTAACAGTACCAGATGACTCGTCTGATGATGAGCACCACGCTCCAGCTCCTGCTCCCGTCTATGTAGTAGAAGCTGCTCCTGCCCCTGTCTATGCAGAACCGCCCCCTGCAGAATACTACGCACCTCCTCCTGGTGATGAGAGTGATCGTGAATCTCTCGAGGAGGCACGCGAGGACTACATTGAGGCTCTCGAAGACGCAGCCTCGAGTAGCGCCAGCAGCAGTGATCGCGAGGAGCTTGAGGAGGCCAGAGAAGAGTATCAGGAAGAGTACGAAGAGTATTATGGTGAGGATGACTAGAAGCAACGAGTATCCGACTGTCAGTACATTTGATGAACTGGGCCGTGGCGTCTACCACATGAGACCACAGGCATGATATTCTGGTGTCTAGATATGTAGACCAATACTGAACACAGTGTCAATCAAAATGCCTGAGACTCTAACATTGAATGGTTCATACTTTCACCTGTAGAATGCATTGTTCTCAGAAATCTAGTCAAATCCTAAGTGCATGATGTTTCGCTGTACTGTCCAAGCCCGAAAGCTCTCTGCCGGTGGGAGAAGACAACGGCGACATTGACTCCTTACGATATCCATCGACGGTAGCGGCCAGGATCTGATACAGAGTAAGAGTCGAGATCTTGTACTCGTTGTCGCGTCTTGCTTTTGCCCATCCAGCTTGTGTACGGTGGGGAGCATTGCTTGATTCTCGGTCTTATTCGTCTTTCATGGGGCATCGAGGCTGATGAAAATATTCGCGTACAGGCTCGCCATGCCCGTCCACACAACTCTGTGAGCGACTTTCAGAGGATGATTGCATTTATACTGCTGACAGGAGACTATCGCACATCAAAACCTAAGAGTAAAGACTCCAAACCCCCCAAACGACCGCCTGTGGACTCATAATGCGTGAAAAAGTACAAATGGGAACTGGGAATTGTTCATCTTCGAAAACTCCGATACCGACGCGAATGGAAAATTAAGCCATTAAATGTTTATTGCTGCTTCTTGCCCTTGTAGAGATATCTAGGTACAGTTAGTATCGTGCGATGACAGCCAACCAATCAAGGCAAACTTACCCTCCAAAAACTCCCTCAACAACACCAACAACGCTCAAGACTCCCAAACCAAGACCGATCTGGTTCCAGCCCAGACGGCCTCGCTCGTGGAGATCCCAAGCCTTGTAGCCGAGGAAGCCAGACAGACCAATAACGCCCACCAGGTTGCTGATGACGAGGGCGCTGCTAGCACCGTCGCTGAGGTTGCCAAACCATTTGGTCAGGATGCTGTCGGCCTTGCGGGCCTTGGCAGCGGCCTTCTTCTTGGCGAGCTCTGCCTCTGCGCGGGCCTTCTCCTTGGCCTCACGAGCTTCCTCTTCGTGCTGAATGCGCGATGCCTGGGTATCGGTTTGGACGTCCTGCTCCTCAAAGTCGGAAGGGACGGTGCGCACAGAGGGTGTATCGACGTCAACCAGAGAGGCGGTACTGGCGCTCTCAGAGGGCTCGATCTCGGGAGGGGGAGGAGCGGCAGCCTGGATAGATTCAAATAGGTGAGCTCATGTCAATCGGGGGAAAAAATCAAGGGCTCAAAGGGAGCAACGCGGGCAGTAGCTTTGGGAAGCTGTCGGCCACGGCGCAGTATGCGCAATGAAACATACCTCCTCGGGAGTCTGCTTGGGGCCTGATGCTGCTACTGATGCGTAAGACACTACAGATGATGTTTGTTAGCCATGACCCAACACTCTCGACCGTAAAAATATGCTGCGCGACAAGTTGCGGGGGTACAATAAACAGAAAGTCACATACTATTGTTGGTTGTTTGAACTCGTCGCTGGTTCGATGAGGACTTGTGTGTGTGGTAGAGTAAGGAATGATTGGCGTGAGGGAGAAAGAAAGACGACAAATCTTTTTTCTCAATGGACAGAGGCGGGATGTGGTGTGATTAATAGATGATGAAGCACATGCGATGCAGGTCTGTCTTTCGGGGGTCTGAGTCGAAGGAGAAAATCGGGTGTGCGTGTCTTTGGCTGCGTGTTTATGCGTGCCATCCGCTTCGCAGCGCAGCGCTTGCAAGGCCAAGCTTAGGTTAGTACAGCTCTCCCGAGCAACAATGACGTCAACTGGTCGTTGCGGCTCCATAATTCTTTTTCACCACCAGGAGATTCAAGGAAGGACGGAAAGCTCCTGGCCTACCAGGTATCTGGGCAGTACCTTGCTTTAGCTAATAAGTGATGTGATTCAAAGTTCTAATCCACATTTGTCTATCAATGTTTCATGCTTCTTTTAGATGTTCCTGATATGTTGAGCTTTTGGTATTATATACTCTGGTATTTGGTGTTGCAATGTCTTCTTGCTATTCTTTTTGATGATACCAAAGCTGCTGGAGCTCTTCCGCATTAGCTCCATAGCTACTACAAGGTACTGAGTTAGCCCCAGTATATTACCTATGGTGACTACGAGGTCATAAAAAGCGCTCATCAGACTGGATACCGTGCACTATTGACGAACATCACCAAGCAGTTCAAATCAGGACGCCCAAGATAAGTGTGGGCAGTGCTTGTGCATAATTGTCTGGAGGGCTGGAGGGCTGGAGAGGACACAATTTCCTCTGTTTAGCAAGCTGTCAACAAAGCAATGCTCAAAACGGCTTCGACGCATGTTGCTTCTTTTTGCGAGATTGTTTTTGATGGCCATAGGCAGCGGCTGCTTTAATGCATTGAAGTGTTGTGGGAACCTTTGTCAAACTAGTCTAAACAAGAGCAGCTCAGCATGACAGCCGCCCACAGTGGAGAAAGAACGCACTCGAAACTTCTCACGATACTCACCCCGACACATGCAGATAACTCTGGCATTGCTCGACTCAGTTGCATTCAAGGCTGCTGCCACTTCTTTGCTGGATTCATCGTTTTGCATCCGACCAGTTTTGTCAGACTTGGTGCTGGCAAAGGTCCCGCGGATATGGCGGGGTGTGTGTATTCGACCAACCCGTGGGGAAAGGCAGAGATGCTTCAATTTCAAGTTCCACCAGGCGGGCGTAGTTCGCTCGTCTGAACTCGTTCCATCACGATTATGCTTTTGAGATTGACTAGTAGAGAGACTGTGGGAATGTGCGTGATGGAATGTTTTTGAAAAAAAAAAAAAAAAAAAAAAAAAAAAAAAAGGACGCATCGCCGAAAAGGACTCAAGCTGAGACCATCATAATGCGTACTATGGCCTCAGATAGCAACGTACGCACGCGATATATACGCCCCACGTATTCAGATGTCGCGTGTCTGGCGGCTTACGATCTACCTGGACTATAAATACATGTGGCCTTTGCTCGACATGAACCTATGCAATCCGGCCATGGCATTGACTTGTTATTTATTGGCTCGCTTGCACACAACAAGAGCCAATCTGTCAGACTGAGTGCCCAACACCTGGACGTTGTGGCGGCCAAAGAATCTTGTCGCATGCACACTCTTGCTCCACTCCACCAAGGCCTAACATAACATCTGAAGACGTGGAAGCTTTCCCAGCCCTTGATAATGTTAGGCTGTCATTTTGGCCGTGTTTGACCATTCGAGAGCACTGTTTCATACAATGCCGAGGCGAATTATTTGTATGATCTCATTCAAAGCGCTGCCCAAAGGCCTATCCAAGAAATGACAAGGCGCTGTTCTTGGTGTGTGTCAGTGGTTGATATGTTGCCAAGTGTGCTGGGCTGAGGTGTTGCGTTGGGAATTACAGCGACAGCTTATGGCCCTATATCACTCTTTTGACACGAGATTCCAGCGTGGCAGCTTACTTTGGTCCTACCACGCAAAGCGTCACGTTGTCAAAGATACCTAGCTATTGGGCACAAAGGCAGGTATCCCCCACCAACAGATGCGAGATAACGTACATCCAAATGCACTGAAAAGTTGACATTGTTTCTTGCTGGGCTGGAATCAGTGGCGATGATTACCCGTAGCCCAAGTATGCTTGAGAAATGCATTTCGTTTATTTGCAAAGCTTTAAGTATCCTAGACTTTTACGTATGAAATGAGGCAAGACACATCTGGAGCTGCTGGATTATCGCTCCAAAGATGGCCGCTATCATCCAAACACCGACAATAATGTCCATAGAAAGAGAGCCATCTACCTTTCTAGAGGGCTTTTTTCAACACGTCCAAAGTCTTGCTCAGGACAGTTCGTACCAATATCTTAGGGGGGTCCTCGAGGAAAACAGCAATTTGAAAGGCCGAAATCACATTCTGAACATCACCAATGAAGAAAACTACCGCGCTATCTCCAAACTTCAAGTACATCTCGACGACTGTTCAAAACGTTACGAAGATCAGAGTCAAGAACTAGCTACGCTTACCCAGGAGAGAACGTCGTGGAGCGAGAAGGCGGCCCAACTGGAGTCTGACGCAGAATGGAGCAAGAAGGAATTGGACATCAAAGCAGAAGCGTTGTCAAGACTTGAGATCGAAGCCGCTACCAAAACTGCTGATCTCGAAGCAAAAGACGCAGAGCTCGAGTCCACCAAGACTGAACTCGCCCAAGCCAATACCAGGCTCAATACCACTGAATCCGATCTTCAAGTGGCAGAGGAACAGCTCGACGAAACTAAAGCTAACCTCGAATCAATGATTAACGACCTCGAAAGAAGCAAAACCGAGCTCTCCGAATCCCGTACTGCCCTCGAGACTCTAGATGCTGAGCTCAAATTGGCGAATATCCGGCTAGAGGAGGCCGTGACAACGCTTGAATCAACCAAGACACAACTTCAAGGGAGCATTGACCAGTGCTCGTCTATTCAAGTTGACCTCAATGTCAAGTCATCAGATCTCGAAAGTCTCCACGTGAGCCTCGACGAAGAGAAATCCGCCCTTACTGCAGCCCAGAGCGCACTTGAAAAGACCACGGCTGACCTTCAATTGACAAGGGACGACCTTGAGAGGAAAAACACGAGACTTGGTGAGCTCAATGCGTTGTCCTTCAATCTAAAATGTCCACCACAGGATCAAACGTGGGTGTGCCCCTTTTCCGACTTTTGATATCTCTATACTCATATTTCTCAAGGCAACAGCATCTACAAAACATGTTTACGCTATCTTACCACTGGGCTGAGAGTCTTTTTGCCAATGACTTGGAAGAAACAGACTTCATGGCCCCAACCGCGAGCACAAACTGGGCCAAGATGCGCAACCACGGCCGAGTCCACCGCATGATACCCCTCCCCCTGTCCAACACACGCGAGGCCAAAAAGATGCGCACCGCCGCCGTGCTGGCCATACTCGCCTGGGCTCTAGCCCAGTATGTTTTTCAGCCAACATACCTCTTGCAATGTAATGAGCTCTGCGACTTGCTCGGAGGGTTAGCAGACGATGATCCAGTACGGGAAAATTACCTCCGCAGCGTCTTGCTCCCCGTGCTACCATCGAGACAAAAGGCCAATGGCAAAAGACGCATCGAACAGGTTGTGCTGGAGGTTTTTACTGCCGTTTCGCCCGTCTTACCGGCCAGTCGACACGACGAGATTCGCACTAGCCTCGAGACCATCTGCAAACAGATCTGCGGACAGTGGATGCGGCTCCAGCTTCTCGACGAGAAGATCGAGCCCAGCTTTGACGCGTATGATGAAGAGGATTGGAGACTCCTGCTGCTGGATGGGAGCGAGGGCGAGACTTTGAAGACGCCGACTGGTACTAATGTCATTGCTGCTGCTGCTGCCGCGGCCGACGAATCCGCCATAGCCGACGATGATCGCCCCGACGGCGTGACCGACATTGAAGAGATCGCTGCTGTCCTATGGCCATCCTTCCTGTCCCTCGGCGGCGGCGAGTCGGAGCTGCTGTCCGAGGGCTTCGTCCTCGCCAAGGCCCAAGTCAAGCCCGCGTACAGCGAGGAAAGGGCCGCCCAGCAGAATGGTGCCCACCGCGCCGCGCGACAAATGAGCCGACGGGACCGGACCAAGTCCTTTACTACGACCGCCAATGGCGAGGATGATGATGCGAGCGGCTCGGACAAGACGTCTTTTTTACCCACGGACCCGGTCGAGGACGGCGGAGGCGGCGGCGGCGCGCAATTAGTCCACGACCGCGATATTCCGTCGCCCAGCAGCAGCGACAAGAGGCCAGCGACCCAGGCAGGCAGCTGAGGGAATGGGCTAGAAGATGGAGGTCTAGAATGCTAAATGGTAGCTCTGAGTTGGTGGTGAACGGCTTGTATGATGATACTCGAGTTGCTCACTCGGATTCTGGGAGGCGACGCAGGGCACGAGGGGACGCGGCAAGTAGCGGCGGAAGTGGCAGGAGTCGGAGGACTTTATGATCGGTCTGTCACTCATTTGTTTCCTAACTTGGCGCAGAATATGCGCACATCAGGTGTCGACTCCTGTTTTACGGGCATGTTCTGGCGCATTAAGTTCATTTTATTGCATAGTTTGTACAGCATCTGTAATTCTGGGCATGGTCGAGTTTTATATTCATTTTCTTTCTTTTGTATAACCAAGACTCAATAGTATGCCATCTTTAGCTTCTGGTATCTTTTATTACCCTAGACTGCCAGCTCATTTCGTTGCTACTCTTGATATTGTCCATATTAGCATCCTTAACTTCCTAGGTATTCTCGTGCGTGACGATGATTTCATTCGACTATGACCCGCCTCTAAAGCTCTTGATAGCTTTATTGATAGAGTGGTCCAGAAGTGGCGGGGGATCTCTCCACCTCTTCTCGAATAATATTTCCATCTTCCCAAAATAGTATTCAAACCAGTGCATGCAGCTCATTAGTCTGGAATCTGATATAATCAAGTCAAGACTGTCGCAGTCTTTGCAGGTATTCTCTCTTGTTTCTTTGTCTACTTGCTCCACCATGTCCGAGGCTGTGGCAAGTGTCCAGTCCCTTTCCTCCGCCGACTGGAAGAAGGTGCTTCCTCAATTGCCAGCGGAACCACGACTCCCACAAACGGTATCGCCATGCCCAATCCAAGCGACAGACATATTGGCCAAGACGAATCTCGTTATTTGCAATCTACTGATGCTGGATCATGGCTTCGACGCAAATCGATTTTTTGTTAATGGCGATGAGTAAAAGTACACATTTGTGTCGTAATTATGAATCGTTTCAACTTCAAGTTTCTATTTTAATTTGATATCGTGAGATTCGGATGTTCTATATGCAGAACGGAGGTGGCGGCGGCCTGGTCGTTGAATATGGTAAGCGGGCGGGGCTTGGGGACATGTGACTCACTCACTGTATATCGCAGGGCGTGCCTCTCATCGCCCGAATGAACTGCGCAACTTATTACTCATCAAAATGCAATTTCTAGAAATCAATTCAACGTATATATACTCGTATAATTCTATTTAGAAACTATTCTTTGGCAAATATCTATATTATACAAGCCTTTGTGCGACTTCTTGGAAATTGCCATGAACCCCGCGAGTACCCGAAAGACGGCGCTCATCGTCATCGATGTTCAAAATGGTTTCCTGCATCCTACGCACTGGGGCACAAGCAGAAGCACGCCAGAATGCGAAAAGAACATTGAGAGGCTTTTGAAAGCAGCTCGTGCTCACAACAGCACCATACCAGCAGACAGCCCAGACTCCATTCTGATCGCCCACGTCCTACATCACAGCATCTCTTCGGACTCACAATTGCATCCCTCGAAGCAAATCGAGTCCAACGGGCAGACTTTCAGAGCGGTGGATGCTCAAGAATTTGCAAAGCCGCTGGCCGGCGAGTCCGTCTGGACAAAGAATGTCAACTCGGCCTTTATCGGCACAGGCCTCGAGACTCTGCTGAGAGAAAATGGTGTGCGACAGCTCGTCATCTGCGGTCTCACGACCGACCACTGTGTCAGCACTTCCACGCGTATGGCCTCCAACCTGAGGATCGTCGACATTCTTGGAGAGGACGGCAAGGTCCTGGAAGAGGGCGAGATTGTGCTTGTAGGGGATGCGTGCGCGACGTATGCCAAGGGCGCATTTGATGCCGAGACGGTTCACCAGGTAAACCTCGCCAGTCTGGATGGAGAGTTTGCGCGGGTTCAGGGCACAAGTCTTGTAATTGAGAAAGTGCTGGCAGCTTGAAGCAGGCTGTCCCTTATCTTGGCCTGGATTCGAAACTCATGGGCTGAATCTTCGCTTGTCCAAATGAGATCCAATCAATTAGATCACAAGGTTCTCGGAACAAATGATGGTGTCATATATTTGATACCGTGAATTGTCAATCAAGGACGACCTCCGTGTTGTCGTCGCTGTCCTAGTCGAAAGTCTTTGTACCCTTGTGTTTGACGAAATGTGCCGCTTTGATGAAGGCGAGGTATACACTGACCCCAGCCCAAAATGTGACAATGATGGAAAGGCCCCATATGAGCTTTGCATCAATGATTCTGGGAGCAATAAATTTTCGCAAGGCAGTACTCATAAGAAACCAGCTCCACAGCGGCGGGGTTTGTCCTGGTGCGTGAGACTCGTTGAGTTGGTCCTCTGCCTGCTCACTTTCGTGTTGCTCGATTGTATCAAGCATCCTCCAGGCGACTTTGTTACTGATCTTATCCCAGGTCGCCTCACAGGCTTGGTCACGAGCAGCACTACTCAGTCGCTCTTGTAGTTGCGGTTGATTTGCGACCTCGAGTACTTGATCAACAAACGCATGTAAGTCATTTGGTGGTATCAGGAAGCCGCTGGTGCCGTGCTCGATAATGTCACTTGGCCCGCCTTCATCTCTCGCTATGACTGGCACGCCGCTTGCCATTGATTCCAAGACGACCAGGCCGAATGTTTCGGTGATTGAGCAGTGAAGGAAGAGATCAGCAGAGGCATAGTGGGTCATGAGTTCCTCGCCGGTCTTGAAACCAGCGAATATGACTTTGCCCTTTTCGCTGAGCGGTCGAAAAAGGTCTCTGACCTCTTGTTCCACGACAGCGTTGCGGTTTCCACCGACAATCACCAACTTGAAATTCAAGCCACGTCGTGCCAGCTCGTGAGCCGCATCAGCCAGAAAACCGAAGCCTTTCTCACCTGCGAGTCTCGAGCAAGTAAATAAAATGATCTCTCCGTTTGGTGCCCATTGTTTCCGGAGATCGTTGCTCCGTTTCAACGGGCTGAATCCATCCGTATTCACGCCTCGCCTCAAAACGTCCAACTTTTCTCCTTGGACCCCTGCTGGTCCCTCGAGGTATCTTTTCACGAACTTGCTCGGATAGAAGATGGTTTTGACGGAGGAGTGAGAGAAGAGATATCCCTGAACCTTGCTAAAAGTCCAACTGGCAATGGCCCCCAGTGGCTGGGGAAAGAGGATCTCGCAGTAACCTGCTAGGTCTGTCTGGAAGTTGCAAATAACTGGTACTTGAGTATAGGCTGGTTGTTGGCGAAGTTGCAACATGACTTGAAACCCCAGAGATGCCGGACTTCCCAGATAGATCAAGTCGGGAGGGCCGCCAAACGTCCGCTCGTACAGTTGGGACAAACGGACGGGGTAGACGATGGAGAGCTCGGGATTGAAGGGCAAAGGGTATCCTGTCAAGCGAATCTCCTGTGACCGCATGGAGCTGGCATCAAGATTGTCGATGGCCTCAAAGGTGTTGACTTTGGTGTGGTTGTGGGGTGCCACGACGGCGACTTGGGCACCATGCGATCGCAAATGGTTGACCAAGTTCATATTCGTCCTGCTAACGCCATTGATGGGACCGAAAGACTCGACGCAGAATAGAATACGACGACCGCGTAGTTCAGATGGGAATACACTCAGGTCAGGATGATCCATTTTGATAATGGCCAGTTTCTCAGTACGAATGATAGACAAGCGGTTGTTGCTGTTGCAGTTTTATGACGTCTTGTCGTCTTTATCGGATGAAGCTGTGCAGGTAAGAATATAAACTGGGAGTATTTGATCAACAGATATGTAAATAATCAAGTCAAATTCCTGGCTGGCCAGAATCGTCAGGTGGCTACTTTGTCAAACCTTGACCCAGATTGGAATTGTATCTGGGTCTTTGTGCTGCTTTGTGCTACTTTGGCTCCATCCGATGGACTGGGTAAATCGATGTGCCCTGGCCATGTTTCCACTAGGACAGAATGTAGGGAAAGAAGTCTTTCTGCACATGATTAATCGTGGCAGGGCCGTGGATCATCTGGTATTCAAGGATACCGATAATGATGATAGCATAATCGGTGTGCTGGATGGGCGTCCACGGGTGTTTCCACGGCGGCGGTTTGCCATTTTGGGTGTTGCATCTGATGGTTTGGCGGCGTGACTTGCATTGTAAGTGGCAGTTAGTGGGGCGCACCTATGCAGCTGCCGTGGCTGCTACTACCCGACCTGCCTAGACTCTGGTCCCCATGGACAGACAGCCAATGGATACACGCACGTTGCGTCTGTCCCATTCTTCCCCAACGACAATTGGATTTTCTTCTTGTCACGACTCAATACCGCTGGTGCACATCAAGACTGTGAAAATATGATGTTTACCTTCTGAATTCATCACTGAGCTGGATTCTCTCTCTCTCTTTCTCTCTCTAGTCTCATCGAACTCCCCCCCCATCATCGATGTTACCGGGGCCCTTTCTGCCGTCTTCCTTTAATGCAACCATCCCAGCCGGACAGGTCCCTACGTGCATTCTACGTTGGTTTCTATAGTAGCGTATCACGGCTTGTTCAGGCTTACATCGAAATAAATGGTACTCGGGATGGACTAGATAACAAATTTGCTCCTCAAATCAAGCATCATTTTTACTTTGAAGGCGCCATAAACTGTTCTAACATGTACTGCCGTCCATGTGCGAAATCAATTAGTTTGTTGCAGTGTATTTCTAAAAGAGACTTTGTTCTGTGCTTGGCTCGAGGCACAATGCGCACCAATCAGAGTCCGTAAAACATGCACGCCATCCATTCAACTCGTTACTCGACCAGTATCAATTGCGCTACTGATCAGTTACAGGGCGACATCCCGATTTTTTTTTTTTAAACACAGGCCCAAGCAAATCAGAAGTTGGGACCTTTCTTTAGGAACTAGGAAACACGGTTGATTGACGCAACATCTCACGAATGAAGCAATCAGGATCCGTTCCGGAGCCGGCGCATGCTTGTTGCATTCAGAGCTAATGGCTGATCCAAAATGCAGGTGGCTGTGGTGGAGGGGCACACAATAAAAAGACCATTCTGATGTCTGGTAGACCCTGCCTATCTACTGAAAGTCTCCGATTCACGTGTAGCCTTGCAGCATCCGATTCTCGTCCACTGACGGTCCAGCACATGGCCCCCGTGGTGTTTTGTGTTGCTCTCCGTTGGCCGTCGTATACACTTACTTGCCTGCACGCCGCCATATTACCGCCGTCAAATCGAGACTAGCCGATCCCGAGACAACACCATGTACACCCAGCTGGGTAAGACACCCGACTATACATCGAGGCGCACATACAATACATACAACAGATAAGCAACCCATTATCGGGTAGTATTCTCTTACGTGCGCTGTAAAGCTTCAATCGCCACCCATGGAATACCTACTACGCAAGGTACGATTGCTAGAGGACTACCTAGTTGGCGCTAGGATATTATGTATATTCGTACGCAAAGCATCGCCTTCACCGTTGACAGCGCTGCCCGGAAGCTGATATCGTCGCAAGATCCCCATGTGCTACCTGCTGAGGATTCCCGGCCCCTGGTTTGGTTGCACGAGATCGTCGCTGCCCAAGCATGGTACCATACTAAGAACACTTTGCCGCCATTCTTTTTACTTATCGCACCACTCATGCTGTTTGAATAAAACACATGTTGATATTGCCATGTACCAAAGTCACTCATCCGCAGACACTCGCCACAAGAATTTCTATCTTCTTGTAAGTATGACCGAGATAAGCGTCCAACCTGTTCCCTAGATGACCCGAAAGGTCACTGGCATACCATACAAGCGCTCTGTGACTGACCTCTAGTCATGTTGGAAATTGTTGGGGCGTACATTCAACAGGAAAGCGCCATCCTATATATGCCGCTTTTGTCACGCTTGCATTAGTAATTTGTCTTCATACAACTTCCCAGTCCAGGCAGGCGCCTTTCAGATACCTTGAGTTGTTTTTTATTCCCTGCCCAGACTACATACCATTTTGCTTTTCTCCATCATCGGAGTCTCACCGAGGCGCCTGCGGATGCGACCTGAGAACCACCTGCCACGTCCCAGCCCTGAAGCATACGTGATCGCGTGGCTTTCACAAGCTCACTTATATCCCTTCCTATGCCCTCACGCGACAACCTCTCTCTCTCACTTCTTTCAACCTTTCTCACACCAATACCTTCTCACACTTTTTGAACACTTGCTGCATGGATTGCAAATTGTCACTCCGCAGTCTTTTGTTCAAGATGAATTTCTTCCCTCCCCCAATTTCCAACATACAAGATGGAGATTTGACGGATAGCGGTGCCTCTACTGCCCCATCCACTCCTGAGGGTAGCCTGACATTCAGTCCCGTGTTGCGTGCTAGAGTCGGTAGCCAGCTCGAGATTGAGTCCTCTAGCCTTGCAGGTCAAGCATCGGAAACGGCTTCTCTACCTGCGCCATCTATCACCCGCCCGCCACCGCGAGTACGCAATATCTGCTGCGTGGGCGCTGGCTACGTTGGTAAGTTGCGCAATCCTTGCTTCTGAGGCAGCAATCCAGAACTCCCTCACCATTGGAATCTTCGGTCGCTGATTCTGACAAAGGTGGCCCGACTGCCGCGGTAATTGCATATCAGAACCCACATATACGTGTCACTGTTGTAGACAGAGATGAAAAGCGAATCAAGCGCTGGAATTCCAAGCATCTCCCAATATATGAGCCAGGTCTGGGGGACATTGTTCGGATCGCTCGAGATGGCTCTCGGGAATGCTCCATCGCAAACGAGCCTACCAACATAATACCATCTGATGTGTTGTCCGAGGCGGCCTCGTCATCAGACTACAGCAGTCAGTCTGAAGGACATGCAAACAGTTTGAAAACTATTCCCGCTCGAACGCCCAACCTCTTCTTCTCCACAGATGTCGCTAGACACATTTCCGAGGCCGACATAGTTCTTGTTGCAGTCAATACTCCGACAAAATCAAAAGGCATGGGTGCTGGAAGTGCCACTGATATGACCGCGTTCGAAGCAGTCACTGGCGTTGTCGCACAACATGCTCGACCTGGAGCAATCATTGTGGAAAAGTCAACCGTTCCGTGTAGAACTGCTCAGCTTGTGAAAGAAACGGTAAGTCTTGCCAGATTGTAGAAATGACATGAGTCTCCTGTGACGGTACTGACAATTTCTCAGATGTCTATCCACCGCCCGGGCGTACACTTTGAGATTCTCTCCAACCCCGAGTTCCTTGCTGCGGGTACAGCTATGAAGGATCTGATGAGGCCGGACCGTGTCCTCATTGGGAGCTCGACAACGCTTTCTGGCAAGCGAGCAGCCGAAGCTCTTGCTGAAGTGTATGCTGCATGGGTTCCCAGAAAACGCATCATCACGACAAACGTGTGGTCATCAGAACTTGCCAAACTAGTAGCAAACTCCATGCTTGCACAGAGAATCAGTTCCATCAACTCGATATCGGCTATTTGCGAGAAGACAGGTGCAGATGTGGACGAGGTGGCAGCCTCAATTGGATGCGACCCAAGAATCGGCGACAAATTTTTGAAAGCTGGTATTGGTTTTGGTGGCAGTTGTTTCAAGAAAGACATCCTGAGCCTTGTTTACTTGGCAGAATCCCTGGGACTCGAGGAAGTTGGCGAGTACTGGCGCCAAGTGGTCAAGATGAACGAGTATCAGCGAGACCGCTTTAGCAGTCGTGTCATCAAGTGCCTCAACAACACCTTGACGGGCAAGAAGATCACCATTTTGGGCTATGCATTCAAGGCAAACACTTCCGACACACGGGAGTCACCGGCTCTGGAGATTATCAAGACATTACTGCAAGAAGGTCCCAAGGAGATTGCAATTTTCGACCCTTGCTGCAGTCCGGCCGTCATCAGAGACGAGATCAAAACGCTGCTCAGGGGGATGGCCGCCCTGGAGGCCGATGGTGGCCCGATAGTGGTATATGGCAACGCCTATGAGGCGTGCACGGCTTCCAATGCAGTGCTCGTCACAACCGAATTCGACGAGTTTCGCATGACTTCTACAAAGTCCGCCTCTCCTGGTCGTCCCCGCGTACGAAGCGTTGATCCCCGACCTTTTGGTCTGACCGGTCCAACAGAGACCGAAGTCTTGGCTCTGCATGAACACTTGCTTGAATCTGGATGCTGCCCAGCTGGATCGGACCCTCTGCAGAGATATGTAGAGGAACCCAGCTGCGTAGATGATTGCCCCGACTGCGACCCAGAACAGGGCGGCTACTCGACGGCTGGAAATTCCGATGAGCATAAACCCAAAGAGAAGCTGGATTGGAATAAGATTGCATACCACTTGCAAAAGCCGAAATGGGTTTTCGACGGACGGGGCGTTACGGATGTCAGCACACTCAACCGGCTTGGTGTCACGGTTGAAAGTGTAGGCCGACAAGGGCGATCATGAGCTCACGAGCCAAATTGACAGATTCCTCGTACTACAGGAATCATTGTTCGAAATGTTTACATGAAGCGTATCATTCTTGGGAGTTGACCTGGCACTTACACTGATTATTCTTACTGGGGCGCTTGTTGAACATGGGATATGAGTATACGGAGGACTTTTTGGCCAATCATGGGTTTTATTAAAGTGTCTTGTTTAGAGAGTGATTTGGGTACAACTCAACGTTGTATCTGAAGCTGCATCTTGTCTTTTTGTCTTTCTTTTTTCGAATCAGATGGAGAACAATACCCCCCTGTATATAAGGAATCATTACAGTCTCTATAGAAACGCCCCAAGCAATCCAGCCTATGAGTTCAAGGGGTCGGAAGTCCAGGCCTACATAATACGACTACAGGCGAGCTAGTATTTTCACTCTAATGCAACACATTTGTGCTCGGCAAGAATGCGCGGCTTCCACGTGATCACGTGAAAGGTTTTCAAGGGAGATGTAAAAGCTCCGAACCAGGAATGGGAAATTCGGAGATTAAGCGTATTCCATGCCACATGGGAATGGTAAGAAATGGGCATATTTCTTTAGCCAGATGTGTGAGAATTGCACCACTGGCACTCGAAACCACTCCAGCGGGCCATTGTCGGGGGGGCGCTACGGAATAGCGGCCAGTATCCAGCAGTCGGGCATAAAAAACTACCGAGACTCGACCCTGCATCATTGTACCGAGGCGCCGACGTCATTAAATAAAACCCACGGGATTCCCGGACGCGGAGATGGTTCATGTATGAGAATGAAACGCGCCACGTGCAAGCAGAACGAGATTGACTATTTCATCTTTGTACGCAGGGTTTCCTCGTCGCAAATACTGCAACTGTAAAGAGAGCAGCCCACACAAAAAGGGAAAAATGGTGAGGTGCAGCAGAGTTCTGAGAGCGTCGCTCCAATTGTCCAGAGGCGGCTGGGCGGCGCCAAAAAGGACCAGCAACAGCACCGCTCAACTATACGCCCCGCTCGTGCAAAGGCTGTATTCGACCGACGGGCCCAAGCCGAATCGCGGCGGCTCCAAGGTGTTCAAGTCGGCAGATGAAGCTGTCGCCGATCTCAAAGATGGCTCAGTCATTTTGAGTGCCGGATTCGGTCTTTGTGGTGTAGCCGGTAAGTTTTGTATATCCAGCGCATTGTGTTTCACAAGAGACCATTGTTCAATAATATACTGACACTTTATCCATCACAGAAACACTCATTGAAGCGATACACAAAAAGGGACTCAAGAACCTCACAGCAGTCTCGAATAATGCCGGCGCCGGCGACAAGGGCCTCGCCAAATTGACTGGCGACGGTCGGATAAACCGCATGATCATGTCCTACCTCGGCAGCAACAAGGAGCTGGAGCGGCAGTACCTCAGCGGCGAGGTTGCAGTCGAGCTGTGTCCACAGGGTACCTTGGCCGAGAGGCTGCGCGCGGCCGGTGCTGGTATTCCGGCTTTCTACACCTCGACTGGTGGCAGTGAGTCCTTACTTTTCATTTCTATATACTGGCGATGATCGGAAAGGAAGTTGACCTTTGGGATCAGGGACGTTCATCGAGTCGGGAGAAATTCCATTGAGATTTACGCCAGAGGATGGCATTATAGAAAAGGGTATCCCGAAAGAGTCGAGGATATTCAATGGAAAGTCGTACATTATGGAAAAGGCCCTGCCGGGCGACGTTGCCATTCTGCGCGCATGGAAGGTTGACGAGGCGGGCAACTGTGTCTTCAAGTAAGTTGAGAGAGTTGATCCAAATTCCAAAGGCGTAACCCCATTGACACCATCAAGATACACCACACGAACATACGCTCCGCTCATGGCCAAGGCCGCCAAGATTGCCATTGTCGAAGCCGAGGAGATTGTGCCCGTCGGTACCCTGGACCCGCAAAACGTGCACCTCCCCGGCATCTTTATCGACCGGATCGTGCCAGCGACGGCGCCCAAGCAGATTGAAAACCTGAAACTGGCGCCGTCCAAGGACCCGGCCAAGACGAGCGCGCCCAACGCCCGCAACACCATTGCCCGACGGGCCGCCAAGGAGCTCAAGGACGGCTACTTTGTCAACCTGGGCGTGGGCATCCCGACCCTGGCCGCGTCGTACGTCCCCGACGGCGTCAAGGTCTGGCTGCAGTCCGAGAACGGCATCCTGGGCATGGGCCCCTACCCGGCGACAGAGGCCGACGTGGACCCGGACCTGATCAACGCCGGCAAGGAGACGACGACGCTCCTGCCCGGCGCGTCCGTCTTTGACTCGGCCGAGTCGTTTGGCATGATCCGCGGCGGCCACGTCGACGTGTCCATCCTGGGCGCCTTCCAGGTCTCGGCCTCGGGCGACCTGGCCAACTACATGATCCCCGGAAAGGTCTTCAAGGGCATGGGCGGCGCCATGGACCTCGTGTCCAACCCCGAGCAGACCAAGATTGTCGTCGCCACCGAGCACGTGGACAAGAAGGGCCGCAGCAAGATTGTCCAGGACTGCAAGCTGCCCCTGACAGGCAAGGGCGTCGTCAGCACCATTATTACCGATCTGGCCGTCTTCCAGGTCGACCGCGCCAAGGGAGGGCTGACCCTGACCGAGATTGCCGAGGGCGTGGATCTCGAGACGGTCAAGAAGAACACGGATGCCGAGTTTACTGTTGCCGAGCCCCTTGGTACTTTTTAAAGGGAAGAGTTTTTGGGAATTCTCAATGTGAATTTCTAGAAGCATTGTATATAGACATGAGAGCGATGTGTAGTCATAGCGTTTTGTATATATGAATTGTATTTTGAGCAAATGTGGAAATGATTATGTCAATTATTAATGTCTGTTGACTTACCAAGAGGGCTCATCATCAAGTTATACTAAACCTTTTTTTTAATGAGTAATCAAAAGATATTTAGAACATTAAATCCAAGACATTGAAATGTTTGAATCGTACAGTAACATCAACACATGATGCATTACATCAGAGTATGAAAACTATTTTTCATTAATGCAGCACAATGGTATCTCTAATCAATTTTACATAAAAAGTCTTAATCTATTCTCTTACAATTTCGCCCGGAGACCAGGGGCAAAAGTCGTCCCCGATCCGCCCGTAATGACGTTGGCCAGACCGTCAATCTGCTCCAGCATCCAAAGATTGCCCTCATCACTCGCCAGCCACTCGCCGCCCTGGACCTCCTCCTCGCCCTCGGCCCGGGCGTCGCCAAACTCATAGGCCTTGCGCAGTCCGAAAATGTGCGAAACCACCTGGGGCCCGACACCCGTCTGAGTGCGCAGACAGGAAATGGCCACGAGACTCGTCAGCACGCGGCCGACGGTGCCGCCGGCGGGGCGGGCCTCGCCGCGCGGGTTGGACAGCAGGTTCGAGTAGTGGCCGTTGAGGATGTGCACGGGCAGGTCCGGGTGGCTCTGGCCGAGCTTGTCGAGGAGCTTGCGCTCGAAGCCGACGTAGACCGAGTCCCAGAGGGCGAGGCCGTCGCGCTGGCGGGCCTCGAGGTTCTGGGGCGTGAGCTGGCGCGTCGGGCGCGCCGTCTGCGACAGCTGCGCGGCCACGTCGGTCGGCAGGCTGCCGTAAAAGGCGCCCAGGGTGTTGATGGACCGCGGGATGCCGTTGAAGGAGATGCACTTGAGCCCGACCTCGCGGATCAGCTCGGCGTTTTGCGCGGGCGTCCGGCTGCTGCCGCCGCCGCCTCCAGAGGACTGTTCGTTGGCAACGTGGAATATTGATGTCATGGCTTCGGGGCAGTTTAGCGTTGCGCTCACGGCCGTCTAATTTTTCCCCCCTCCAGGGTCAGTAACCAAGTTGTGTGTCATAATTCTTCATCATGTTTTCTTTTTCCACGTACCGACATTGTGATCCACGCCGGCAGTCCGACCTTTTTCTCTGCTGCACTGCTCGCGAACCGCGCCAGCGCAGGCTTCACTTGAGCCGAGGCCTTGGTCAAGCCCGGACTGGCGGCGGGGGCATTGATGAGAGCCTTGACGGCGTCTGAGAGTTTCGACATTGTCTGGAGACTATGACTCTGTACTTGGGCGTCCTCCTTTTCCAATTCCCTGGGTTGAATCAATTGGGGTAATCACACAAGGATCGATCGTTGATCATGTCATGGGGGAATTTCCTTATAACCCCACGGACAAGAACCGCGGCTCATGGCCGAGTGAGTAAGTGAATGAAATTCGGAGTCGCGCGCGCATCGTTCGTCTTTTCGGGCGTTCTTGAATGCCCGTCCCATGGGCCGATTCGGATTACTTGCCGGGGGGTAAGCTCTCAGCTGGATGCTAGCGGGTTTGCAGCACTAAAAGTTATCCCTAGTACACTAGAGCGTCGTGCCCAACGCTGGAAGCTCCACTGATGATCACCCCTGCGGGGGTGGAGCTGTCCTCCAACTCTGCGACGGCGCATTCCCGAGATCGGTGGAACGAATATACGAATGGCTGCCCAGCTGCCAAGCCAATCACTAAAACACGCCACTTTATACATGCTGTAGGTAATATGATGGAGGAAAACTGCATTGTGCGGCGAGTATATGTTAGCTCAAATCAAGCCCTGATTTATGCAAGCTGATAATAATATTATTCTATAAGCCTGATGTAAAGCCCAACATTCACAGAACATTTTTCAAAATTGTCTGTGCCTGGCCATCTCAAGGCACTCGACACAACCTTCACTATCCTGCCTAACCCCCACCATCCTTCACCATTGTCGAAAACCCACGATCATATAGGGGGAATCATTTCGAGAAAACAAAAACTAGCAAGTCTACAATACCAACTTGAATGATGGCTCTCTATCATCCAACTTGCCGATATACTGATCATATTTCCCGTTGGCTTTGTCCTTGTTAATCTTCCAGCAATGGAGTACATTAAACAGAATCCTGAGAACAAAGTGTTAGCATTTCACGAGATGAATTTCAGAGTCTTGTGCATTACTTACAGGAACCAACCAGCAATCAAGAGTCCGAGTATAATGGTGTGTCCCTCGTGATATTGCGGACCCTGGGACTTGGGGTAAACAAAGACGGTCACGAACCCGCCACAATTGGCAATGGCCAGCTGAAGAGCACTCGTGGTCGCGCGCTTGTAGTGGCCGGCCGAGTTGTTGGACAGCCATCCCAGGACGGGAGGCACGGAGCTGTACAGGCCTGTTGCCATCAAAAAGGTCATGCCGTATTTGACGTGTGGATTCGTCACATTGGCAATGACAGCGTACCCAATGATGGCAATGGGCAGTGTGCACAGCATCATTATTCCACGAATACGCAGGCGATCCGAGAGAAGAGCGACAATGACTAGATACTTCAGTCAGCAATGAACACCGATAATCAGTTGGATCAAGTCACTTACCGGTGCATATGGCGGCTACTGCATATGGAATGACGGACCATAGTTGGGTCTCCGAAACTGTATAACCACCAAGCGCATTGATAATCGTCGGGAGCTTGGATTGTTAGTGTTCATGTATAGGTGCAAATGCAAAACAAGACTCACGAAAAGACCAAAAGAGTAGAGCCCGGACAAGATTCCAAAGTAGGCGCAGGCAGTCAGCCAGGTTTGCCAGCTAAAGACGCCGCGACCAACCTCGGACCAAGAAAACCTTTCCTCGGCCTCACTACGATAAAGAATTAGTATACCTCGATATTAGTGATCTGCACAAGTTACTCACTGATCGCGAATCTGGTCGTTGTCTCTTCCTGCCTTGAGTCTGTTGATTGCGAACTCGCGTTCTTCGGGGGTGAGGAATTTCGCCGTGGTAAGTCCATTGGGCAAGAGAAAGTATACTACAATAGCAACCACGGCCGTCTATGAGTCAAGGTCAATACAGTTTCCGATGTAAATTGTATGATATGGAAGAGATTTCTCACAAGCAGCCCTTCAATCACAAAAATCCACCTCCAGCTGCTTAGGCCTCCTCTGCTACCGATTTTCGAAATTCCATACGCGAGTAGTCCTATTTGCAGAATAATCAGCGAATATGACAACATTCTTATTGCGACTTGTAAATACCCACCACCGAAAGCGCCAGAAAGCGACGCGGCCGTGTAAAACAGACCGATGCGCAGGGCAAGCTCCTCGCGGCGGTAAATGCCGGAGAGGTAGAGAATCATGCCGGGCAGCAGCCCGCCCTCGGTGGCACCCAGGATGGCGCGGACGGCGACGAAGCCGGCAAAGTTTTGCACGAACCCGAGACACATGGCCGTGACGCCCCAGGCAAAGGCCAGCACGGTGAGCCATATCGAGGGAGTCACGCGCTTGAGGACCAGATTTGATGGCACCTCACTGTTTTTTGATCAGAAAGTGTCAAAAGTCAGTAAGCAGCACACACACATATTGCGGGGTCAAGACATGGTTTTTCCTTGGCCACGAACCTTACAATGTAGGTAGCGTAAAAGACGGCTAGACCTTGGTCGTACTCGTGGTCTGTGATATTAATGTCTTTTTCGAGATTGTAAAGTCTCGCGTTGCCGACATTTGTACGGTCCAGGAATGAGCACAGGAAGAGGACGGCGAGAATGGGCAGGATCCTTGACAGAAAAGAAGAATGCGTGTCAGTATAGCTGGGCCGACGATCATGGAGCGTTCGTTTTACCTGGTGTCAAGCTTCCATAGAATCTTCCGCGTCATGTGTGAATGGTCATGATCGGATGGAGTGTGAAGCACTTCGCCCTTTTCAACCTCCTCGGCGGTCGCTTTGTGGGTAGTAGAATTGGTGTTTCTCGTCGACATGACTGCTACTACTGCTTGCTGCTTGACTTGGCGCTCACGACTCTTGGCTTGCTTGATCGCTTAGGTTTCCAAGAAGTCGGTGGAGCAAGAAAGACCCAGAAAAAACGACGCGGGAAAGCAATTTAAAGACGTTGCCAAGTGAGCTTCGCAAGGCTTGGTGTTTAATATTTGTACTCTGATAGGCGTATTCATGGCTTGGCCATTCGGAGATTGTGGGGTTCGCTGGCCATAACTTGGGAGTCGGGACTTGGGACTGCGGGGAAATGTACCCTTGTCTTTGCCTGTCATTTGGGGAACAGGATTGGTATGCTGGCTTGTCTTGCATGTAAGCAGATGCGGGGAGGGAGCACAGGGCAGAGATAGACGGACGCTACTACTGAGGAAGGTAAACGGTGGCTGATAAACGTCCGATGGAGACATGTACGGCTCGAAGGAAGGTCAGGCAGTTTATCAGTTGAAAGAAGTGGGCACAATTATGCCACCTAGTGCTTATGGATTTGCATTCTACACACATGTGAATGACGAGGTCATGGTAGTAGGGAAACGTCCGATTTCCCTCTTGATTGCAGTCCACAGGGTAGCAAGATTGATCTCCTCATCATTATTAACTCGTCTGTGAAGAGTAACCTTATCCTTCAAGCCGCGTATCACAAACCCTGGCGCCACATCATTCACAGCTGAAGTCTGAGTGATACCAGACGGCTGGAGAGGGCCAGAAGTTCCCGCCAATAATTTCCTCTTTTCTTTTTGTGCCAGTACCCCTAGTATCGCGAATACCCTCTCAAGGCCATTCGCCAAACTATCCTAGGCAAACGTTGACCAATCCATCCAGTCCAGATCTGTGACATTTTGGAATTGGAAATCCTCCCATATCGACTCGAGCCCAACGTCGGTATTGTTGATGGCTTCGTCCAATTGCACGTTGGACATACTCGAGAAGAGAGGAAACTCTGGGGCCAGCGTAACCGGGGCTATCTCTACGGGCATGTTGTATATGTTTCCGGATTGCATATCTTGTGGAATTGGCGCTGTAGTAGTTTCTCTGCTTGGTTCGGCATGACTTCTAGCATTTTCTGATGCTCGCGAAGCTAATTTGAGGATCTGTCTTAGTTGTATCGCAAACAAGCAAGACAATCCCTTGCGTTGTATTGGAGTGGACCCGATTCTCTCCAAGACGTCGGTCGTCTCCGTTATTAATGTTCGTATACCCGGTGCCAAGCTCGATCCATGGGCATCGGCCACTGTACCAACACGCAGAGCGAAACATGCTGCGCACGAGATCATGATAGCCGTGTTGTTTGGCATCGACTTGAGCTGATTCTCCCCCTGAACCGCTACACGCAAGACATTGAGTGCAGACGACAAACCGGCCGCTCGAAAGAAATGTCGGGCGGCGACAGGGGCGGTCAAGTGGTTGATGACGCTGCTATACATGGACAGACGTGTGTGAGAGGCTAGAATCTCGACATATGGTGGAAGAGCAAGTTCTATATCGATTTAGCGATGATGTGTGGCGTATACTGCCGGCATAAAGTTGGAAAAAGCTTACGTTCTCGGTCACCAATCTGTAGTGGCCATGTTTGATACCAGCGGTCGAAGAAAAAGTTGATTTCGCCTTTCAACCTGCTTTAATTAGCCAAAGCTAGCAGACTCCGGCTCGGGATAGTACTGCATACCTATTTACTACTGCGGCTTCACTGTCATTACTGGAACTGTCACAGATGGCCTTGACGCGGCTGATCAGGTTGGCCTGGAATCTGGAGTCAGTATTATATACCTTTGATGGGCTAACATCAACTGACCAAGTCTCTTCGCAGCACTGCGACTGACACTATCGATCCATCCCACCGATCTGCCAATTCAGACAGGTGCCATTGATCGCAGCTCTCGATTAAAGGGGTCATGGGGAAAACGTAATCCCTTCCGCGTGCCAAGCATACACTTTATTGACACCGTCAGTACGAGCCCGAGCATTCTCGATTGGGAATAACATACCCTCTCTCAAGAACGAATAGTGACAACCAGGTCCGCTCTCTTCGTCTCAGTAGTCTTTTGGCGCCTAGGGACAATGGGTCAAGATCTGCAAATCCATCAATCGATAGAGCCTTCCTGGCATCCAGGCAATCGGCTGTGGCTACACCATCTTTCGGTGTCTGCGGCTCGTGCGAGGCCGGCAAGATAATCTTGTTGAGCGACAGATCCAACGCTATAGTGAGGGCCATCGACAGCCAGGTCGAAGTCTCATCGTCTGCCCAATGATCCCCGGCTGATATCCATGGAATATTCACCATGAACGCCAGCACAATCTCGACAGATTTGTACCGCTTTGACATGATAATACCTGCAAGCATTTGCCGGTGATTGGCTAGTCGCTTATACAAGGATTCCAGCGAGGGTGAGAAGAGTGCAGAGGCCGCTGCAATAGATGTGAGCAGAAAGGCCGACCTGCTGCGCACAAAGTTGACTGTGTGAATCACAGGATCGATACCCCAGCGCGTATGGGCCAGCTTATCGTAGAAACTGTAGCGGGATGAGTGACATGGGACTTTGTGACTATGCACACGAACTCACTATGAAAACAATGCTTCGGCTTCGGCAAGAGTGATGAGGCCAAGATCAATGGGATCGAGCTCTTCTCCAACGTCTAATCGAGGTTGAAATGGGCCAAAGAACCTCTGCAGGTCATTATCACTTCTCTGCCCATGCTTGGGAGCAGAGTGACCAGGTAGGCCAATGGTTGTTGCAACGCGCGGATGTATCGCCGAGAGCAGTTCAGAAGTCCGCGCAAGCAGTTGCAGCGGATTCTCTGCATCGTCCAAGCTGAGCTGGTCCCCATCACCTCTTTGGGTGGATGCATCATCGCGTCCGAGTCCTTGACCTGGAGGCGTCTCTGTCGATGAAGTTGTTCGAACTGGCGATGAGATGTGGTCATTCTCGTCTATTCTGCCAGCAGCATGATCATCAAAACCATTCGAATTTCCCAAAAGCTCTCTGCTCCTTTCCAACAGGAAGCGCAATTCATTGGCTTGATCTTGGTTCTGAATCTGGTCGCCGCTAGAGCTTGTCCTCCTCAAGGCACGCTCAATCTGATCAACAGCTTTCTCCAGACCAGTACGCTTGCTTTTCCCCAGGAACAAAAGGTTAGTGTAGGCTCAAGATGGCGGCCTTGTTGTGGGTGGTGATTCTTACTTCTTGACACCTTTGGTTGGTTAGTTTTGAATGCGGCCAAGGTTCCCCAGTCCGGGGGGTGGTGTGTGTGTGTGGAGAGAGTTGTCAAGGTAAAGGTAAAGGTCAGGGACTTGCTTGCTTACCTTTGTGTCTGCCGACATGATATGCCGGAGCCGCGCAGTCAATCCGCCGCTGCCGGCATCGCGTGCAAGTCGCAGATCCGGCCGTCCTCACGCATTTCAGTTTTGACCTTTTGCAATTGAAGCACGCCGCCAGACGCTCATCATCCTTCATCTCGTCCTTTGTGTCATGGCCCGGGACTGAAGCTGCAGTGTCCGACATGGTGCAATAGGCTAGCCATATGGCCGCGGTAACATTGAGAGGTCGCGCTCCTGCTCCTAGGCGTATCTGGCAGGAGGCATGGCATTGAAAATACCAAGACCTCTTTTCTTCGAGGGTTTCGCCAGAACAAATTTAATTTTATGGCGATTGTTCTGCTGAAGTATCAGAATCCCTGGATAAAAGTGACACTGAGACTTGTCCCCGCCTTTCTCCACGAACAGCATCAAACAAGCTCGATTCTCTTGCACGACTCGCATCACGTGACCTCAACATTTTGCCTAACACCGCTATCCCGAGCTTACCGTCGCGAGCTCGGATATAACCAATCATTTGCTCTGTATTTACACTAAGAAGGGTGCTGATATCTTGACTGTCGCGGATATATAATCGTTATTCTCGTCCTTGAATTAGTATCGAGAAGTCTGACCATTGCGCATAACTTAGAGGACTTTTACCCCGAGTGTAGTGCGACTGCGAAACCGCCGTTTGTCAAGAGTCCGTCGCATGGTCAAATCCTCGGTGATGGTCTGCATTTCTTTCTGCCGGCTCTGCTTGCTACGGAGACTTTATACCATCTCGATTGTGAAATTTCAATGCGTCTCTGTTTGAGTAAGATTGGCTTTTCGTGGTCATATAACGGCCATAATAGGTGATATCCGCCAAAATACTTGTCAAGAGGAAGCCTGATGAAACCAACATATACCCGTCCTTACTCCCGTATCAATCGTAACCCGGCCAATTGACCCAAATTTTCACGGAATAAATCTTCATTTCAGCGTTATGTAGAATTAGCTAGACTTTCAATTCTAGCTACCTGTAGGTGGTGCGTCCGATATGAACACCTCGACCCTCCTTTCAACCATAATTCCAGATTTTGTTGGGCCAGTACCGAGTAATGAAGTGTCCAAATTCAAAAAGACAGACTGTCGCTGCGGTACCAAGCTCATGACTTGGGTCACGGAACCAAAAGTAGTTCCCAAGGGCTCTGGAGGCTCATAAGACAAGATCAACTCGGATTCGCGCTCATGTCTCCTCGTTCCAACGTCTGGCCTCGGTGTTCCTGGTAGACTGGGCACTGGGCTTTCCAGATCCAGGTCATAGATATCCAATGCCCATTCTTTTTCGTCCTTGCCAAATCTTGCTTTTGTCTTCTTTCTCGAACGATCAGATCCTATAGTGGGCGGATGTTTGCTATCCCTTGCACGAGCGGCCGCTGCTGCGCGCGATTCTGGGAGACATGAGGAAAAGACACGAGTAACCAACGGACTCAAGGTGGCTAGAGCCGCGCAAGTGATGCCAGAAGCGAGTTCCGCAACAGAATAGCAAGCCGAGGCCCATGTATCATAGGTAAAGTCGCTCGAGTCTTCCATATTGATAGTGGTCAGACGAATCAAGGAGATGACCAGAGTACTGATTGCACCTACATTAGCAAGATTCCATATTATAAAACATATACAAGTCAATCAACTTACATGGAACCTATACCAAAAACTCCAAAGACGGCAAACTGTTGCGCGCGGGTCAAGTGCAATTTCCAAAGCGCAGGCAGCGGCAAAGTAATGATGACGACATCCGTAATCATGTTTCCCACAGCATTCACATAGGTCCCCAGTCGCTGATTCTGGCACGAAGACTCAATAGAGTGGTCCCAGAACCCGGCAACGGGAAAGCAGAGAAAGATGACCGAGAGCATCTCTCCAATATTCCACGCCGTAATAACAACCATGGCCACTCGGTAGAGGTTTTCCATAAAGTATACATCACGAAAGATTCGAAAATATTGCGCGAGAAATGTCAACTTGATGAACAGAAGGGCGGCGTTGTAGAAGAGGGCGCTCAACCAGAATATCTATACAATTCTGCATCAGCCATGGTTCTCATATTCGGAAAATGAAGGCACTCACTTCGAAAAAACCTGGTATATCCACAGTCTCGTCAAATTCCCAATCATGGTGTCCGAGGCATTTCATGGCATTGATGCCTTGACTGACGGCCATACCAAAGGTACATAGCTTATTCAAACATACAAGTTAGCAAGAGCTCACACAACCCGAATAGAGGAACTGGTTTGGGAGCAGAAATGGGATACCCACCAGAGATGTGACTGCCAGCCAATCATCCACCCCGACATGGCGGCTTATATACGTTCTTGTAAACAGACGCAACGATATGGCCGCAGTAGCGAGAGCGCAGCACACGGAGCTCACTACAATGACTGTATGGCCCTTTGAGTCCGGGTCCATTCGCCCACTGGTAGACATGCCAGCTGTCGACTGTTGAGAAGCGAAGTAGAAATAGAAGAAAGAAGCAAAGGAGTGGAATCTCTCATCCGAGACTAAGGAGCGTGACTGAGCGCCCGAGGGCAGTGCTGCAATGAGTATATCAAAAAAAGAGCGGAATCCCAGATTCAATGGTAAAGAATGGAAGTATATCGTGACAATGTCACATGGTATGTTACCCGTTCATAGGGCTGAAGAAGTTAATACATGATTTATGCGAGTTAATGAGGAAAAAGAAAAAAAGGAAAAGAAGAAACCAGCAGCCCGAGTGACCAAGTTCAGTACCTGGATAAGCAGCAGACAATTAGGGATATGTCTTTGCAGAGACACTGGCAGGGAGCCTCATCCGACAGAGTGAGCATAAATCTGAGTCAACTGGTGTTTGGCCCAAAGTCCACTTTGTGCTAGGCCTCGGACTACCTGCGGGAGATTGGCCTCATTCTTGGCAGACACGGACGAAACCGCTGGGGTGGCTTGAGTGGCCTATAGGGGGCTCTGGGCCGCTGGCGTAGGCGCAGCAGCATTTGGTACAGGTATTGTTAGCGACTCAGACCTTGGACAAATGGCCTAACTACCACCAGTTCAGCACTACCCATCAGGCGAGACTGGCCGGCAGCCCCTTGTAATTTGCGGATCCCCCGCGACTTGAAACTTGTTTCGCATTCATGAATGTCCGTACCTAGCCTGACAGTGGAGATCCGGGGTGCAGACTGCAGATCGTCTTTTAGAGCCACGATGGACCCAAAAGGCCTTGGTAGTCGGATCGAATCCATGTGGCGTAATGTTCTTTTGTTGTACGTTTTCTGCTGTATATTGGGTGGAAAAGTAGCTGGTGTGACGTCTGATGTGAAATGCTAGAATCTAGATCGCGGCAGTCACAAAAAGGTTATTTTGGTAGCGGCCAAATGAACCGGGGTAAACTGCCCAGGTGTATTCACGATACAGGAGACGGACGCTCTGTTGGGTCGTGCACCGGATAAGAGAAAATAATATTGATAGGTATCATTGATGCTTGGCTGTCGGACTTGTGGCTGCTTCAGTATACGTATTGCAAAAGCTCTTCTCTACTCCGTTACTAGATCGCTGATGGGTCTTTCACGATCATTATGCTGGAAAGGAGAATGCAGAATTGCTCTTTGTCAGTGTGGGCGCTTCAGAGGTCTGGCGTTGACTTTGACCCGCCGAGTGGCCCGCTGTTAGCAGATTCTACGCACCTACTATTTTGTACGGTACCTTGGGTGAGCTTGTGGGCAGTCAAGGCTCCAAAGTACAAATCCAGCCAAAGCAAACCAGCGTAAATAGCGCAATACAAGCAAAGAACAGCGACAACGAGCAAAATGGACAGTCCTTTTGCCAAAGAATTGCAGACTGCAATCAACGCCATCCAACAGGCGGCCAAGCTGAGCCAGTCCGTCATCTCGTCCGAGGACAAGGGCGTTGTGGAAAAGGATGACCTGAGTCCCGTGACAGTCGCAGATTTCGCGATCCAAGCACTCTTGACCTCGTCCATCCACCATGTCTTTCCCAGCGACAAGTTCGTCGGGGAGGAGTCTGCCGCAGAGCTCAGGGAAAACACGGTCTTGCTCGATCGAGTATGGTCGCTGCTTCAACGGCTGAAGGAGCCAGAGACCGAATCACTCTGCAAGCTTCCCACCAGTCCGGATGAGATGTGCGAGATGATCGACTGGTGTGGGAATGGCAAGCCAGGGGGCTCGGAGTCCGGAAGGGTTTGGATCTTTGACCCCATAGACGGCACACAGACGTTTGTCAAGGGGCAGGCATATGCCATCAACGTTGCACTACTCGAGGGTGGGAAGCAGCTTCTGAGCATTGTCGGCTGCCCAACTATTCCAGTCGGCGCCAGGGCCCCAATCACCAACGATACGACAGACCCAGCACGGCGTGGCTCGATTGTCTTTGCCGCGAAGGGGTATGGCACCTATGTCCGCCCGCTGTTTGCAGAGACAAGTGAGGTGCAGATTCAGAAAATCGAGCCGCATGCTGAGACGGCCGCACCTCAAGACCTTCGCTCCGTCACCTGCTTCAATACTCTCGTATCGGGTGTCGATGATGCCCACCAGGTCATTGTTGAGAGGCTCGGAGTCGAGTTCCCCGGGTGCGACCTGCTGGGTTGGGTTCCTCGTTGGGTAACCCTGGCTCTAGGAGCTGCAAACATGACCGTCTGGGTCTACAAACGCCGGGACCGATCCGCAAAGATATGGGATCATGCTGGTGCTATGCTTCTCTTTGAAGAGGTTGGCGGCAAAATCACTGATGTTGATGGCAAAGATATTGACTTGACCGTCGGGAGGAAGCTGGTCAACAACTACGGTTTTGTTGCTGCACCAAAGGCACTACACGCTAGAGTTCTGCAAACGGTTCACCAAGTACTCAAAGAGCAGGGCAAAGACCATCTTTTGGCATCGGCATGAGCTCATTCAACATGGCTGCCTCAATACTGCGTATCGAGCTTGTGCCTTGCTCGGATAAATGACGGGTCATACATCTTCAGGACTTGCCCAAGAACATCTCCTGAAGTGATCAAACAATGAGGCTTATGATATCATTGCTCCGCCCAAAATAGATTTCGAAGAGAGCATTAGTTGCAACTACTAGGGTTGCAAAGGGTCGTCTTCAAGAGCTTCTAGTGTTGCCTACCAAGAACTTCCATCATTTTGGGAATGCAGCTCTTACCGCAGCTCCCGACACAGACTCGATCAGACCTTATCACCTCGAACAAGGTGCCATTCGGAAGGATAATAGCGGCAGTTGAGACTCAAACAATACTAGTTGGTGAGGGCGCATGATGCTCCGACGTGGGCAAGCTTCGCGGCTATCTTCCGCATTGCCCGATTGGGACACTCGCGAATCCCATCCTAGCACTCTCGCTGGTTGCCGCTATCCAGGATGCCACCCATGGCAGCATCGCTCTATTCGATACCAGCTTCTGAGCTTGTCATTTATCATGCATGAGTCAATTTAATCGGTCCTTGTGCCGCTGCCTTTTCCTGGTTCTGCTTCGAGCTCAATGGTGGAAATGAGCCTCCTTCTCTTGGCATCAAACAAATACCATGCTTCCGTGCCGAATATAAAATGCGTCCCACTGTCAAACGACATTTGAATATATACCTGTCTACTGAGCTTGACCATTATTTGAAATATTTTCTCTCGTGCCAAGTCCAATCCTCGATTTACTGCCCAGCATGAAGAACGCCGTCAGCCTTGTCGCAGCCACCGCCCTTGCGGTCAGCGGAGCCTCAGCTCATTACATCTTTGAACAGTTTAGCTTGGGATCGACCCAATACCCCGTCTATCAATATAGTACGTCCAAACGGACCTAACCTAGACATGTGCCACCTTCTGTACCTTGCCAAACTGACCTTTGCAACAACGAATAGTCCGAGAAAACACCAACTACAACTCGCCAGTGACTGGTAGGTGCACTGCCTACTGAAGCGTAGGTCACTTGCTGATAAATAATATCAGACCTCACGTCAAACGACCTTCGTTGCAATGTTGGCGCCAATGGTACTGGCACAGAGACCATTGCTGTGAACGCTGGTGATGATTTCACCTTTACGCTCGACACTGTGAGTCTATGACAGCTCAGTTCAGTACTGGATAATACTTTTCTGACATAGACATAGGCCGTCTACCACCAAGGACCTGTATCCATGTAAGACCCGGGATGACATGATCAAGTCAAGTCCGAGCATACTAAACTTTCTTCAAGCTACATGTCCAAGGCTCCAGGAGCTGCTTCAGACTACGACGGTAGCGGCGAATGGTTCAAGATCTTGGATATTGGTGAGAACCTGTTCAAGTTTCTATTGATAACGTCGATTCTAACAATACACACAAAGGGCCAACGTTCAGCGGTTCGACTGCAACCTGGGACCTGGCACGTAAGTCAACCCGCGGGTATCTTGTCCAAAAAAGCCAAATCAGCAGCTAACCCATCCACAGAATCGTACAGCTACACGATCCCCACCTGCATTGCCTCGGGTGACTACCTCCTCCGAATCCAGCAGCTCGCGATCCACAACCCCTGGCCGGCCGGCATCCCGCAATTCTACATTTCCTGCGCGCAGGTCACCGTCAGCGGCAGCGGCTCGTCGACATTTGCCGGCGTGGCCATTCCCGGTGCCTTCAAGGACACTGACCCCGGCTACACTGTCAATGTGAGTTTTTCTATGCTACAATACTTGAGGCAGTGTTGGAGAAGAAGAAGAAGAAGATAACGCAGCTAACTGACCCGTGTACAGATTTACAATGGCTTTACAAACTACACCGTTCCTGGCCCTGACCCAGTGAGTCATATACTTGTTTTCTTGCCTCATGAATACTAACAGATGTATAGATTTCCTGCTAAATGGCCTTGGAATAGTGCAAGAGCTTGGAGTGGTCTAAACCTATTCAATTCAGTGTTGGGAACAGTTGCCTCGTGGTTATCGTTCCTGGGTACATACCCTTTTTCAATGCATATTTGCATCACATTGATTTTAAATTGCAAGTGTATTGATTCTTATAAACAATCATGCAACCCTTTCAGAATTCTGCTTGTGATGTCAATAAATGGCATTCTTCCACAAGCTTGTATCATGGCAATTCTGATTTTCGTCACTGTTCGCCACGTAATTCTATACATTGGAACTTGAATCCCTTTGAAGAATTAGATTTTGTGGTTCCAATGCGGACGTCCACGGCCTATTCGCCCGTGCCTAGAGTCATCTCGTTTGGCATGCGATTTAAGACTGGCTAATAGGCCATTTTATGGAAATTAGTTATTGTAGAGTTCCTGTTCTACTACAAGATTATACAACAATGCTATGCTTTTAGCAGTATATTAGAATTCTAGATATCATGTGACCACCGAACAAAGACCCACGTTTCTTGAGTCGGTTTTTGATTGGAAACTTGAATGGCTGAAGACATGGGACGAGACTGGATGAATGGTCTGGCGTTGCCGGAGATGGTGTATTCCTAATGTTATTTCCCAGAGATGTTGCCCTTTGGTACCTTGGGTAATCTTGACCCATTTTAACCATTTACTTCCAGACGCGGTAAATCCTCAGACGTTGAGTGCACAATAAGTTAGTTACATCATAATAGAGTATTCTACTAGATTAGACAGTTTGCACTAGAATTCGCTCCATCTAACAACATTGCGTCAAGGCACCTCAAGTCGAGCTGCTAGCAATTGCCGATCCCAGGCGACTCTAGTGGTAATCGGGCGGCGTCTGTTCAGCGGAGATCTCGGCACTAGAGCCGACCGTGTTCTAGTGCAAGCCAGCTGTTTATCCACTGGGATCCAAGCGCTTGGTTCAGCCCGTAGCTGCCGAAGCCGTCAATGTTTGGTTCTCAAATACTATCGTTGGATAATTGGATATGATGAAAAAAAAGGTTTCCCAAGTCTGGCGATGAAATGCGTCGTGTCTCTTGAATTGATTTAAATAAATATATATCCAATACAATGCATGCTTGGGAAGTATCAATTGTAATAAATATTGAAAAGCTGGCCAAGTTCAGCAGAGTCGATCAGGTTCCAGCTCTCATGTGCATTTCGATAGTGTCCCCTCTTATCTCGGCGGCAAGGGGGGTCATAGGCACTCCCGTACGGGACTTGGGTATTACCAGCGCAGCGAGGCGAGTGGGAACACCACGCGCGCGCGCTCGCAGACTCGGGGGGCCCAGGCCATCATGACTTTGTCTCGGACCGCACCGAGCGACGCTCTCGCCGTCCCTCGATACTCTTTTGGACGAGCCCATTGCCGTGGTCAGACTTTTTGACAAAGGACCTTTATTCAGAGACATCATGGTCAGATTGAAACTCTATTAGTATCTTCCTGCCTCTCGAGAAGAGAGAGTCATCCAAGACACATGAAGATCGCTAAAAGCTGAGAACAATAGGCTAGGATTAGTTCTTAGTGTTGGGCTTTTTTTTTGGCGCCCGTCCGTATTTTCGCAGCCGCCTAGGATGGCGGCCCCTTCTTTTTTGTTTTTCAGGTCCTTCGACCTGCATTAGCTTATTCCCTCTCTAGGAAATAGACTGGGTCGTATCTGCATAATATCTCTATCGCTTGAGGACCAATACCTCTGCAAATACGATAGCAAGTCCCCTTTTGGGTCCTTGATTGATACTAGGCGAGCTGACGGGAGGCTTGGCCCGCTCATCATCATCGGCGGTATTGCGAACCGAAAACACCTGCAAGATGCTGAGGTGAGTCTCGGCCTGCTTGGCTGATTCTTCTTTGATATTACTTATCTGTTGGCCCCGGGCCTTGCCATTATCTACTTGTCATTTGTTCATTTTGTCGCTCGGTTTTCTTCTTCTCGATTCATCGATTTCTTGAACGCTTAGTTTTTGTGCTTCTTTTCCCAGCGCCAATTTCTCAAACAATTGCTGTGGGTTGGCTGGCCACCGTGTACACTGTAGCAACCCATTCAAAGATCCCCTGGTCGATTTCGGAAGGGGGCCTCTGTTGGGATCATCTGCAGCAACATGTTTTCCATGAGGATCTCACTTCTCGCATTAACTGGACTCGTGTCAGCAACCGCTTCTTCCAAACGTGGTCTCGTGTTCGTGCCAAACTCGAAATGGCCCCAAGACAATAAGATATGGGTGGAATCCGGGTCCGATCTGACGTGGTATTACAACTACGGCTCGACGCCGTCTTCTGATTTTTCCGACTATGCCCAGGACCAGTTTGAATTTGTGCCCATGCTGTGGGGCAGCATTGAAGACACATCGTTTCTGGACGAGGTCAATAGTCTGATTGACGGCGGCCGCAACATTTCCCACGTCCTGGGCTTCAATGAGCCCAATGGCGATTCCTCCACGGGCGGCGCCGCCATACTGCCCGCCAAGGCCGCGCAGGTCTGGGTCAAGAACATCGAGCCGCTGGCCGCCCAGGGCATCAAACTCGGGTTGCCGGCGTGCACCGGCGGTTGGGATGGGATTCCTTGGCTGCAGCAGTTTCTCGCCAATTGCTCTGCGCTCATTAGCACCGACAGCGAGACCAAGAATTGCACCTACGACTTTGTGAATATCCACTGGTACGGCAATTTTGAAGGCCTCGCAAGTCACATGGGATCGTATTCTGCCGCGTAAGGTTTTATCCCTCCTTGTCATTCCCGCATACATGACTACTGACCTTTGCCCTGCAGTTTCCCAAATGTTACGCAATGGATTACAGAATACAATTACAATGACCAGGACTTGTCAACAACTCAAGACTTTTACAACACTTCTGCCGAGTACTTTGACCGTCTGGACAGCGTTGGCCGATACAGCTATTTTGGCACCTTTAGGTCCAAAGTCAGCAACGTTGGCGAGAATGCCGTCATGCTGAACAATGCCGGCGAACTAACGGATATTGGAAATTGGTGTAAGTGCTACATAATATTCTTGCATCTGCCCCATCTCCTAGCTAATGTACTATCCCCAGACCTTGGAAGCTCTGCAAAGGGTGTTTCGCCGACTTCTGCTGCTGATCGAAGCGGTTTGCCGGCTTCTATTGTTTACGCAGTTGCACTTCTAGCTGCATCATACACGGCATGTTTTTGAAGAGTTTCTTATCTCTTTTGCAGCATCAGTGCGAACATAGTATCAAAACTTTGGGGGGATTTAAAGCTATATAGAACAAACTAGATTGGATCAAGGTAGAACGGCGCATGCAGGGCTGGGTGTCAAGGCGTCACAGGATATCATGGCTACGAAAGCGATTGTCATTTTTGCCATTTTGGAGGCTCTATATGTCACAGCCAAAATAGATATTTGCAACAACAAAAGAAATGGAAGGGGTTCGACCACATGAGGCAATCACACAGTGCAAACAACAAGACAAGTTTTCATGTTTTCTTCTTTTTGTTAAACTATCATGCTATTCTCGTCTTCTACCTCTCAGAAAACAAGGCTCGAGATTCCACTCGAGTTGACGGAAACCTTCTACTCATCAATGCAAAAGCTGGCGTACTCAATGTGTGTCGTGATTCGTGATTCGTGATCCCCCAAAACATGGCAAAAAAGGGAAATGATATAGCCAAGGCCCCCAAATGAACTTGTCAAACCAAGTAACCATGCTAAATTGCTTGCTCAGGGTTCAGTTGCCCGTATCCCCCTTGACCTCAATGTGAACTTTCGTGGGGAGAGTTGCCGCAAGAACTCCAGCTGCATTGTGCTCAATGCCCTCTGGATTCACGTCATCGTACGAAAAGGCATATCCCTTGCCCTGATCGAGGTACTTGTGTACAAGGCGACTGTAGTGATTCGTGACATCGTTGGTGTAGTACTGGCTCTCATTGTAAAATGGTTGCACGCTACCATTGCTTAGAAGAAGAGTCGAGCGGGTGAATGCTGCACACAGTCGTGGTATGATACGGCTATGCATCAATGAGTTTGAGCTTCCGTTGATGGCACCCACGACAAATGGACCGGAATTACATCCCCAAATGTCTGATGTTGTTGGCTTAGCATACGAGTGACCCGGAGCTTTGTCGCAAGTGAGCGCTCGAGTGCCGTTGTTCACGCGGCACACAGTCGCAATGCCATCTCCTGGGGTCAACAGGGGCAGTCCGTCGGCATCTCCTTGTAGATTGAGCGTGAGGTCACGCTCGGTATATTCTTGCCAGGCCTTGTCAACATAATCTTTGTAGTAGTCTACCAGTGTGCTGTTGACGCGGTGCATGCTAGCATCAATGTTGGGTGATATGACACGCACGAGGGTATTTTCCTTTGAGTAGATGCACAGCTTGTCCCAGTCGTGCTGTCCTAGAGCGTCGTTTAGATTGGCTTGCTTGTTGAGACCGTCGCAAATCTTTTCCATCGCTCCTGGCTCTAGGCCACGCACACTGGCGGTGTTTGTTCCGCCACTTGCCAAAGACGTCAGAGTCATGCCTAGACTCAGACTGACCCAGTCGACGAAGGAGAGGTTAATGATGATTCCACCCGCATCATGATTGAGCTCGACGAAGCCCCACTTGACATTATACTCCATAAGAGACGGATTGGCTCCTGAAGGCTCAGAAAAAGCACCATTCGGATAGACTCTAAACTCGAGGTGTCCCTCTGCAATCCAGACGCGACCGTGGAGTAGATAGTCCGGTAGAGTGACATTCTTGGTGGCATTGGCGGGGATGCTGATGTTGAGAGGAACAGTCGAGGGAACTGGTGTTGGAACGTTGGGATCGTTGGCGCCAACATTTTTCAGAAGGAAGTACTGGCCAGTATCGGTCCGTAGCATCACTTGCTCTGTTCCGTTAACCGTTTTCATCCCTCCACCGATGTAGGCATTGATGGATCGGTTGCGAAGGTTTTGAATTTCAATCTGGAGATGGCGATTAGCTTGCGGAATGGGTTGAGAATCATTGTACGGGCTGGGTCCTGGATCGGCTCTCTTATCCCGAGACTCGAGGTGAATGTGAGGGCCCTTGAGAATCTCATCGCGCTGCACAGCGACTTCCCGGGTGGTGGAAACCGCAAGAGACTGGACGGTCTGGCCCAAGAAGAGTGCTGCAGTAGCTGTCTTTATTGCGCTAGATACACGCATCGTAGGCGCTGTCAAAGGCAGAGAACGACTTTAGAAGAAGGTGACGCGTGTAGCGTTTCTTGATGTTTCTCTTGGTAAGCGTTGTGTGGTAGGTGTGGCGTATTTATCGAGTGGTGCTAGTAGATGATAGAATGAAGAAAGAAGGAGAAGACAAGAAATTATGGTAGGACAGAAAGTTGGGCGGTAAAATAGTCCCAGAAAAACTGGAAGGTAGTGATTGTGTTGAATTTGAAGATGTTATTGTCAGACAGACTTCCCTGCCATCTTCAGCGGTTTTGCATAAAGAGGAATATTTTTTGAATAACAGTTGGTCATTAGGACAACTATTACGACAAAGGAAAATCAGTCTGGCAGCAACAGACCAGACTCATGGCCCACCTATGAAATCGAAGACAATGGCGGCCAATGTTGTGTTTCGAGCCTCGTGGAATAATCTACAGTCATCCACCTTGTCCAGGATGATGTAGCTGCAAGTAGCCCACAGCCATGCATCGATTATCCAAGATGTTTTTCTTTTCTTTTGAATTGAATGACTGTATTAAGCGATATCAATTCCAAGTCATGCCCGTCCCATTGTTGTTGAATGAATTTATTAAGTGAACACCGTATTTGCTGTTACTGCACTTGGATTCTCTTTCCACCACCTGGCGAAAACGTGCCTTCCTGTTTGATTCTTGTAGATCTGTGTAAGCAAGAGCGATGAATTGTTCCCCCACTGCTGCTTCACACGCAAGACGTGGAAACCACTCAACCAATTCATTCCACGAGTGCAAGAGCAACATGAATCTGAGACGTCTACTTATGTATGTTTCTCAATTCATATGCACACCGTTTTCCCCCTATGACTTGTGTACTGACTGTCTAAGCTTGGGCACAAATGGCCATGACACAATCATCTCGAGACTGACAGCCAGAGTCTTGCTGACCAACCAGCACTGCGTTGCTGTAGAAAATCCGGGTGAAGTCACAGGCAAAAGCCAGTAGTCACGAGAAGGTCGCCAAGTGAGCATGATTATATGATTGGTCCATCGGAGATATTTTATTTCAGCCTGTAATTTTTCTCAACGGCTGCCGATTGCTTAGGTAAGATGTTCTCATACATCAAAATGATTGTTCTCGCACGTGTTTCTTGCCCTGCACATATGCGTGGTATGCAGTAATGAGTCTGCAACACTCAAAGTCTCGAGAAAACAGTCTTGCCAACAAGAGAGGTAGCTTTTGCAAGGTTGACAAATGACATCCGGCAAGGAAAGGAGTCGGGTTCCGGCTCGAACGGGAATACCAACGCCCGCAATCATGTTTTCCCAGAGCACCTTTATTATTTACCCCGGACTTTTTTTTTAGTTACCCAACCCTTACATAGGCGCTGATTAGCGATCAAGTCGCCCGCTGGAATCTGCCGAGTTGCACGGCCAATACCAACCATATTTGTGGATTTGCCCGATGTGCCTCGGCAAGTCTGGGGGGGTCGCGCCAGCAGTGGGATTTACTGGATGTCGCCCCACGGGCCCTTTATCATGCGGACGGTTGTCGGTCTACCTGCTTACCATTTGGTGAGATTTGACTTCCTCGGATTTCCTTCTTCAGTGCAATTATTCGTCTTCTTCTTCTCTTCTTTTCGACAATTGTACCCATACCGACTTCACCAACAAGAAGAGGAAGAAAAATGGCCGCCGAACGTATTGCCTCGATTGCCAAGCAGCTGATTCCCGGCACGAGTCTGTCGCAAATGTACGTACACAAACCCCCCACTGAGGCGCCGTTGGTCGGGATTGTCTACAAGCAGCATACAGCTATTGTCCGACAATCAGCCCACCACGTTTGCTATTTGGGTGCGTCCCGAAATACTGACTCTCGGATAGCACATCCAAGAATGCCGACGATATCGTGATTACCCTGGCCGTTCGCACACCGCTGTGCAAGGGCAAGAAGGGCGGCTTCAAGGATACCTCGCTCGAGTTCATGACATATGCTCTGTTGAAGGAGGTCAGAGAGCGCATGGGTTTCGACCCTGCTCTCGTTGAGGACATTTGCTTCGGTAATGTATGTGGCTTTGATATGTCGTATACATGCCAACTTGTAAAATAGCACAAAGCTAACCACGCCTACTACAGGTCTCCGACGGCAAGGCCGCCTACAAGGTCCGCGCTGCTTCCCTCTCGGCCGGATTCCCGAACACCTCCGGTGCCTCTTCGGTCAACCGCTTCTGCAGCTCCGGCCTCAAGGCCACGGCCGACATTGCCCACGCCATCTCGGCTGGCTCGATCGAGGTCGGTGTCGCCATTGGCGCCGAGTCCATGACCGCAGGTGGCGACCGTCTCGAGCAGCCCTTTGACGAGGGCATCCTCACAAGCCAGGAGGCCAAGGACACCATGATGGCCATGGGCTGGACGAGCGAGAACGTTGCCAGCGACTTTGGCATCACCAGGGAGCAGGTTGACACTTACGCCGCCGAGAGCTTCCGCAGGGCCGAGGCCGCGCAAAACGCCGGCTGGTTCGACGATGAGATTGTCCCCATTACCACCCAGGTCAAGGGCGCTGACGGCGAGGTCAAGACCGTGACCCTGACCAAGGACGAGGGCATCCGACCCGGCACCACTGCCGAGGGCCTGGGCAAGATCCGCGCCGCCTTCCCTCAATGGGGACCCATCACCACTGGTGGAAACGCCAGCCAGGTCACCGACGGCGCCGCTGCCGTCGTGCTCATGAAGCGCTCCACCGCCATCAAGCTCGGCCTCCCCGTGGTCGCCAAGTACGTTGGCTCGACCATTGCCGGTCTCCCTCCCCGCATCATGGGTATCGGCCCGGCCATTGCCATCCCCAAGCTGCTGAAGCAGCACAACCTCAGCCTGGCTGATGTTGACGTGGTTGAGCTCAACGAGGCTTTCGGTACCATGGCCGTCTACTGCAGGGATAAGCTTGGCCTCGACTGGGCCAAGATGAACCCCCGTGGTGGTGCCATTGCCCTCGGCCACCCGCTAGGCACCACTGGTGCGAGACAGATTGTTACTGGCCTGAGCGAGTGCAGGAGGCAAAAGAAGAAGATTCTCTTGACGAGCATGTGTATCGGAACTGGCATGGGCATGGCTGGTCTGTTTGTAAACGAGCAATGATTTAAATTTTGTTGTTGATTTATACATGAGCGGTATCCATTCAAGTAAATATTTGCAGGGAAATCATATTGTCTTCTTTATTGAGATTATTGAATTGCTTCCCCAGGTGCAAGGAATCTAGCATAAAAGTGAATATTGTCAATTTTCTCGGGGAGCAAGTCCCATTTATTTTGGAAGCCTTTATGTCTAATTTGACTGATTGTGACGGCGGTCGAAATGAGAAGCAGCTTATAATTAGTTGCTGTCCGATATTTCTCTTCTGTCGATCGCGATAAACATTGGCCTACTCGCAAAATGGCGGCATGTGCCAATAACGTCTACTGTTATACCCGTTTTTTTTTTTTTTTTTTTTTGTTTTTTTTGCTCGAATCCATCATGTAGGAAAGTCGCCGACTGACTCCTAGTAGAGTCTGGCCAAATGTCAAAAGCAATGATTGCTCGGTGTGTTGCAAAGTAAATTGCGAATTACTTTGGTGCTGCGTACCCAATAGTGCATGATATCTGAGGATGGGCTTGGAAAAATAAGCAGTGTTTCTCGTGCCCCTTGCCGCATTCCAGTCTGGGACCTGCTGTGAAAGAATCTGGTTGTGGTCCTTATTTCACCTAGGAAGTCGCTCTCGTAGTCTTTATGGCATTGATGTATCGCATTGAAGACGGGATATTCTTTGTTATATGCTTTTCGGTCATATTACTAACGTGTAGCTGGGTTGAAGAATAAGTAGCTTCTACTGTATACTGAATTTTCAAAGCTTGCCTGTCAAGCACTCCCTATTTTTGCCTCGATCCCAAGTCAGGTCATTCTGGTCTGGTCTCGGAGCGAGAAGCCGCAGGTGACTGGTCTGAGAATCCCCCGTCTCTCCAAATCTGCCACCAGCTTCAACAAGGCCATGTCCATACCCCGAGGCGCCATGACGGAGATGGCCACGGGGAGGGGCTCAAAACTTCCCGTGATCTTGGACTTGAACTCGGCTTGGCCCAGTGGTAGAGTAAAGTCGGGACAGCCCGAACTATAGGCCAGAGAGTACACGGAAAAGCCGTCCCAAAATGTCTTGCCCGTCTCGAGCCTGCCGAGGTCGTTTCGGTACTGTGGTTTCCCCCAGGTCTGCGGATAGACGAGGATAGGCACCTCGTCGTCATCCGTGACAGGACTCGGCAACAAGACGCGGTTCACCCACCCGGAAAAAGCCTCGAGAGCGTCCACCGAAGCTTGGAATTCCGAGTCTGATACATTCTGGCCGTGCCTCAGACGCCGCTGCGTGATCTCCTCGATAAAAGGCCTTTTGCCATGGCGCGAGGAATAATCTCGTGTAAAAGGCACAATGGTGTTGCGCCAGAGCAGGCTGTAGACTATATTCTTGTACACGTCGCCCGTGGCTTCGAGCAGATCGGCAGATGTGCCCTCGGGATGCGTAGCTTTCCACAAATCATAGATGCACACTGCTTGCCGCTCACAGTTCAGATAATCTTCCAGCTCTTTGACAAACTTTTCCATGATTTGCTCTGCGGGCGTGAGATCTTTGGGCTGCTTTCGTATGGGAGAAAAGAACTTTGGGGTGTCCGTAGGCTCCCAATCCCATCCCTCGGTAGCGTATAGAAGCCGGCAGCGAAGCTTCTTTTCTGGTTTGTAATGCGCTTTTACTTCATTGTTCAACATTACCTTGCATACTTGTTCCGCGATTTGCGCTGAGCGTGCAAACACGCCGGGAGTGTCCAATCTATCAGAGCAGACCAGTCCCGAGCTCTCCATGGAGCCCAGAGAGGGCCGGATGCCGTAGACCCCATTGACGGCGGCAGGGTGTCTGACGGAGCCGCCCGTGTCCGTGCCAATGGTAAAGTCCAGCCAGTCGTAGCTGGCGCAGGCGACGGCAGAACCAGAGCTGGAACCAGAAGGTTTCTGGGATCCGTCACCTCTTGGGTTCGTAGGTGTGACTTCTTCCATGCGCTCGAGCGGATCCTGCCCATCGCACCACTGACCGCACCTCAGCTTTCCAACCATGATGGCGGCGGCGTCTGTCAGTCTCTTGATACAAGCTGCTGTATTGTCTCGAGGAGGGTAGAACTCGCGATAACATTTGCTTCCATTACCCGTTTCCAGCCCGGCGATATCAATGACATCCTTGATACCAAATCTCATGTCTTTTAGGGGAAAGTCTGGCTCCGAGTCTCCCCTGGCCCTTCTGAATGGCACTGGTATTTTCGTAGAATTTTTCAGCCATTGATATCTATTGGGACCATCCCGTAGTGTACCGCCCACGAAAGCATTGTTGAAGTCGTCGCAAAGCTTCAGAACGCTGAAAACACGTCCAGTGGATGAGTGAATGACATGGGGAGCGAAATCCAGGACTGGATATTCGGGGAGATGACGGCAAAATGGAAACCCTTCTATGAGCTCCTGAGTTTTGTCAAGCAAGACAACTGATATTGTGTGATTAGCTGGTGCCCATTCGTGTAACCCCCCATCTGGCAGAAGAAGCACTTACCTTGATGGAAGTCAAGTTCCTCCCCTGACCATACACTATCGAGACTGTCATGATTAATGTCTAAAACTTCTGCTGCCGCCTTTTCGCCTGCATGTCTACGCTGCAAGGGAACAGCTCCCAGATATCTCTCTTCTCCCTCAATGCTCTCAACAACAGCTTTCAACTCGTCGAGGAGATAGAAGTTTCCACCAATTCGAACAGTAATTGTAAACTGGGGACCAGAATCGATCTGCACATTATGCTCCTCATTCGACCCCATCTCGTGCTACACTAGGGAAGATTATGATGTTGAAAGCTGAAAGGTCCGTAGTAGCGGGCTGTGGCTAGAGTTGCCCGCTAGATATGCATAATCGAGCACGTCACGATAATAAGACAATAATTTCCTCCCCAAAACCCTGAACTTGAAGAACTTAAACAAACCAAGACATGATGCAGCACAACATGACAATTGTATATCTTGTGTCTGCATGGGATTCCTTTCGCATTTTTTGTCGTGGAAATTATTCTTCTTTATTATGCGCCCTGTCCAGATGCGCAAAAGACTGTGGAATAACCACCTGGTGGCTGGTACCCCATCGACGTCCAATATCAGCATACCGGAGGCCTTCAGTCTAATCTAGATCTAGATCTATTGCTCTAAACTTTTTCATGCTTGAAACATTTGCAAGCCGCCATCTTCACACAACCTTTTCGGGTCTTCTTCCACTGGGAAATGTAACAACAACAGTCAAGTCTTTTTTAGTCAACGCGAGCCCTCTTGGTACCGTTGGTGCCGTTGGCGTGTCCGTTGGCGGCCTCGTCAGGGACCGAAGAGAAGTACTCGAGGCTGCCCTTGGGGTCGGCCTTCATGCTCTTGGCGCCCTGCATCCAGCCAGCGGGGCAGACCTCGCCGTGCTCGTCGGTGAACTGGAAGGCCTGGACGAGGCGGATCGTCTCCTCGACGTTGCGGCCGACGGGCAGGTCGTTGACGGTGATTTGGCGGAGGGTTCCCTTGGGGTCAATGATGAAGAGACCGCGGAGGGCGACGCCCTCGTCCTCGAGCAGCACGCCGTAGTCGCGCGAGATCTTTTGGCTGCGGTCGGCGACCAGAGGCAGCTCCAGGTCGGAGCCGAGACCGCCCTGCTTGCGCGGCTGCGATTGCCAGGCCAGGTGGGAGAAGTGTGAGTCAGTCGAGAGAGCGAGGACGGTGGTGTTGATGCTGCGGAAACGAGACAGAGCGTCGTTGTACTGGATGATCTCAGTGGGGCAGACAAAGGTGAAGTCCATGGGGTAGAACAGCAGGACGACCCTGCAAGTCAGAATCATGTTAGTATATGTGTGAATAGGCCACGACGATCAAGACCAGGCAAGTCCTTGAAGAAGAAGAAGAACATGGCATTCTATTTGGATTTCAATGCGAGAACGCACTTACCATTGGCCGAGGTAGTCGGACAGAGAGATCTCCTTGAACTCGCCGTTGGCGAAGACGGTCATGGCAGTGAAGCCTGGGGCCGGGCGCTGAATGAAAGCCTTGGACATTTTTGCGGTTTTGCGGTTACTCGTGATGAAAGTAGGCGAGGACTGGTATGTGATGTCCTACGACAAAGTGAAGAGAGAGAAGTGTTTACAGACGAGTTGGGGAACTACAAGAAGAGGCTATTCAGGGATTGACGAGGAACCGAACCAGGCAGCGGCGGCAACGTGTGTCGGTATTTTTTCTTTTCGTTTTCCTCTCGCTTCTCTTATCAGAGCGTTTCCACGGTCACTCACCCGTCGCAAGTTTCCACATCGTGCGATTCGCACCCCTGGATTTGGGGGGGGGGCCAGCGACTGCCGCTTTGCTAACGAGATCCACCGCTCCATATCTTTTCGCAGGGTCCGATTCGACAATTTGCGCAACGAGGTGGGTCAATCGCGCGATCTTAGCTTGGAAATGCCCCAAGACGCGTCGGATTGGCGCGTTTGCTCTTTAATTGATGCGCGACAAGGTCGTTTTTGTCAGTCACGAATATGAAAAAGGTGCCTATGTACGTTGTCGCAGGAGCAACATGACGTTTGCACATGGAGGAGAGAGTATCGGTATCGAGTTGGAGAAATGTCAATTTTCAGCCATGAGCTGCCATACATAGCCAATGTGGGGGGAATACCAAGTCACAACCGTTGCATTTCTCCAAAAAAGCAAAAAATCCATGGGTTCGCTTGTCGCATTTCATTTTGGAGTACCTTGTGTACCCGGTACGAAATACATGCCTGCCCAGTGCAGGCACCTGACCTAGCTGAAACCTCTGGTGCTGATGATTTATGGTCCTCGATTCCCACCCCCGCACGTTTCTATACTCAACCAAGATAGGAAGCTCTAGTTCTATTGCCAGCAAACGATCATAAACATTTGGATGACCCAACCACGACATGTCTGCGACCTAAACAGAGTCTCGCAATGCTTTCTTTGGTCAATTTGACAACCACATAAATATTTTGGCGATGGTGTGCCCTCATTCACGCCGCTCCTACTTCTATAATTCAATTTGTTTCTGCTTCAATCACTTTTTCATGCCACGGCGAACTCGAGCAAGCTTTCAAATATGCTGCACAGAAGACTTCTGATGTAATTTGCTATCTAATTAGGTATGTACGTAAATAGTGCATAGTTATGCCATCCTCTATTTTCTTCTTCTTCTTCTTCTTCTTCTTCTCTCTCTCTCTCTCTCTCTCTCTTCTCCCCTTCTCCCCTTCTTTCACTCCGTCCAGGTTTGCCTTCAGATCACTCCAATTACAAGGGTCCCTCTACCACAAGGTCCCTCTGCCACAAATGCATCTACCCAGTCTCTCTTGGCGTGTGTGACCTCAACCTCCAGCTGTGAACTCGTCAAGACTCGATGGAGTTGCACCGGCGCATTCATGTTCTACCTCAGCTGCCTTCTCGACCCAATTTGCTACATCGGTCAAGACATTGCCGCGGTCCCTACCATGGGGAACGAGCGCGCAATATTCCCGAGTCATTTCGACGCCTTTGCCAGCATTGAGGGTAACGTCCCAAGCAAGGTCGCCTCCACTCGTCAGCGCAGCGGTTGCCTTTCCCCAGTGTGGAAACGGGCTTGGGCTTTTGCCCTCGATGCCGACGCCGGCTTCGACTCCAGGTCCTCCCGGTGTGAGACCAGGGGGTTGCACGAGACGAGTGTAGACATTCCCGTCTTTGTTGTCAATGGGCGACGGATCTATGACGGTGATCTGCACGGACTCCTCCCTATCCCTAGAACACGTGTTGAAAATCTTGACCGTTTGCTTGTAAGTCACCACCTGTCCCGCCGTGGACGAACTAGATGGGGTGCGAGTGAATTCCGGCATCGAGGGCTCGACAAGAATTTCAGGATCAAGACACAATCCCAGCGTAAAGGAACCGCCTGGAATGCAATAAGGGAGCTCAGCACGCCTGATGAAGACTCCGTCCATTACCAGGCCTACAGGACCGTCCATGAGGTAAACCCTGCTGTCGTTTAGGATTTCAGCTCTGATATATGCTGAAGGCTTGTGCATGGAGACGACAATGCGACTAAAGTTGACGGACTTGAACACAATGTGGGTAACAATGTGCTTTGAGTCGTCTGGCGACGGGGCCAGCGACTTCAGGCCCTTGAGCTCGTAGATAGAGCCAAGATCAGTCTCCTCGAATGGTGATTCCTGGAAACCGAGCTCGGGATACGCTTGAACGCCCGTTGGGCCTTCCTTGCGGGCAAGACTTGCTGTGGGAGGTGGCAAGACCCTATCAGCACCTACAAGGGCAGGCGAAGGAGTTGGACGCTGCATAGCCTTTAGGTTTTCATTCAGCGAGCTCTTCTTGGCAGCGTCAAGTCGACTGCGTACAAGGTCTCCTCCTGAGAAGATGAGCGGATTGTGGTAATTGTTGGGATATCCCAGGGGTTTGGCTTTCCCTGTTCCGAATTTGATGTACCGCTGGGCAAAATTTGAGAAGTCGTCTTCGAGACCAGAGTACCATCCCCTAGAGTCAGCCAAGGTCACCCTGCAGTTTGACCAGGTTTCAGATGTCATATTGGTGATGTGTGCGTCAAAACGTAAGACGGTCGACTTGGTGGTGCTCGAAAAAGAGAGGTTGTAGCTGGGCGACCAATAGGCCGCGCGCGTGTCGTAGATAAGCTCGAGATCACTTACACCCATGGCTCTAGCTCTATTAAACAGGCTGACTTTGATCACGTGGATGCGCTCTGGCCAGATATGTTCTTCCTCACGGCGAAGTTGCGCAATTTCCCGCGACCGTTTCTCTTTTGCTCGCAGCATTTTGGCCCTATTCTTTTGGATCATTGCCTGCTGTTTGTCTCGACGTTTACGCAGTGGGTCTTGCTTTCTGGCCAGATCGGAAATCTTCTGCTCGATCTCACGCTTCTTGGAGGTTTCAGCCAAGACAGTTTCGTAAAGCTTGCTGCGTTCCTTTCTGTAGTTTTCCAGTACAGTCGTGATGTCCAAGTCTTCGAGGGGTTTGTCGGATTTTGGAGGAGAGCTGGTTATCTTGCTATTGTAGGAGTCAAGAAACTCACATTGTCTCTGGGCACTGACGATGGTTTCTGTAGCACGATTCTGCTCCTCGTGGAGCTTTGCGATCTGGTCTTGGTTTTCCTTCAGCTCTGGAAGCTCAAAATCTGCATGATCACCATCATTGCGATCCTCTGAATCGGACTGGTCCTCGAACTCCATGTCGGGGCAAACATCATGAGACTTATCGCAATTGGGCCGGGTCTCAACAGTAACGTCGTCAATGATTGCACATCCGCTGCTCTTGATCTTGACGAAGCGCTTGTCGACACTTGGGTCGAGTCCAGTGATGATAACTTCGGTCGTGCCGGGCCCAAGTCCCACCCTGATGTCTCGAGTGACCTGAGCGCGGTCGGGGAAAAGAGTAACGGACCTCGTGCCCAGATCGTGGACCGAGATCTTCTGCTGATCATCCATCGTGGAAGCCAGGTTGAATGTGCCAATAGTGAAATGGTGAGGTCGGACCAAAAGTGGAACCATGAGGCGCAAAGAAGAAGGATTGTTCGTACTTATATAATGTACGTTGACCGATTTTTCCTACTGGTCATTTGCATCCCCCAAGCCGACGGGCCTACTGCCTTGAAGCCTAAAAAAAGTGTTGGGACAACCTTGGAGTCTCTACTGCGTGCAACTGATGAGATAGGACCGGGAAACCTTTTGCAAAAAAAGGACCGAAACTATGCACGAATTTCGGACTTGATGGATCAAACTTTTCCGTCTGCTTTCACTAAGGACTAAATGCAGCCATGATTCCAGGCAAGCACTTGAGGGTACAGCATCTTTTTGGATCCCTCGAAGACTGTGCACAATTGCTACTAATTATATATACCTAGTGCTTGACTAGAAGTCAACGGGCATGGCATCTAGTTTGTGAAAAGTATATTTTACTAATTGTGTCCAGGCAGAACAACCTGTGGGCCGAGGGCCGAATCATCAGACGGCATTAAAATTTGTCTGAAGGGCAGATTAATGGAAAGGACTGACTATATGCCCGCGAAGGTTTTCTCTATCTCTCTCTCTCGTGACCGTTATTACCCCAGAAAACTCAGTGGGTGTCACAGACATTTGAATGTGCAATGCCTTTTCTAGCTCCCATTGTGGCATTCTAAAGATGTCGTGAACGTTTCCTCTGGTAGCAGGCAGTACGATATAGGGAGTCTAGAGAAACCAAGGCTAACCTTCAGATCTCCATATGTGTTGCAATATTCAAATGGGTTACCTAATCGAGACCAAGCACAGCGCCTTGAACGGAGGGAACATTAGAACAACAAATGGCTGACGTGATAATTACTATCGACTTTCTTCGGTTGATCCCCAAGTCGACTCCGCGTCACCATGATTCTGCAACCACCTAATCTACCTGCTTCTGGTTCGATAAGACTTCAAAGTCTAGCATGTCAACCTTCTTCAGCTGCAAAACTCCTGAGCCCCTCACATGGCAAAACAAATAGCGATGAGCTAGAAGCACCCTATTCATACATTGTCGCCAAACGCCATGTCCTCTTCGTGTTTAATGCCACCCCGTCCTCCTTCAACTAGCAGGTAGCATAATTTCTGTAACACAAATTTTGGCCCCGTCCTTCTCGAAGTGGCGGACGAGCTTGAACACCATAGAATTGCCGAGGCTGTGCCAGATCAGAAAGAGCAAAACAAAACCACATGCTACCGCGAACTCGGCAACTGCCGTATGCATGTATGAAAACAGCGGTAGTGAAAGATGAAAACATCCCCAGCCACATGACGCCTTGCCAAACAGTAAAAACTACCCTCTTTTCACCTTGAACGCCACGGAAAAACAAACAGCGCAGGAGAGTTGCTATACTCATTGACCGCCAAATCATACGCCGCCTCCCATAAAGGCTGCCAGATCATCAAGCTCAAGAAGTTGATTCTCAAAAGCAGCACACAGCTCAGCAGCCGTCATGTCGTTGTTAGCGGCGCGGTCCTGTGAGCCAGCCTGTTCCGTGGGAGCCTCTCCATTCGAAGAAGGCGCACGGGGCGACTCGACCTTGGTAGGCTGAGGGGCCGGCGGTGGACTGGCAGTCGCAGGAGTGTTGGCTCCAACCGAACCTCCGTTGATAGCGGCAAATCCAGACGTTCGGGGTGGCTCGCTCGCTCTGTCTTGAGGCTGGTTTTGGTTGCTCGTTGAGGTGGGTCGCTCATAGTCCATTGCATCTGGGTTGCTGTCGGGCTGGCTGGCGACATCGTCCTTGGCAGGCGGGCTGGGTTCGGGCTTGGACGATTGCGATTGATAGTTGCCACCGTTGCGCAAGACCTTGGCCATGACGGAAAGGTGACGATACCAGGGAATAGAGAGTGTCCAGGCATCCGTGCCCTCCTGGAGGAATCGCATAGCATCGCGGACCATTACTAGCGATGTCTCATTGACGTTGGACGGCGTCAAACCCTTGAGGCTAAACCAGGCCACAGTAGCTCCAGCCTCAAAGCATGCAAATAGCATGACCAGGGGGAAGACAATTGCACCATCCTTGGAGCTGTCAGCATCCAGAGCAAGTAGAAGAGAGACGATGCTGTGTGAAGAGGCAAATGCCTTGTCGACAGCCTGTACATGGGTGCTCGAGGCGTGGCGCCACTGCTCCTCGCTGAAGCCTTCGGTTCTGATGTATTGAAGGAGGCGACGTCGGTTGACCATGATGGTAGCGCAGTGCAGGAGGCAGTGCAGCATAGCATAGGTGAAACCGCTGCCCATGGTGATGTGAAGATTGATGTGGCCGGCCTTGTCCATAAAGTGCATAGGTAGACCCTGGCGTATAGTATCGATTTCGCTGTCCAAGGTCAAACACTGCTGCTCAGAAAATGTCTCAATATCAACAGTCGTGAGCATCTCGATAACATTTCGCCAAGCCTGGGTGGCCATGACAATGTGACCAAATTCGCCGACCTCAGACAAGGGGGTTGAGGGGTCGGGGAGATCAGCGGGTGCTCGGCCGCTCAAGGTGCGTACGTAGACCGGAGAGCCGAAGCTGAAACTCATGTCCGGGCACGGCAAAGCGATGTCTTTGACATCGTGTGCCGTGAGAGCAGGAGAACGGCCAGGGCTGCTGGTCAAGAAACAATCGAGGATGTAGATGAGCCAGAGAGTCCTTCGGAAGGATTCATCCTTGATGAATTGCTCTGCCTCTGGCTTGGAGCCGTAGTGGTTTGAGACGATGCGGTGCATCTGAGCCATACGGGCAGCCTGGCCGAGGTAGACATATGCACGGATGGCATTTCGGCTTCCCCACTCGTGGATGACAAGCAGGCACATTGCCTGGATATCGGCGACGGACGGGTTGTCAAGATTGTTCATAACAGCACTGATGGTCTTGACCGCGAAATGCTCTGCGGCGCCCTGGGAGCCATGCTGACCGCCATATCTACGGGTTAGGTGTGCGGAGCTTCTGCAATGGTGTTAGAGATTTGCACGAGATAATAGCGAGTTTGCGAGATGCGATATTGCAAGCCGCGTGTCAGACAGCACAGCAGATTACAAATTGTATGCAAATAAAGTAGCGGTAGTTAAAAAAGTGCTTCGCGAAGAAGAGCGAATACTTACCGAGCTCCGAGGGTCAAAAGACCATTAACAATGCTGGTCTCTAGTGAACCGTTCTTGAGCTTTTGAAGAAAGCCAGGCTTGTGGAATGCGACACATGCTGGGAGGGTCTTGTTGATGATTCTCTCGCACTCATGCACCAACTCCGGAGTAAGCCTTCACAAAAAAAATATTGATTAGCGGATCCGGAGGTTAGGAGCGACTAGGGGGGGATAAAGGGTGTGGAACACGGAAGCTGGAACGACTTGGCGCCAATGAGAGGTTCTGGGAACCCCGAGGCGAGGCATCCCGGTCATGGGAGCCACGCAAACACTTGGGGCGTTCTGCCTGAGACCCTCCTCTGACGCGAGCGTGGAGGCAGAAAAGTCGGCAGTGCGCAGAACAAGTCGCGGTAAGCAAGCAGAGGATAGGATGCACGCAGACAGGATAGTTGAATGATTATTGTTGGAGCGACGGAGTGGAAGAGAATGCGACGTCGTGGTTTGCACAAATAAAAGAATTTACTTACTTGTCGTTGTTGGAGGTGACAGTGCGCGAGGCCAGAGGCTGGCTGGTGGCAGACGGGCGATCGTGGTTGGTGGTTGACACGCTACGCTCGCCGGGGAGACTCTCGCGTGGTCGCGGAACTCTGGCAGGCGACTGTCCGTGATGATGCGCCAAACTCTCGGAAGGGAGATAGCATTCGTGCATTCCCTTTGCGCAGTTCTTGCAAGGAGCGCGATTATTCTCATAGACCTGGTGGACATTAGATCTGCCCCGGATGGGCGAGGCCGTTCAGTTGAGGATGACTTACGCATTTTGTCTTGCCCTTTCTGCATCGGACACAGGCGCCCCCGGCCCTCAGAGAGGTGCCACGAACGGCGCTCGACATGGCAAAAAAGTCCGGAGTGAACACCAGATGATTTTGACGGGAAAAAAAGGAGTAAAAGAGTCAGATGTGAACGGCGATAAATCGAGTCCGGACCAGGAGTATGTGGGCGGAGTAGGGAAAAAAAAAAGTGAGATGGGGAGGGAGAATGGAAGAGCTGAGGCAGGTGCCGCGATTTTCGGTCGGCGGAGGGAAATTTGTTGTGTGAGTTCCCGGAGGAGTGGAGTTGGGGGACGGGAAAGCACCAGGGAAAAAAGAGAAATTTGGGAAGGGGGCCACTGTCGGATTGCGGGCTGCGGGCACCACTTGGGCTTAGCAGCACTCCCTCAGGCCGCCGTTTCTAGCGCTGCGTCAAAGCTGGATCGGAACTGGCTTAAGCACCCCCCCAAAGAAAGAACTTGGGCAAGCAACGGGCGGTCTCGAAGGGGGGGTCTCGGGGTCAGGTCAGACACGGCGCTTCGCAACCTGACATATACAATCTACCGGTGGGCAGACGGGTGTTTGTCTGGAGATGATTCTATTCTTTTCTACTTCTTTGATTGTGTTTAGATTAATCGACAATCATTCAGTCTGTTTGATGACTGTAATCGTGTATAACAAAAGTGCAAGTGGCAGAGTCCCGTCTGCCTGTCCTTTTTTTTTCTTTTTTTTTCCCGCGACTGCAAAGGGGAAAAGGCGGAATGGAAAAAAGAGAAACGTTTTGCCCTGTGATGAATCTATCTTTGGAGAGTGGCGGCCTCGATCCCATGGTCGAAACGCCCACCCCCGGGTTCATGTTGGACTCAAATGGGCCTCCTCCCTTTTTCTTCTAGAAGGGCGGCGATATATTACATAGGCCAGTGTAGCGCGCGGGCTACCCTTTCACCTTAGGGTACGGAGTCGGCTGCCGGGGGCGGTACAGTAATGTAAAGAACACTTGCTGATGTACTACTCCAAAAGCGAGGCTCAGCAGCGGACCGCTACTTGACGGTACATTACCTTTCCTCGGCCTACCCACTGACGAATGCCTACGAAGGAGTACGCTGCCAAGCCAGAGCTCTTCCCGCCGTCCCGTAAAAAAAAGGTCAGAAAAGCCCCAACCTTCCCAACACCCTCCCTCCAACGAAACCATTTTCATATTATGTGCAATCAACGCTGCTGTCAAGGAAAACGTGAATAGATGGATGGTATGCATTAGGGTCGTCTTCTTTTGGGTTGAAAATGAAACCTAGTCCAATGGCCATATAGTCCTAGCTTAATGCATGCCAACATTTGCACACGAGAAAACGGAATGGTCAATGAATAATTTCATCCTTGCTCCGGGTGTACATAGCCATCAGGTTAGACGCGCAGCCGAGAGGAAACATAGCTGGGTAAAAAAAGGGGGGGCACCCGCATTGAGGCGCTGACCGATTTGACATCTTGGGGCCGTCCGGAAGGGAAGTAGCTCGAGGTACAGGAGAGAGCCTGCCTGGGTCTCGGGGATGGGCTTCTGATCTCCGATCGTACCAGCTGAGGTCGGACGACCTTCTACCCGGCGCCTGATTGGTGATGAGACGGGTGACTTTTTTTTTTTCCATCACCCCGACAATGTAATGTCACACATAATGGATGGATGTTGTCGTTCTCAATTGCAATGGGTGTATATAGTCGGTCTCGTTTTCTCTTTTTTGGTTGGCCTCTCATGATGGGGCGCAGAAGCGATGAGCCAGAGTAAGGATATTGGAGTGAATGAAGCAGTTGGACAGTAATGCACCAACCAATTCCAACAAGACCAATCACTGAGATCACGACAAGGCTTGTATTGAACATGGGGACGATTGGAGCTACCTACGCCCGAGCGACAAGGGATCTCGAGGTCCTCACAGTGAGTGCACCATCAATCCTCCTTTACCCGACGGGCGAGGCGGGAATGCCGTCTGCCCGTCTGCCCCGTGTCATCAATACCTTGATTGGAACAGCCGGGGGCAGTCAGTCCTCGCCATGCCCATAGTCGGGCTCATTCCCCTGGAAACACCCGATTCTTTCTGTGCCGTTCATCAGTGACGTCCACGTCCACATATTTACAATCAATATTGTGCTATGCGAAGCTCGTCGAAAACTTCTTTGCCGTCAATGGAGACTGCAAGAGAAAGCTCCTCTTGGGGGGTGTTGACGAAGCTGCCGCCTCGGAATCTCGCAAATGAAAGAATCTGGGTCTGGTCGTGCGCGCCAGAGTGGTGTGGGTCCTCCGGACCAGAAGGAGCGCCGACCCCCCCAGGTGCCTTTAAATCAATCGCTTCTGGACTTATTATTATTACCTGACAGGCCTATTAATCACGAACTCTGCAATCCGGGATCCTCGGGGCTTGTCGTCTACTATTACGACCGAGATCTTCGTACGTGTAGATACTGTGAGTTCTGGTCGCGACGCGTTGTCAAAGATCTTCGTGCGCCACGCATACTTTCAGCCATTGTGCATCTCCACTCGGTAGCCCGATTGTGAGTCGTGACAAATTCATGGCTCGGATCGCTCGCAACGCCATACATGTCCACAGACTTGATTGTCATTGCTGCTCAATTATTTATTTATAGGATCTTGTAGACTTTGGAGAGGACAGGACCCTGGTCTTTTGCGCAATTGTTATCTCCTTCTCATCTAAGCGCTGTGTCTACACCCCCAGGCGGAGGTGCGGACGCACAATCAGGGTGTTGGCCCTGTTACTTTTTTCTTCCCGGCTAGGGGAACGCCGAGAGCGATCCATTATTTTTCCCAGATCGCCACCTTCCGAGTCTCCGGACGACTAAAATTGGCCAACTGTCCTCCTGGCGACAATTTTTCGGCTTTATCGCAGAAATGGCTGTAAGCCATCGCTCGAGTTACAACAAGCCACCAGATGATGCATACATAGGTCCTAAAAAAGACGCCCGTACTCCATGATGGTCACGTCACAACTGTCCCATCATGGAGACGTTGGTTTGGATCTACAGTACTGACAGGTATAGAAGGCATGGTACGGGACTGGCGTCAGGCTTTTCGCGCCCGAGTGAACGGTCCCTTGCTGCAAAAGCCCAGCAGGTCCGGGGGAGCGCATGCATCTGCATACCACCAACACCAGGTTTGTACCTCGTCGTTGTGCAGCATTGCCAGATTCGATTCAGCCACTGAGAATACGGTCCGGCCAATTACTTGCAACGGACGCCAAAAGCCGATCATTGACGACAAACAAGAATCATGCCTCGGGCCAAGTCTTGGTAGCGCCCAGGGTCTACTTCCCAATAGTGTATCCCCGAGGTTGGGGTCACCAACAGGTACTCGGGGGCATACAAGTCTACCTAGCCCAGCAGGCGAAATGAGCATCGGCAGAAGCGATCGACCGTGACACCAACAGATTATTCCGTACTTCATCATCGCTTCCAGTGATGGGTAAAGGGTGTGATGAGATAGGTGAATGATGATGATGATGATGATTTGTGTCGCTGCACATGTAGCAAGAATGTAGCCGGCAGGCTGTATTGCAAATGCCAGCCGGTACCTACTAGTCACATTCTTTCCCTTCCCCCTTGCCTCAATTGCCTCAGCTGGAACTTGTTGGTGTCGCGAGTCTAGACCTAGGGCCTCCGACTGGCGCCCCGGGCCCCCAAACCCCCTTGGTTTGACTCGATAGGCTGAGCCGGTCCCGTCTGTCTCTTTCCGCGCCGAACAGATGATCATCTCACGACCCTGTCCCCCAGCTCTTTCCAAAATAGTAGTCGACGCGGTACTCGCCTACAGACAGCGATAAGGTCACGCCAGCAACTCCCTTTTCAATTATGAGACATCTCAGACCGGCAGTCGAAAGAAGAAAAAAAGGCGACAGACCCCCAAGGCCCGTGTCTTGGCATGGAGAACATTCCCGGTCTTTGCCTGTCAGCGGCTGTAGGTCCCCACTCTCGTGTTACTGACCACCCGCCCGGGCCTGTGTTTGTCTTTCAGTGCGCATATTCGGCACTGGAATGAGCTCCTGCTCGCTTGTGCCGATGCCGAGCTCGTATACATGTCCTCCGGAATGAAACCCTCTACCTCGGCATGCTACCAACTGCGGCGCTTGCCTTCACTTTTTTGTTCACAATGCATGGAGGAATCACCAACCAAAAGGCCTCATTGGTGACATGAAAATAAGTCACAGTTTGTCTTGAGCGTTTGATAGCCAAAGCAAGTGCCGCAGACGTCACCCCGCAAACCAACTACCAATGTACGTATACACTACGCAAGACTTTTATCCACCTCATTAGGGTTGATGCATAGCCCACCACTGCTTCTGAAGCCTTTTGGCATTTGGAATCCCGTGTGGAGACCAACACTACAGAGTGCATTCCGCTGGGGTTGACTGGGCGCGCTTAAACTCTAGCCATCATTGCGGATGAACATCAAGAATGTCAACGCCTCTCGAGATATCCAAGACCTCGCAGCTGTAACCTTGCAAGGTAAGACATATTTCACAACCAGTTTGACACACAAATGATATTTTAAAGGGCAGCCATCATTGCCTTGTGATGAGTACCATGGTATTTTTCATCTATTACCTAGGAAGATCCATCGGAAGAGCTCCGAATCCCGACAACGGAGCTCTCTTGAGGTAAAGGATCCACCACGGCGACACACGAGTCAAGAGAGATCATGATGCCCTTTATATTCCTATCTGATAAGAAGCACATTCGATACGGTGAGGTCAAATCATCTTGGGAACGGCTGACCAATGGAAGAAACCACCCCGTTGAGCATGTCATTTGGAAGCGGCTGTCGTGACCGTTGATACGGGCTTGGTTCGGACCTAGCCGCGGAAAGACCAGTCGGAACGCTTGACGGCTGCCGACTGCCGTGATGAGTGGTGATTTTGTATTGAACATATCTGTATAGTCTCACGCATACAGATTCATCTCCTACTATTGAATTGATTGATTTCCATTGAGCATTACTTTTATCGTTTTGTAGTAGTGTGAAACGTGAGATAATTGCCTTCAAGATGTCGATCATTATGATGGACCATGATGAGCCGTGAGTGTTGGTTACTCTAGCCATGAAGTGATTATTGACTGACGTTTTGACAGGGACTTGGTGTCCATGGATGACTTCCGAAAGCTCACAGCTTCTCGTGGCATGACGCTGCAGCCAGATGATGAGGCAACCTACTATGAACTCCTCAAAGCAGCGGATAAGTGCGCCAAATACGTATACAAGATGCCAGAATATGTAGACCCGCGCCTGGTGCCCGACATGGAGCCTGGCAGTACTCGCAACTATGCGAATCCTGCCAACGGCTCCTCGGAGAATCCTCTGGGCGGATGGAGCCATCAGACGAGCATTCGCAGCTCTAAACCGTTGAAGAATGAACTACTCGCGGGAAAGACAGTGGTGGCCAAGGACAACATCTTGATTGCTGGCATCCCGCTGACTATTGGCACCTCGGCTAGCCATTTGTCCAAGGATGCGAAATATCCATTGCCCAAGATTGATGCACCCGTCATTCAACGAATTTTAGAGTCTGGCGCAGAGTTCACTGGTACCGCAGTATGCGAGAATTATTGCATGTCAGCATTGTCTTTTACCTCTGCTACCGGACCAGTGGCCAATCCATGGTTGGCCAAGGGCCCTAATGGCGAGAAATACGCCTATGCCTGTGGAGGTTCAAGTTCGGGCAGCGGCTCATTGGTTGCAGTCAACGTTGTCAAGAGGCTGCGGGAGCAGAAGGGTCTGTCGACGGAAGGCCTCGGCGAGGGAGCAGACTTTGCGCTGGGCGGCGATCAGGGAGGCAGCATTCGCCTCCCGGCTGCCTACTCTGGAATCTATGGTCTGAAGCCCACTCATGGGTTGGTGCCGTATACGGGCATCGCCAGCCTCCACCCTCTGATTGATCACTGCGGCCCCATGGCGGGCAGTGTTAGGGACACGGCATTGCTGCTCAGCGTCCTCTCGGGCTATGATGGCATTGATCCACGCATGACACCCGAGACTCCTCTCCGACAAAACGTACCGCAATACCACGAGATACTGGACAAGGAGATTGCCAAAAGAACAGAAGCTGGTACCTGGACACCCAGCCAGGCCGCCAAGGGATTGAAGATTGGCGTCCTCAAGGAAGGGTGGGAGGTGCCCACAATGTCCCCCGAGGTAGCTGCGGCAACAAAAGCAGCTTGTGACCGATTCGCCGCGCTCGGCGCAGTCGTCGAGGAGGTCTCCATCCCACTCCACAAGATCGGCCCGGCGATTTGGACGGCGGCGACCCGGGCCAACATGATTGACTCCATGACCAACGTGTCGCCGACTCTGCTCTCCCACACCCTGCCCGACCTCAACCCGCCGGTCCCTGACCAGGCTTGGTACGAAACCATGAACAAGTTCAACCCTGCCGTGGTGAATGTGTTTTTCGCAGGTGCCTATCTCTCGAATCCGGATCGGTTCCCGCCGGCGTACCGAAACAAGGCCATGATGCATGTCCATGAGCTGAGAGCAGTCTATGATGATGCGCTTTCCAAGTATGATGTGCTAATCACGCCGGTCACGCCAACCGTGGCGATGCAGCGAGATGAAACATGGCACAATGGTGGAGTCATGGGACACTTGAACCTGGCGCTTGGAAATAACATGAATACGGGCATGTTCAACGTGACGGGACATCCGGCCATGGCGATGCCAATTGGTTGGGGTAGTCCCAGGGAAGAGGGAGTCGATGGTAAACTTCCCATTGCTTTCCAAATCATTGGAAAGAGGTTCGGCGAAAGTGACATGTTCTTGGCGGCGGCGGCCTGGGAGGTTGGCGGCCGTGCCTATGATGAGTGGCAGCCATAAAGAGAAAATGATGATACCACAGTTGACAGAGTAAATTAGTAAGTAATAATACCATTACTTATTGACGCCTCATAAGTACAATAGAAGCTACCTCCAGTGAATGTAATAATAATCAACAAAAGGAGAACGAAACACAGTCCCCGTCAAAATGGACAATGACCCACACCTAGGAGAAAGCCGCATGGTTCGAATTCTTGGAAGAATTTCTCAAACGGCTCAAGATCAGTGAGTGGCTGGGCAGTTCTGATACGGGCAAGCTTGGTGTTTCATTGGCCCCCAGCCGTTTGCACATTATCGAGAAGACCTCTTGAACCCAATTATTGCACACATCCAACAAGCGAGTTACGGGAATTAGTTCAATGGTTTGCGGACGTGTTAGCATTTGATATCGTCTATCATCCAAGGATCATTGTTCAAGTCCCGTGCTTGCCTAGTCCTGGCGAGACTTTGGCTGGCCACCAACTCCCTGGGCACAAATCTTTGGAACCTCTCGTCTGTCATCCCTTACACTGAAGGATAACCGGGCACCACTTTTTTCCTTTTCTTTTTTTTTCTTTTTTAAATATTCATTCAGCTAAATATCTCATTTAAATGTCAATATTGTTATACGTCAAATCAGTTCTTGATATTTGTTTGGGTTCCTTGGTTTCTGTAATGAGTTTACGACAGCCCAAATTCGAGTACAGGTCCGGTTAATTAATTTCACTCCCCCCCCCATCAATTTTAGGAGTATCACCCAGTGACAAATAGTATATCATTTGACTTGGGTTAATTGATTTATTGCAAGCCATTTTCGTGGTATAGGAGCTGTTGATTCACTTGTGTCTGGGTACCTGGATTATAATGAAGCTGAATTCGGAGGCGGGTTTCGGAAGGCGCGTCCCCAAGCACAGGCCACACCCGCGTTTAGAGCCCGAAATTGTTTCCACCATAATTCCGGCGTTGCTCATCACCCCCATCTCAAATGTGTGCCGACACAAAAGACGACTTCTAGATCATACACATTTGAGAAATCTCAATATTTTATTGTTCCGGCGCTTTGGGCAGTGCAGAGCCATGGGAGACTCGGAAAATCCGTTCCAAATCTCCCGTGGAGTCAAGAGAAAGCTCTTCAGCGACACAAAATCGCCATTTGCCCGGCGCTTGGCGGCAGCGCGCAAAGCTCCCAAACATGTTGATGTTGACCCAGACGTGGAAGCTGACGATGCGTCAGCTTTGAAAGTCAAACAAGAGTTAGATACAGCGCATCCCAGCGAGGATGATTTTCACTTGCAAAAGGATGCACATTATTCCAAGCTTTATCGAGGCGAAACAGATTTCGCGGCCGTTGCAGCCAAAGACAAACCGCTTCAGTTCTAGTATGTTTGACTCGTGCCTTTGGTTTCCCGCACATATCAAAATAGCTAAAATCTTGTTGCAGCCTCAAAGGAGAGAGACATCTCGACTTTACAGACCCAAAGGCAGTTGTACAGCTCACCAAGTCACTGCTAAAGGTGGATTTTGGCTTGACTTTTGAGCTTCCCGACGACCGACTATGTCCTCCTGTGAGTTGCCAAAACGGCCATGTAAGCTCCCGTATGTCCTGCTGACCGTGCTCAGGTACCCAATCGCCACAACTACATCCTCTGGATCAAAGCACTCCTGGACAGCAGCTCTACGTCTTACTCCGAGTTGTACAATCCGGAGCGCAAAGTCGAAGGACTAGATATTGGCACTGGTGCCAGCGCAATCTACCCATTGCTGGGATGTACGCAGCGCCCAGGCTGGTCTTTTATTGCCACGGATATCGACCACGAATCCTTGTCCTGGGCACGCAGGAACGTTGCAATCAACGAGCTCGAATCCCGCATCCAGCTTCTGCAGCGATCCCCTACCGACAATCTGATTCCTTTGGACAACTCTGAGGTGGCGTGTCTTGATTTTGTCATGACGAATCCACCATTCTACAGCTCAGAGAGCGAACTCTTGGAGCTTGCAAAGACGAAAGCCCAGCCGCCAAATAGCGCGTGCACCGGCGCAGCACACGAGATGGTGTGCGATGGTGGCGAGGTTCAATTCTTTCAACGGATCTTTGACGAATCTTGCCAGTTAAAAAATCGTGTCCAGTGGTATACAATCATGTTGGGCAAGCAATCCAGCCTTGAGCTCGTCGTTCGTATTATTCAGCGCAATGGAATCGACAATTATGCACTCGCACAATTTGTTCAGGGCACAAAGACACGCAGATGGGCAGTGGGCTGGAGCTTTGCTAAGCGCCGACCAAACGCCGCAGCTTGCAGAGGCTTCGAGCCCTCTGCTGGCAAGAAGCTTTTGCCTCACCCAACAGAAATGACAGTCGCCACTAAATCGACAAGGCCGAACAATGCAGAGCAGGTTCAGAACATGTTTTGGACACAGTTGGAGGATGTCACCGACGGCCTCGACCTCGTATCGTGGAATATGGACGAAGACAGGCTCCGAGTTGTCGGGTTTGCCCAAGAGAATGTTTGGAGCCGATCATACCGAAGAAGAACGAGCGCGCTAGGCAAGCAAAGGTCTCCCGAAGCCGGCAACAAGAAGCCGGTTCTATCCGAATGTCCATTTGGATTTGCGATCACTGTGACGAAGAGCGACCCCGAAGAGGAAACCGGAGATGATGCTCAAAGTACTGTCGATGTAGTTGTCCGCTGGCTTCAGGGCAGCGATTACACTCTTTTCGAGAGCTTTGCGGGCATGGTACGCAACACCTTGTTGAGAGTCGTATAGCGTTATATTGCCATCACTCCTGTAGACGTTGCAACGATTGAACGATTCAGTGGGGAAAATCATTTGTGCATTGTTCCATGGTTTTTACATGCGTCTGGTCTTGATATCAAATGCCTATGGCTCGATTAAATCTATTAATACCTTTACAGCTCAAAACTTGCTAATAAATATAATTGTAGCAAACCAAAGATATTACTTCTACCGTTGGACAACGTGACACGACTGAGATTGTCTGCTAGTCAGCAATTGAAGTTTGAGAAGGAAATGTAAGTGTCCCTACTGATTGTATTAATTCTAGTGAGTGGTGAGCAGCAAAGACTTGCCCAATTTTCCTAGGTACTTTACGTTTTCCGTGTGCCAACAGAGCCAATTCGCAAATCTGAATTTGCCAGACTGCATATGAGCGAGTGTATGTTTAGTATGAACGGGTAGGAAATCGTTTTGCAGTGCACGTGTACTTTGTTGTATACCCAAGACACTTAGTCAAAAACGTCGCTGACGTATCTCACCTCCCGAATCTCCTCCAACCAGTCCCGCGCCTGTTTCTCAGTCACGTCCGGGTGTGCCTCCCTATAGGTCTTGATAAACATGTCCGAGGCGCTCTTGGCGAGTTTGCTCGCCGAGCCGCAGACATAAATCTTGGCCCCCTGGTCTCGGAACAGCGTCCTCAGGTACTCCCTGTCCTCCCAGACGCGGTCGGGGGCGTACTTGCACGCGCCCTCGCCCTTGTTGCCGACGCGGGAAAAGGCCGGGCGCAGGCTGACGGCGCCCATCTTTTCCCACTTGGTCAGCTCGTCGCGGTAGAGGAAATCCCTCTGGGCGTCGCGGCAGCCGTAGTAGAGCACCGCGGGCGCCAGCTTCTTCTTGTCGTGGCCCGCCTCGAGGACGCAGGCGCGCTCCTGGACGAAGCCGCGGAAGGGCGCGAGGCCCGTGCCCGCGCAGATCATGATGATGGGAACCTCGGCGTTGGTCGGCAGGTGGAAGCCCGTGTTGGAGTGGCGCACGTAGCAGCGGATCTTGGAGCCCGGCTCGTGCCTGGCGAGGTACGTCGACGCCACGCCCTCGAACTGGCGTCCGTGGCCGCTGCGGGCTGGGGCCTCGTGGACGTCATATGTGACGGACGCAATGATATTCTTTGCTTGTCCTTCAGTACCGCCGTGCTGGCCCTGAAGCTCAGATGCCAAAGGCGAGGAGGAGATGGAGTATTGCCGAGGAGACAAGGGCTTCAACATGTCAAGATATTGTTCAAAGGGGAGATTGGAGCTAGGATAATCCTCGAGGAGGTCGAGGATAGATCGCCGCTTCGCAATCACCTCTTCATTGAATTTGTTTTGGTTTGAAGCCAGGTCCATCAGCGCCTTTTGATCGGCACCCTTGGCTGTTCGTGCAATGGCCTCGACTTGACGTCTCGAAGCTGGCGTTCCGAGCTCGACACGTGCCGCTAGAAGATCAACCACATTAACCGCACCACCACCAGTCTGTTCGAATCGTCAGTTGGTGAGATATTTGGGTATGTTGCTGGACTGCCTACCAAGAATTCCTTGCTGGTACCGCTAATCTCGATGGAGTCATCCATGTTGAGCTTGAATCGACGAGCAGCACGTCTGACCATGTTTGGCGGATTGGTTGGCATGACTACCAAATAATCTGCTCATCATTAGGGCGAATTTCGTACCAATAATTCAATGAAGACTCACCTCCAGCTTCATACGAGACACCCTCTGGCAACTCAACCTCAAGATGTTTCTTAGCGGAGCCCATGTCGCTAGCAGGGGCAATTTCGACATTCTTCTTCACAACGGCTTCAGAAACTTCCTCTCCAGCCAACTTGCTTGCAATCTCTGCCTTTTTGAACTTGATGGACAACTCGGGGGCCTGACCGGGGTGTTTTTCGTCACCGACAGAGTCAAGCAAATGATCGCGCCAGTCCTCCCAAGGGCCGACAATGTCCTCCTTGACGTCGACAAAGCCAGGCTCGATGACTGCCGAGCCGCCGAGCTTTGGAATGGCCTCATTGTAAAACTTTGGCACCTTGTGGAACGTGTTTGACCACTCGCTATTGCCGACACCAAACACGGCAAACTTGACATTCTTGAGCGCGCCAGCGTCGAGGGACTCGATCCAGGCCTGGAACTTTCGTGCATTGTCCGGAGGCTTGCCTTCGTACGACGGAGCAATCATGACGACGGGCATATCAGTGGGCAAGTTGCCGGTACTGGCGTCCAGGGTCTTGACCTCGGGTCCCAGCCCGCGCTCCTTGGCCATGGTCTGCAAGTCCTCGGCAATGTACTTGCAGGTCCCGGCATTGGACCCGTACAGAATGAGTAGTGGGTTGTGTGATCCTGCACTAGTGATTGAACAAATGTGAGCATGATTCAATCTCTTGAAAGAAAGGCTATAGCATTTGCAAGATACAAGGCACTTACGTTTGGGCCTTCTTTCCACCGCTCTTTGGCTGTTTGTCGTGAACACCCTGGAGCATCGAGGAAGGAATCGAGCCCGGAATACCGGTCATGGGTCCTCTTCCAGGTCGTCTGGCAACCTTGATCTTGAAGTCTGCCGGCTTCACAGTCAAGGTGCTCTTGAGATCTGCCAGAAATTGTCAATATTGTATCATGCATTCGATCCCTCCAACTTACGGAGATTATAGCTCGGATCAGCCACTATTGGGTTGCAAGGTCAGCCGTTGCTGCTCATCATGGTCAATCATGGAACTTTTTGGACCGCTTACTAGACACCTCAAATCTCTGGAACACCATGGCCAGAGTCATGACCATCTCTTGCTCGGCAAGGAAACGGCCAATGCAAGATCTCACTCCGTTGCCAAACGCCTTCCACGCGTTCCTAGGCATCTTCTCAAAGCCACCGTCCATCATGCGCTCGGGGCGGAATTCCGCGGCGTCAGGACCCCAGACCCTTTCATCATGATGCATTCCAGGCAAGTTGACACGGACATTCATGCCCTTTGTGATCTTGTACTTGCCACCGATGACAGTATCTTCCTTGGCCACATGTTGAGTCTGGGTGATGGGACCGAGGAAGCGCAAGGATTCCCTAGACGAGGGTTCAGTGTCAGTTTCTACCTGGCCATGAGTCGATGGGTTTGCATGTTAAGAGAACGACTAGTTCATGAATAGTTGCAGCAATCTCTTTGACAAACGTTTGATTAGTGTGAAAAACACATACAGAATGCAGGCCTTCAAGTATTTGAGCTGAGGAATGTGATTGGGCTGCAGGACATCGTCGCCAAGCACACGGTCAACTTCCGCCTGGGCCTTGTACATAGTCTCTGGTTTATGCAGGAAGTTGTAAAAGAGGAATGCAAGCGTTCCGCTCGTTGTCTCGTGTCCAGCAATCTATTGATTACAAGTCAGCCGGGCTTGTTCTTCCTGAAAGCATCATATAGTCGTTTGGGTTGCCTACCAGGAATGTCAGCATGTTGAAACGAATGTTCTCATCCGACATCTTCTCTCCAGTCTCGGGGTCGGAGACACTCAGCATGGCATTGAGCACGTCGTGGATCTCCGGCTTTGGATTGCGTTTACGCTCGGCAATGAGGTCATCAGCAAGCTTCCACATGTCTTCCTTGGTTTTCTTGTACTCGGCCGCAGACCACACACGCAGAGTGGTCTCGAGTGTCGGACGGTTGGCCCGTTTGCCAGTCTCGATCAGTGCTCGAGCCATCTGTTCAGCAAACGGGTGCGGATGATCTCTGTAGAAGCTGTTGAAGCGATACGAGAATGCGCACATTGCAATCGTGTCAAATGCCAATCTGTAAGGGGTGGTCAGTCATGGAAGGTCCAGATGATTTTGGAGCAACTTATCGTGAAATCATCCGAGCACGTAATCTCATTATCCGGGCCGAGCCTGTCCCATCTCAACACCATCTGAGAGATCATGTCTTGCATTTGGGGAAACATTTTTCGAATAGACAGAGGGCCGAATGCAGGCATCAAGATACGGTGAGCCTTTTGCCAGTTCTGTTTCTTCTTAGCAGTCATGATGATCCATCAGGTATGCTTGTCACTGACGTGCTCGCTGGTGTGAGCTGAAAACAATCCGTCTCCAATGAGGTTACGAGATTCCTTCAATGGCCCCTCAATGTTCTTGTCAAATCGACTCTCGTCGTACACCTCGTTGGCCAGCTCATACGATGAGATGATGACCTCCAGATGGTCAACCAGATCGAGCTTTACGATATCACCATACATGGCATTAAGTCGCCAAGCCGAACTCGCGGGGAAAGCAGGATTAATTTCAGACATATTTCGAGTGAACCAGTGAGTAGCAGGTTGGGGAATGGCGACGAGATCCTCCTCCTTGACCGATTTGTTTCCTTTTGGGTCTGATGGAGGCATCGCCTGGTTTGTAGGGACACTCCGCCGCCTCTCCATCTTTGCCAGATGTTTGGGACATTGTGATTCGAAAGTGTTTAATACATGTGTCAGTATTTTATAATTGATTGATACACGGGCTTCATCAGAGAGGGCATTCTAAGGCATCTCGCCCATTTATATACACAGTCTCCATCTTGCAGTAAGGCTATTGTGTGACTTTGAACTCCACTTCGACGTATGGCGATTACTGATGCATGCGCAGAACGATATGGCATGAAGCACAAAAGTGCACCAATCACCTATGAAGTCTAACTCTAATAGTACTTCCGAAATAAGGCTCCCGAGGTATGACGTTTGTGCCTCGGAGTCGGCGTCTCGCCCACAAGTTGACCACGAGACGACAGATGAGCTCTAGAGCTCCAAGAACTCCCATTGGAAGTTGGAGCTCTAAGGTTATGCTGTGATAGATCGGTAGGTAGGTTGGTGCCTCGGACTAGTGCCTCTTCATCGTCTGGAGTTGATTGAACAGAAAGCCGGAGAGCTGGCTAATGCGCCTCTATCATGACTAAGTTCAGCACCAAAGCCGTTTTGTTGCGGCCGGCCAATCTTTCGCAATCAAGTCAGTCCTTGTAGCAGACTTCCCGTCGTAGGTGAAGCCAAAAACTGTGGGGAATTTCGAGTGCGGATAGGTGCCGCGAGGTTGCCGCATCGGCCCCGATACAGTCGATCTTGTGTGCTCGTTTCGCGAATTGCTTGGGCCGGATAGCGATGTCGAAGCAATAGCAGCACAAGTGGCGTTTGTAGTTGCCGGTATATTATTGCCGTAGATTCTTCGAAATAACTCATCATCCCCATCTCATAGCACGCTCTTTCATGGTGAACTTGTAATGCTCCGCAGCACACAATCTGTAGGCTTTTCCAAAGCTCAGCAGAGTGCGACATGCTGCACCTAGAACAACATGCTTGCAACACGTTTGGACCCTTCGGATAGCTTCTCGGATGCTGGCTTCTTGGCGACTGCTGATTGTTCAAAGGTTCGCCGGCTCTGCTGATCGACAGCATGACCCCCTCCCTCCCTCTGCTTCTTTTTCGACTGGATTCCGTTAAGCATCTTTGCCTTCTCCACATTCTGCACAAACTCCTTGTTCTCCTTAGTGGACTTGGAAATTTCGGCTCGCATTCTGTTGGACTTCTCAGCAGCTTCGGCAGATATCTGCTCTGTGAGATTGTCTAAGGCGCAGGGTTAGTTGCTGTTATGGCTGCCCAGAGGCACACAAGGGGAACATACGCCATTTGAAGCCTTTCAAGTAAGAAAGCGACCACAAGTCATCACGATAGAATGAACCCTTCTTTCCTCCAATGACCTGGCCTCTGAGAAGATCGACCGCTGCCTTGGCATCCTTCTTCTTGACAAATTCGACCCAGCCGTCCGTAAAGGACCGCTTCTTGTTACCTCCATTCTTTACACGTCTCGAGTGCTCTGCAGGGTCCTCGGGGGATAGAAAAATGCGGTTAATGGTTCCATATGGCTCTAGTAGAGATCGCAGCTTTTGTGGTTTCATGACTGGACACGGTCAGTTTGCGCCACAGCAACAGGGGCAAGATATAGTCGACTGACATGGGGGAACTCTAGAGATATATACAACGCCGGATTTTTTGATGGCGGCTTCGGTAGCAACGAGGTTCTTCTTGGTCAAGGGCTTCGAAATGCCAGGTAGCTCGTCGAGCTTTTGCTTCTTGCGACTTGATAATGCGCTTTCTTCTTCCTCTTCTTCCTCTGGCTCAGTCTTTTGGCTGTTCCTTTTCGGCTTGCGCTCGGACTCTTCCTCGTCCGACTCTTCGTCTCCAATGCTCGCCGCATCATTCTCGTCATCGCTTGAGGCATCGTCGTCATCTATGCGCCTCCTCTTGGTGCTGCCCTTGCGGACTTCCTCCTCGGACTCGTAGCCGCGAACATCGTCATCGCTGTCCTCGGCGTCGAGGAAATTGTTGCGCTTTTCTGCCGGCATGTCTGCGATTGATCGGGTGCGAATGAGCGACTATGCTTTGACAACAGCTGCCAGTTGTTCGTCAGTGCCTTCAATGTTGCGGCGGCGCAAGCACTGAAACCCTTCAAAGAATTGAAAGTCTTGACAATCAGCCATGAAAGATAAATTTTAGTGGAGCAAAGACTAGCGCATCTACGCTAAGGCTCTCGGCATTTTTGCATTGCAGCCAGTGACCAACGGGGTTTGGGTAAGGATTATTTTTATGCTCTTATCAGCAGTTTTATCGAGTTTCCGAGCTCGGCGGGGTAATTGGTACAATTCAGGGTAGGCGAATGGGCAAGTCCTGACTCGACAGCACTGGAGCTGCCCCAGTTGCCCCTCCATATACTTGATGCCAAAACGTAAGCCCTGTAATCAGACGTCACTGCGCTTGACTCGCCTCTTGGGGACAGACATTTTGATTGCTCAAGTGATAGGCAATTTATTAAATTATTCATGATATACATACATCTGAGTCGATAACATTTTGCCAACGATAAATACATCGTCCAGTTGATCCCCTCGTCAAAACCTAAATCAGCTCAAACTTACCTCCGCTACCAACCTTTTTTTCGACAGCAACTTTTCCAAACATGTCTGCCGAGGTCATCACCACCATCTCTCCAACTACCAATGAGGGCATCATTACCCGCAACGGTGTGAGCTCGACCGAGCTTGAGCAATTGCCAGAGACGTCGACTGAGGCCTTCCGCACATGGAGCAAGACCTCCCTGGTCGACCGTCAGATTATCGTCAAGAAGGCACTGAAGGTGCTGGGCGACCGGCAAGATGAGCTTGCCAATGAGATTACCCACCAGATGGGACGTCCCATCCGCTACACGGGCGTCGAGGTTGCTACTGCCGTGAAGCGTGGCGAATACCTCGTCAAGATTAGCGAAGAGACCCTCAAGGACACTCCTGGTGAGGCAGAGAAGGGCTTCAAGAGGTTCATCCGTAAGGTCCCTGTTGGCCCGGTGCTCATCATCTTTCCCTGGAACGTAAGTCGCTCGGAGATGAAACACAATGCATGACCGCCAGTCACTCATGAATTTCTCAGTACCCATACCTGACTCTTGTCAACTCGCTCGTGCCGGCTTTGCTCGCAGGAAACACAGTTATCCTTAAGCCCTCACCGCAAACGCCTACTATTGCCGAGCAAGTCACCAAGGCTTTCACCGAGGCTGGTCTACCGGCTGGTGTGCTACAGTACTTCCACTGCGGATCGCCAGTTATCATGGAATCCATCATCCGCAACCCTCAGATTGCCTTGATTTGCTTCACAGGATCGGTCCCCGGTGGCCTGGGTGTGCAAAAGGCGGCTTCGGATCGCATTGTCAACGTCGGTCTGGAACTCGGTGGCAAGGACCCTGCTTATGTCAGAGGCGATGTCGACATTGCCTGGGCAGCTGAGGAGATTGTGGACGGAGCAATCTTCAACTCCGGCCAGAGCTGTTGCGCCATTGAGCGTGTTTATGTGGACGAGACCATTCATGATGATTTCGTCAAGGCTGTTCAAAAGGTTCTTGAGGGCTACAAGGTCGGTGACCCCATGGACAAGGAAACCCAGATTGGACCTGTTGTCTCGAAGCGATCCAAGGAGGCCATTGAGGCCCAGATCAAGGATGCCGTGGCCAAGGGTGCCAAGGACGAGACACCCGACAATGCAACATTCAAGAACATGCCTGAGAAGGGCAACTTTGTGAAGCCTACCTTGCTCACAGACGTCAACCACACCATGGACGTCATGACGGAAGAGACTTTTGGTCCAGTTATTGCCGTCCAGAAGGTGAAGACAGACTCCGAAGCCATTGCCCTGATGAACTCGAGCGAATTTGGTCTTACTGCCAGCATATGGACAAAGGACACCAACAAGGCCTACGAACTTGTCCAGGATGTTGAGGCAGGAACAGTCTTTGTCAACCGTGCCGACTTTCCCAGCCCCGTAAGTCATTTCTCTTCAACATTGAACGTTATGCTTGTTTGTTCAAAAACACATTACCTTTCCAATACTGACTGTGCATGTAGGACTTGGCCTGGACGGGATGGAAGAACTCTGGCAAGGGCCAGACTTTGAGCAAATTTGGTTTTGACCAATTCTCCAAGCTGAAGAGCTTCCACCTCAAGGACTACCCGAAATAATAGATTCGACGACCTAGAATCAATACAATAAAACAACTGTCTCAAGGCTGTCGGTCGAACACCGTACTCTGTGCCAAAGTCCATTTGAGCTGAAATCGAAACAATATGGTGAATAAGGGTCCATGATATTGATGATGAATATCAGGAAGATTGAACTGTTGAGCTATTCCTAGCAACTCTTGACGACCAATTTTGCATGGACCAGCCCGGCAATGATGTTTGTCACCATCATCACCTGGTGCACAAAATGAACATGTCAATTCCCAATACGCAAATGGCTTAGTGGTTAAATTGAACACATTTATAAGAGGTCTAGCTGAATCGAATGCTTCGTGATGCATACAAAAGTTTGTCTTGTGATTCTGCTCTGGGAGGTGAACAATACTGTGACTTGGCATGTCTGTATTGAGGTAGGTTCACATAGATTGATGAGTTTGCCGTATGCCCTCGGCTTCTATACTACAAGTTTCTATAGTCAGAGCTTGGCCAGCTTCGGCAGATCTCTCCAGACCTGAATCCCGCAAAGAACAAGACCCTGGGCACTCTTGCCTAACCGTCAGCTGAAAGCGTTCCCAAGCGAGTCCAAGCCCCGCGATACCAAAGCTGACCAACCATGCTAGTCAGCGATTGCCGAAGGCTTGATTGGCTTTCTCCAGGTTTGGGGGGAATGGGGTAGTAATGGGGGAAATGGGGAAACCCTGTCTAGTTCTTGGTCTGGCCAAGGGGGTCTATCATGTTACAAACGTTGTTGCAACCATCATAACCTCTGCAAACTGCATTAGCCGAGGGCATAGGGTCCCGGTAAGTGATCACGGTTATGGCAGATGCCCCTGCCCAGACTCTCTGTGTTGCATTGCATATGCCTACATAATCAGACGTGGGCGCGCGTCATTCTCAACGCTCAGAATTGGTAGACGAGAAGAATATATTGCACAACCATCCTTTTATTGCTCATTTGGGACGATTGCACACACGTAGCCTATGCCGTAAATCTGTCTTTTCGCAGATATCGCCACTGTTCAGGAGCCGTCCCCTCTGGCCAAACGAAAACACCATGTCGTCGTCAGACAATGGTCTTAGTGAAGCCGAGAAGGGAGTTCCAGCGTCCAATACCATTTATCCGACTGAGACCAGCAGAGAGCGCGAGCTTCACGAATTCAAGGATACCGAAGGTTACGATGTCAATGTAGAAGACGGCGGACGAGGCGGCAGCATCAAGCTTGCCAAAGACGGCCACACCAGGCTGATTCCACAGCCGAGCGACGATCCCAATGATCCCCTCAACTGGTCCTCGCGCAAGAAGAATCTATGCCTGTTTATCGTGGCGGCCACTGCGCTGCTGCCGGATTACGGTTCGGCCACGGGCGCCGTGACTCTTTTGCCTCAGGCAGTGTGCGTGACAACCCACGAGAAACAGTTGCTCAAGTGCCAGTGAACTGACAAACATGCCTACATCAGTCAATGGAACATGACCGAAGATGAGGTCAATCATTCGCAAGCCGGCAACGTCTTTATGCTTGGCGCTGGAGGAATAGCCAGTAAGCCGAAGCCGAGTTGGATGCAAGTCTTTTTCTAGCAGAGATTCGACTGACAAGATGAAATTAGCCGTCATGCTGAGTGCTTACTTTGGTCGTCTACCTGTCATGTTCTACTTTCTCATTGTCGCCTTGGCCACGGCAATCTGGTGCGCTGCTGCCACCACCTTTGACTCGTTCATGGGCGCCCGCATTCTCAATGGATTCTTTTCCACGTGTGCGCAGGCGGCTGGCATGATGTTTATCCAAGACATGTTCTTCTTTCATGAGAGAGCTCGAAAGATCAACATTTGGGCGTGAGTTGTTCTTGCAAAACCATGGATGTCCCCGAGAATTGGAGAAGGACTGTAGAGCTGACGATATATTACATCAGATCGTTCTTCGTCATCAGCCCCTACATCGGACCCCTGTTTGCCGCATTCATGGTCGCCACCAAGCCGTGGCCGACACCTTTCTGGGTGTACGTTGCCGAGACTGGTCTCTGCTTGATTCTCACCATCTTGTTCTTGGAAGAGACATTCTACGATCGAAGAATACCACAGGCGGAGCAGCCTCCCAGGGGCAGCCGACCATCCCGCCTTTTGGGTGTTGCACAGTTCCGATCAAGACATCTCAGAAACAGCTTTGGGCAGGCATGCATGCGCATCGTCCATGTAATTCTGAAGCCTACAGTCATTATTTCAAACTTTTACTATCTAATGGTAAGCACATGATGCAGATTGTGGGGGGCAATTAAACAAACATTTATGAAAATGTGCATGAAGCTAATAGCGTACTGTTGCTAGACATTTGCCTGGGTCGTCGGCATCAACACGACCCTGTCCATCTTCCTCGGCCCCGTCTACGGCTTTGGGCTCAACCAGATTGGCTTCTTCTACTTTACCCCCGTCATCGCCGTCATCCTCGGCGAGGTGGCGGGCCACTACCTGCACGACGTGCTCGCCAACGCCTACATCCGCCGGCACGGGGGCCGCTTCGAGCCCGAGGCCCGGCTGCACGCCATTGGGCTGGCCCTGCCCTTTCTCGTCGTCGGCCTCGTGGTCCTCGGCCAGGCCCTGCAGAACCAGTGGCACTACATGGTCGCCTCGGTGGCCTGGGGCCTGTACGTCTTTGGCATCATGATTACTACTGTTGCCATTTCCTCGTACAACCTCGACAGCTACCCCGAGGCCTCGGGCGAGGTCTCGGCCTGGCTCAACAACTCGCGCACCCTGGGCGGCTTCATCATTAGCTACTTTCAGGTCACTTGGGCCAATGCCCAGGGCACCAAGATTAGCTTTGGTGTGCAGGCGGCTATTTGTGCGGGAGCTTATTTGCTGGTGCTCCTATTGCTCTGGAAGGGCAAGCAGCTGAGACTCTGGGCTGGTCCGCTGCACTTTGCGACTTCCTAGACTGAGACTTTTGTCTAGATGATGAAAATGACGGGTTTCCATGGTATGATACGGCATGATATACATCAAGACTTTACAGATTAGACTTGGTTGGCCACGAGATATAGGGCGGCTGAGATTATCGACTAGCATTTTTCTGTACTTACTCATCCACGAATAAGCTATCGCTAGAACAAAAGTTGATTGATGAAATAGCCAGTTGCTGATATAATCATAAGTGTAGTCCTACTAGGACAAGTCTCCGCTCCCATTAATGGACTGTCGACAAATAGCAATCATTGCTCAGTCATGATACATCCAGTGGGGATATTGCATTGACACAAATTATCGGCCCGCTATATGGCCTTGGGGCACGTATTTATTGGTATATATAATTTGCTCACCAGCCAAGCAGCAAACCCATGACCAGATAATCACAGCCATCCCTCGTACTCCTTGAGCCCTTCGACCCTAACACCTTCCAGCTCGCCCTTGACATTCAGCAGTCGGACGTTTTCGTTGTGCTGCTTGCTCCAGCCCTTGAGGTAGTCCTTGAGCCTCTGCTCCGTCGCCGCGTCGTCGTTCATGAGCAGTGTCACGGCATCGAAGCCGCCGGCACCGGGCACGACGCCATTGTATACGCCCTCGACCTCCTTGAGGGCGTCGAGCAGCGCCGTCTGGCTCTCGGGCTCAATGGGCACGTCGCTCTTGGCGCCCATGGCCCGAATGAGCTCGCGGATCTGCTCGACGGCGGGGACAATGTCCTCCTTTTTGCCGGCGGCCAGGATCTCACCTAGTGCTACATTTCTCGTCTGCAGCGTGTCCATGAGGGTCTTGGCCTCGGCCGGGTCCTTTTCTTTCCAAGCCAAGACCTTCTTGACCATGCCGACGGTCTGGCTGCCGCAGTCAACGTCGCACATGCGCAGGGCCACGCCGGGCGGCAGGGCTACACCTTCCTTGCTGATCTCATAGTCCCAGTCGGCGCTGGAGACGAGGTTGTCCAGGGCCGGGGCAAATCCGGGGCTTCCCGGCGCGGGCAGACCCGAGAGCAGTGATGGGCTGAAGCGGCGGTACCGGCAGCTGCCGTAGACGGCGGCAGCAATATCGAATCCGGAGCCGACCTTGCCCTGAGCGGCGCAGTGGGCGGCCTGAGCCAGGTTGTGCAGGACCCGCTTGCCCTCGTCGCTCGCAACGTCAAACAGCGACTTGGGCAGGTAGTGGGTCAGCAGTGCGGCGGTCAGCGAGGTTACGATGGCGGCCGACGACCCCAGGCCTGTCTTGTTGGCGTCCTTGAGGGGCGTGGGGAACTTTGCAAAGCGGCCCGTGGCGTGGGCCGTGCCGTTCATGGAGTCTGGCTGGGAATAGTAGTCATTGTCTGCCAGGACTGTGAGGTGCACTGGTGCCAGGCTGACATTTGGCCCGGCCACGGTGGATATGTAGGTCAAGACATAGCTGAGGGTAGTCTCGACAAAGGGATTGGCGTTTATTTTTGAGCCGCTGTCCCACGTGTCAGAGAAGAAGGTTCAAGTATTTATAGGTGAGCCGTCTCGGAGAGGTATATCATGCAGGGCACGTTCGTTGTGTGAGTAGTAGCTTGAACATCCCCAAGAGATGCAGCAGCAGCCAGCTCAAGAAAGAATAGATGATGCACGTGGCTAAGGACTTACACTTGAAATTGAGTGACGAGGGTGCCGCCTTGCTCGGGTGTCAGATGGTAGCCGTACCGCCACTGGGACTCGGGAAACTGAGGACTGGTGACGACAATCTCCTGAATCTGCACGCCCTGGCTTGTTTCAATGTCCTTTGCAATGGCGTTGATGCGGGCACTAAGACCGAAGACCAGCGCCGTGTACTTCTGGTCCAGCACCAGGTAACCGCCGGCCAAGAAGACCTTTCCTGGCGCGGAGACGGCGGTTGGGGTCTTGCCGGGCATTATTCTAAATATGTTTGTGTATTTCTTTTTTGGGGTTGATGATCGACTGGATATAAGTAGGTACCGTCTGTATTTTTTTGATGTGTAAGCGTGGGAAACAAAGGGTCTTGTTGGAAATCCCCCGAAACCCCCCGCGTGTCGGAATTCAGGAGGTGAGATTCTGCTTGGTAAATTTGCTGTTGCTGATGGTATTTATGAGCGTGCGATTGTTCAAGGAATTCAACGAGTTCCTCGAGACTAATTCTGAATTGCCACAAATCGGCAGATGGAAAATAACTCGAGAAAACGTTGATTACGTCTTTTAGATCGCCAGAAACAAGATGTGTAACAAACGAAAAGCCCAATCAACGCCCGAAGGGAACGACGAGATGAATGGTTGGTGAGCCTTATTAACATTAGCTTCTCCTGGCTCTCGACGAAGATTCGGGCCGCATAAAAGTTGCGGGGGCAGGCAAAAGCCGCTGAATGGGTTGGATTGGACCCAAAAAAAACCCCCCGCGATGTGGAGTCCTTTTTATAAGTAAGCCCCGACTCCCGAGTATTAAGTAGTATCACAGCTGAGCTTTCAATGGGATTTCCAGCTAGCAAAGCCTCGGGGTTACGGGCAATGGAGAGTGATACATACAATTCATGCATAAGTAGTAGTAGCAGTAGTGTGGGATTGACATTGATGCCCGGTGAATTCCTTAGCTAATGTATCTAGGTCGTCTCGCAGGATTTTTCGCATCCTAATGACTGCATGATGACGAGAGGCGACTTGCAATCAACCGTTCACTGGGTCACATTTGGTGGTCGAGGCCATTCATTTCTCGACTCTAGACTTTGCAGGAGCCAATGGGTGTCATTTCTTCGTGTCTGTCCTCTATCCTCTAGGTTACCAGCCCTTTCTTGAATGTCTGACAGCATTATGTAACCCGAGGTTCCAGACCTTTGGTGGCTTGACAGCAATAGTATCAATGCAGTGACGCTTACGGGCCTTGGCATTAGAGTAGCCATTTATTTAGCCCCCAGCATATCAGTTGCATGTTAAACTTTGTTTCATTCTGAGTAAGCGACCGAATGGTGGCGGTTTCAAGTCTTTCTCATCTACTGCGGGTATCTATTTACTCGTCCTTGAGATCCCCAAGATCATGCTGTCCGTTCTAACAAGTGTATTTCAACTCGAACGTGACCGATGGGATGCCCTCAAAGCCCGTTGGCACGGCGTATGAAATGTTGTAAATGTAGTGGTCGCGCAGCTGAGTACCGTACGTCACATTCTGAGCTTCCAGACCCGGCGCAGATACATTGACCGAAAGACAGGGCAGATTCTCCAATCCCGTAATTCGGTTCTTGGGATCCCGGAAAAACTGAGGAGGGATGCCAGACAGAGCAAAGGTGAAGATGTCGGTGCCTTCTTGGGTTGTGTTTGGGTAAGATACCTTCAGATAACCCTCGCCAACTTCAGAGGTAATTGTCGAAGCGCTTGGGTACAATGAAAAGAAGCCATTGTATGGGTACGGCGTATGCTTGGGATTCGAAGCCCAGTGCACAATAGCCGGCACGAACTGGTTGCCTCGGTTCACCGTCTCGGCCACCGTCTGCCCTCCAATCATGAGCCCGGCACTGAGCCACGAAGAAGCCACGCGGTACTGTTGCGTCTCGAGATCCTCATAGATGGTCTTGTTGACGGAGCGACTGCCTTCCCACCAACCCTTGGCCTTCAAAGCAGAGGCTGTCTCGTCGTCAATGCAGTCGGCGACAGTCTCCATAATCATGGACAGGGAAGCCCCCTGCGCAACATCATATAGTAGATCTGCTTCGCCCAGAGGTGGCTGCGGTCCAAACTCGCGGCCGAACATGCCCCACCAGAACAGTGAGAGGATGGCCGAGTGCTCAGTTGCATCGCGAGTATAGGCACGGTCGTATGGGCCCACGACGTTTCCGAGGAACGGGTTGAAGTGAACGGCTACGTCCTTCCACAACTCCGTCATGATGTACTTGGAGCTGTTGGTCATGGGGGCATCCTTGGGACCGTACGCGGCGTTTGCGCCCAGAGCCCACAGGTCCATTCCGTAGTAGTTGGGCGCGTTGTACTCGGACAGAACATTTTGTCCGTCGCGCTCGAATAATTCAAGCAGCTCGGTGCCTTGTTGCGCGGCAAAGTCAATGAAAGTAGAATTGTCCAGGCGCGCGCCGATCCAACCCACGGTAAGGACTCTCATAAGACCTGGATTCGAGTAGCCAAGAATGAGGTTGTCGCCCTCGGGATAGGAACCATTCCTGCGCATCGCTCCCACGGCATTGGCCGCGAGTGACGTTTCAATGCGCGAGATCAAGTCATCACTCAGCAGATGGGAGAATTCTTCAACAACTTGTACCAAAGTAGTGCTGGAGTGGCAGTTAGTAATCGTGGGGCCCCCCTTTGGCATCGACCTCAAACGTACCCTACAAATTCTCTCCAGTTGGGGTCATAAGTATCATATATCTCCGGAGGGTAGAGATCACTGTCCGGTGTAGGATATGGCGCGTCTGGAGACAGCCTGTATGTTCCATACCATGCCGAGTCATAGCTCTCCGTCATCTGTGTGGATAGTCTATCATATACGTCAATCTGATGAACAACAAACAAGGCATAAGGACTGGAATCAACTTACACGCCCTCAATACTGGCTATCGCGTTCGCTACATCATCGCCCTGGGCTCTGTAGAGAAGTCCGGGAATATACCACGCCGTGAACCTGGTCGACCAGGGGCCATTGTCTTGATACCAGATGAAATTGTAATAGTCATCATATCTGGAATCTTGTACTTGCATCGAGTAGTCAAAGAGACTCTGAGCAGCTATAGTGCAAGCAAGAGTGTGTCAGACCTTTTGTTTCCTGGCAAGCAGCGCAAATGCGAGTCCCAACTCACCTGGTGACAGTCCCGAGCTGGACTCATTATAGTAACCGTGGACTGCTGCAACCGAACTGCACAGCGTCCACACTGCCGCTAGCCTACTATAAAGTGCCATGACCAATAGTTGAGTGACCACTTGCGTTTCACGGATTCACAGACGACGAGGGAGGCAGAGTCAAAAGGCCCAAGGCAAAAAGCGGAAGCGGAAAGGACCGGCCATTTTAAGTATTATGCCATTGGCGCAGGTTACATTCTGGACCTTGTTTACATCGTCATTTCTTCTGCAACCTGTACATAGCCGATCTTTAGCTGGCTTGTCCCTCCCCCCCAAGCTGAAGGAGACAGAGAGATTCGGCCTTGTCCCCGATGAACTACTGCTACTATGTTCGGAATGCTACAATGTACCCCGCCAATTGTACATCCAGGGCAGGCAAGGGCATGCAAAACTGGGATCATAGACTCCAAGTGGCCGGGGGGTTGGGAGAGGAGATAGCCATTGGGCGGCGTTTTGGTACCAAGTGACTACTATAATGAATTAAAAGCGAAAATCCACCTGGGAAAAAAGAAACTGTGGAACCCCAACTTGAACGAAGCCAGTGCACAAGCTATTGGGTGAGCTATCAGTAAGATTGACGGAAAAATGCACCTTGAATTGTTATTTTAGTATGATGGAGTCCTCCGCCACCTCGGGGTATCTCGAAAGATATGTTTGTCGGAGCTGCTCCCGACGGCGCTCTTATGGGCGTGCACTTGCAATTGGGACTAGGCAATAGGAAGCCGATGAAAGAGGTAAGTCGGTCGTCATTCAGGGGGATAAAGAGAATCCTCACTTTAAATTTGTATTGTCAGTTTTTACCGCGACCGTGGTTGGGATTTGTCTATTCTTTTGCATCCGCACTGAAGAGTATAGAGACCTGCTGTCGCGTTCCTATGCTTGGTGCTGAATGAGGTTGCCAAGTTTCTTGGGGGGGAGATCACTGCATCTTGTCTACGGAAATGACCAGGCCATGCCCTGGAACCAAGCTGACACTAGCTGGGAGTCATTTTGCGGGGAAGTTGAGCCTGTTTGCCATGTCGGATTTGTATAGTACATAGTACGCAGTTGTTTTCCGCCAAACTCCACCTACACGCGATAACCTCAGATAGGGCAAGTCCATACTTTGTAGACCCAGAGGACTTCCGTGTGGCATCGCATTGACAATCATTCCATGCCACAAATAAGTGCTTTTCCAGCTGATGAAGCGATTACTTAATTGACGTCTTGATCATAGTACGGACCCGTGATTTACCAGACCGCAATAGCGTGCGAGTCCAGTGACAACCCCAAAACCCTTGTCTCCTCGGTACCGCGATCCCCGTCGAGCCGCCTTGGCACTTCCGAAGGACCCTTGCCGGCACCGTGGAACTATGTTGGGCATGGCGGCTGGCGCTCTTCACTCATACGGGCTGGCTCGAACCATTTCGAAAGAAACCGACCGGGGACGGTGCCATGATGCGTCTTATCATGGCTGGATCTAGTTACTTGCTCCGCTCCAATTGTAATGTTACAAATGGCTGACAGCACTAACACCCCGAAGTCGCAATACTGTCCATCACTTTGAGTGATCGAGCATCAAGCTTGAGATACGGGATATCTCTCAGCTCTTCTATCCATAAGATAAGACAGGGTGCCACTATCTAGGCCGACACGTTACCAACGGCATGGGTCTCTCATCAACCTTCTATCGCTAATCTTCCCTAAAAGAGTCTTTAATGGTGGTCAAGGATCTATTCTACTTGAAAACCCTCATCCAAAGCGTTTGCACCGACGGCATTCCTGCTGATAGGGCCGGAAACTCATAGTTCTCTTCTCCATATTGCTGGCGATCACTGATTTCCAAAGCAATTTGGATTGTGCGCTCAAGGCTCGAGGCTCAGAGAGAACCCATATTCGTCAACATGGCTGAAGGCATCCCCATCAACGTGGACGCCGCGGTACAGCGGGGCTCGCTGTCATGGCTTCGCAATCGTGGCATTGTCAAGTTGAACTGTATACTGGTGCTTTCTCTGATATCATCCTATGCCACTGGATTCGATGGATCTATGGTAAGTCCAGGCAACCAGTTACCCTTGAGAAACGTCTGGACTTTTTTTTTTTTTTTTCCAGATCGCTGAGACGGCTTGTAGATGAATGGTCTCCAATCACTGGATACTTGGAACGCTGAATTCGGAAACCCTGGCGCAAGCGATCTGGCGCTCTTGAACGCCATCCAGAATGTTGGCCAGCTAGTCGGCATGCCCTTTTGCGCCTGGATCTGTGACACCTGGGGCCGTAAGCCCGCCCTGCTCGGAAGCGCCTTTGTTCTCATCATTGGCGTGGCTCTTCAAACAGCCGCCCAAAATACTGGCATGTTCATCGCCGGCCGTGGAATCATTGGTCTAGGACTCGTTCTGAACATTACTGCTGCCCCATTGCTGATCATGGAGCTGGCCTACCCAAGCCAGCGCGCACCCTTGGTCTCCATTTACAACAGTCTGTGGGGTCTCGGTGCCCTCGTCGCGGCCTGGACAACCTACGGAACCTTCAGAATCGAGAGCAACTGGGCTTGGAGAATCCCTTCCATCCTCCAAGCCCTATCCAGTGTGTTGCAATTGGCCCTGTGCTTTTTTGTGGAGGAATCGCCGCGATGGCTCATCTCCAAAGAACGAGATGCTGAAGCTGAGCATTTGGTGGTCAAGTACCACGCCAACGGAAACGCTTCAGATCCCATGATCCCGCTCGAGATGGAGGAGATTCGGACGGCGCTACGCCTCGAAAACGAAGCCAACAGGACAACGTCCTATCTGACCTTTTTCTCTACTCCAGGCAATCGTCGTCGCTTCTTCATCATTCTGGCGGTTGGTTTCTTCAGCCAGTGGAGCGGAAATGGGCTGATCTCCTACTATTTGACTCTGATCCTCAACAGTATTGGATACACCTCTCAAAGCACTCAGACCTTGATCAACGCACTCATGACGCTGTGGTCCATGCTTTGGGGCCTAGGATTCTCCTTCTTTGTCAACCGCTTCCGAAGACGAACTCTGTTCCTGGCTTCGACCATTGGCTGTCTCATGGTCTACATCGTCTGGACCGCGCTCGAGGCCAGATATGAAATGTCCACGGACTTGAACGAGGATGGGACTGGTGGCCCGTCTGGCATGGCTCAAGGCGTCGTGGCCATGATTTTCCTATACCAAGCCATCTTTGCCATGGGCTGGGGCGCATTGCAGGTGACATACGTTGTTGAGATTCTGCCATTCAACCTTCGCGCTAGGGGCCTGGTACTGTACAACTTCTTTGTGGCGCTGGCGCTCATCTTCAACCAATATGCAAACCCAATTGGTGTCACGAACAGCGGATGGAAATTCTACATTACCTACGACGTTTGGCTGTTTGTTGAAGTCATTGTTGTCTACTTCCTGTTCGTAGAGACGGGCAAGTTGAGCTTGGAGGAGACGGCAGCTGTTCTTGATGGAAAGGATGCGGAAGAGAAGTTGCAGGAAGAGGTTTTGAGGAATACTGAAAAGACTCTCGGCTTGACTCGAGTCGATACTGTCCCTGAATCCAATGCTTGAGGAAGGAATGGTGGGGAATAGACCAATGAAGTACCCGTCTATCAATATAATTCATTAAGTGGGTATAGATTCTTTCTATCATGCGCATGTTTATGCAGTTGGCCTGAGGACAATATTGTCAATCAGCCTTACTGAGGGGCCACCGCTGTGACCGAGATCCTCTCCTGGTTGCGGTGACTCGACCGGCAGCATCTTGACTGCTCCACTCAGAATACCGCCCTTGGTCGAGTCGACTTCTGTCAGCTCCACCATTGTGTCCGGATCGGACAAGGCAATGTAGTCGACCTCGTACTTGACCCTTTGTTCCGGAGCCAGTGCCATTTGCTCGTTGAGGATATCTGTCGTAACCTTGCTGGCAGCGCCCAGTATCGACTCTCGGTCTCGCTTTCCGTTTGCGTACTCCTTTTCTGCTGCCCTGAGAGCGCGGTTCAGCACAGTTGCTACCTTTCTCCTTCTCTCGCCGAGGTATACGTTTCGGGAGCTGAGCGCAAGGCCATCGGCCTCTCTTTCCGTCGCTTCAATCTGCACATCAATTGGCATCATGAAGTCCTTGACCATCTTACGGATCACCACCGTTTGCTGCACATCCTTCTGGCCAAAGTACACCTTTTCGGGCTGTACAATGTTGAAGAGTTTCATGCAGACGGTGGCGACGCCACGGAAGAAGGTCGGTCTGCTTGCACCCTCGAGAACCTCACCCACGGGCGTGAGTGTCACAAATGAGCCCTTGGAGTCAATCTCCTGGCCCGGAAAGCCGGAGGGGTACATATCGGCGGTGGTCGGCGCAAAGACGGCGCTGATCCGGCCGAGATTGCCGCCGTCGTCGGCGAGCTCACGATCCAGCTCGGCCAGAATCCGGCAGTCGCTGTCCCAAGTCACGGGATAGCTCGCCAGGTCTTCCTTGACACCAAATTGCGCTGGGTTGACGTATATGGAGACCACCACATGGTGGGTTTCCCGGGCGGCGGCGCGGATCAGCGCCAGATGCCCGCGGTGCAGGGCGCCCATGGTCGGCACGAGCGAGACGAGTCGGTGGTCGAGCAGGTGCGGGCGGCGCCATGCCCGGACGGAGTCGACGCTGCGGAGGATCCGAATCGATGACGAGGGGATCTTCTCCCGGGGCGCTCGGCGTGTCGACGAAGCCATGCCGCGGAAGGTGAAGGGCACGGTGGAGTGGACGGCACGCGAGCCGGTCGCTCGTGGGATTGCGCGAGCAAACATGGCCGAAGCAGTGTTTGGAAGGAAGTTTAATGGTATGATAGTAATGTTCAAGATTCAAGGGGGTAATTTAAGGCCACAGAGAGCCATTGTGCTGACTCAATGGTGAAAATTGAGGCAGCTGTGATGGTTTCTTCGGCGGAGATCTGGGGCCAGTGGAGAGTCGCAAGTATCTCGAGGCTTTTTTCAATGATGCTGGATGCTGGAAGCGTAGTTGCACGGGCCAAATATTACCATATGAAAATGGTCGATCACATGCAAACGTGAATCAAAGACAACATTTGACGAAGCTTGTATCGTTGAATAAATAACCATTTCGAACCTTTATTCTATATATTTGGACGTCAGTCACATTTATTCAATCATGACTGATGAACAAGCCTAAATACAAAAATACATGGTGTATGTACATCGTCCCAGCAAAGATCGGTGACCGACTCTTGCTTGCCCTTGGGTACTTCCGAGACTTCCTTTCATGCTTCTCTAAAGTCCTCGATTCGATCTTCTGTGAAAAAGGTGGTAGAGATAATATTTTATTGTGAGATTAGTGTGATATCCTATGTTCATCTCCAAGTCCATGATTTATTATCGCATTTACATGGTATCCAACCAGGCAGGGACCTTTCAATAGTAACGTATCATGGAGCTTGTGCCAATTGGTGATGAGCTACTATGACAGCTTCCGACGGAGACTGTCGCATTCACAGTGTCGCGCAACGGCAGGCGGGTCCTAGGTCCGCTGTAAGAAGCCCGCAACCCGGCCGCGTGCCCCAAAACGACACCTGCAGCAACCCCTGCTAGAGACCTGGACCCCTGACCTAAAGCTCTCGTGGGTCTTTCCCAGCGAAGCATTAGGTCATACCTGGCCATCCACAACGGCAGGTGGGCGGGCAGTAGCAGCGGACGGGTTGCAACCATTGAAACAAACCTCACTGCCGCGACAGTTAACTGTGTCCTCTGTTTCCTATTATTTACTTGACCTCCTTTTCCATCATCATCAATGCTCGACTTGTGAGACACGGGGCGTCTTTGCTCTTTTCCCTCAATCCTCCAACATGGCGCAATTGCTCGGCCCAGCAGTTCTGGGCTTGCTGATGCTGGATCCAGTCAACGCCCAGCGATATGGCTCTGAGCAACAGCCCATCAACGACGGATTCCAGTATGCTGAAGCTTGTCCAGACTATACACAGTACTCGATGTACCCTCAGTATGTTTTCCTCTGCCCAGAAGATGATCAGCAAAATGCCTAAGGGAAACCTGGAGCTGATTCTATTATTATTGCAGTCGGCCGTATAGCGCAGGACCTCTAGAGCTCCCATTCCAGCGACCTGCCCCCCAATGCCGCACCTTTCACTCGGATGCGATTGAAAAGGTCATTGAGGAAGTGACGTCGCGAATGATTGACCCAGATCTGGCGCGCCTCTTCGAAAATGCATTCCCATCTACCACAGACACTACTGTCAAGTTCCATACGGACGGGACTGCCACGGCTGCGAAATCCAAGAGCAAAAAGAGCGATGCAGGTGATAACAAGTGGGAGGGTCCTCATTCATTCATAATCACGGGCGACATCATTGCCGAATGGCTGCGGGACTCTACGAATCAGCTCACCCCTTACTTGCCACTGGCAAAAAAGGATCCTGCGATATTTCAGCTGTTCTTGGGAGCTGTCAACACCCAGTCCGAATATGTGATAGAATCGCCTTACTGTAATGCCTTCCAGCCCCCGCCAATCAGCGGTTTGCCCGTTAGCCAAAACGGCCAAAACGATATTGTCCATCCGGCTTATGACCCATCCGCCGTATTCGAATGCAAGTATGAGCTGGACTCTCTTGCACATTTCCTAGCTTTGGGCAACAATTTCTACGAGCATACAGGGTCGACGGATCACTTGAATGGAAGATGGTTCTTGGCCCTGCAGACAGTACTTAATGTTCTCGACCAACAGTCGCAGCCAACCTTTGACCCTGTTTCGGGCCGCTACTGGAGGAACGACTACACTTTCCAACGTCAAACGGACACGGGAACTGAGACGCTAAACCTGCGCGGCGTTGGAAATCCTCTGAATTACGGCACCGGTCTTGTAAGATCCGCCTTCAGACCAAGCGATGATGCTACTATTCTTGGATTCTTCATACCAGCAAATGCACAAATGGCTACAGAGTTGAAGAGAACAGCTGCCATGCTGAAGAAGGCTGGTAAGGACAAGATTGCCGAGGAAGTGAGCACGTGGAGTGAGACGATCACAAAGGGCATCTGGGAACACGGCGTGGTCCCACACAAGAAGTTTGGAAATGTATTTGCTTACGAGGTTGACGGGTACGGTTCATCCATTCTCATGGACGATGCCAACTACCCTTCGCTCCTGGCGCTGCCCCTGATGGGATTCGTTAGCAAAGACGACGAAACCTACAAGAACACGCGAAAGATGCTCCTTGCCAAGGAGTCTAATCCATATTATCTGACCGGCAAGGGCTTTCATGGTATTGGAGGTATGTCAATTTTCCCATTCTTTGCTCGGGGCTCTCTTCTAACGTTGTATAGGACCACATATTGGGCTCCAAAATGCTTGGCCAATGAGTTTATTGGTACAAGCTCAAACATCAGATAATGACACGGAGATTACCGAGTGTATTGACTTTGTCCTCAAATCGAGCAGACTTGGTCTGGTCCACGAAAGTGTGGATGTCAACAGTGTTATATCCTATACAAGAAGTTGGTTCGCGTGGGCCAATGGTGTATTTGCTACTACTATTCTGGATATTGCGAAGAGGAAGCCACACTTGATCTTCAAGGACGCCTCACCGTATGAGATATGAACTAAAGGCGACGTGGCAAAAGATCACTACATTCCTACTCTAGAAGCAACGAATGTTCAGGCAAAGCACGAGTCCATGCTAGGCACGAATGTTGAGCAATAAATCAATTAAATTGGCAAGTCTGCCGCCTTTTGAAAAGTTCAAGAACAATGTTACATATACATTTTAGCAAATCTCGTCAATAACCAAAGCCCAAAGGCTAAGCTGGACCAACTCGAGGGTAAATGAAGCCTCCGCTCAACTCGAATCAAGATCATTGAATATATCGATCGTGTCACATTTCCACAAATCCTATATAACGAAAGGTCTACACCAGTTTTCTCAAGCAGAGCTGTCTGTTACATGGACATCATCTTACGTTTCCCTGGGCTTTGCTGCAATGGACTGTCGCTGTGTTGTTCACGGCGAATGTGATTTTCTTTTTATTTACAGACTCTAATACAATTTGGCTGGGTTACTTGAACTGATCCGCATCGTCGTTTTCATCACTTGGTGCCTTTCTTTTACTAGCCGCGTGTTCACCACCTTTTTGTATGGCATCAACCACTTTCGCAAGTCTTTCCACACCCTCAACCAGATCCTCTTCGTCCTCCCATGCAAAACACAGTCGGATGTCCTTGTCTAGCCGGACGGCGTCCTCGTCGCCCTGCACCTCAAAAAGGGCGCCGGCGCCAATCGCCAGATTCTCCTCTCGGCAGCGATCACTGATCAATTTTGTACTGGGTCCCCCAGGAAAGTGTATCCAGATAAAGTAGCCGCCAAAAATGTGCTCTCGCTCCCCATCGCCGCCCTCGAGACTGTTGGCCCGCACTTCGGCGCCCAGGGGGACGAGGAACCGCCGCACCGCATCCATGATGAGGGCATGCCGTCGCTGGTAGGCCGGCTTGAGGTTCTCCTCGATATGCCGGGCCAAGCCCCCGCTGCCCAGTAGCGCCGACAGCACGGCGGCAGAGAACTGGCTCGGGGCGCCGCCCGACTTTGTCGAGCCCGTCTGCGCAACGCCCAGGGCGAAATCGGGCGTCGCGTCGACCCAGCCCGTCCGCATGCCCGGCCCGACGAGCTTGGAGAAGCTCCCGTTGCTCACGGCGTGGCCAAAGTGCTGCCCGACGGGGTCGTGCCGGCTGCGCCCGAGCTGCGTGTCAATGTCCACCAGCCGCGGCAGCACCGACGTCGTGAGCCGCGAGGGATGCTCGGCGGTGTGGAGTTCCGGGGAGAGGTTCGTCGCCGGGATCAGCGGCCACTGCAGCATGTCATATACGTCGTCGCAGATCACCAGGGCATCCCACTCGCGGGCCAGCTCGACGAGGCCGCGCCGCCGCGCCAGACTCATGGTCTTGCCCGAGGGGTTGGAGAAGGAGGGGACGCAGTAAAATATGTGACGGTAAATCTTGCGGTAGGGTTTGGGGTCCTTGTACCGCGGACCCGAGGTTCCGTCCCGGCCATAGCTATCGGCCTCGAGCTTGGCAATTTCCCGGCCAAGGAACTCGAGGTCGATGCCCTCGTTATCCTCGGGCACGGCGTGCAGCCGGCCGTTGAACCCAGAGTCCCGGAAGATGGGGCAGGCGAGAAAGTAGCACGGCGCAACCATCCACACGGCCTGCGTGTAGCTCGGGTCCGTGTAGCTCTGTAGGATACAGGCCACGCTCTGCGATGCACCACCGGTGACGGCGATCCGGTCGGCGGTCTCGTCTGTGCCATAGAATTCCGAGAGCCACCCCGCCAATTGCTCCCTCAGCGGCTGGAACCCCGGGTCTGGTCCATATTGGAGGGCCGGGACCGATATGCTGGGGTCAGAAAGGACGGACGCCGAGGCGGATTGGAGGGCAGCAGCTGGCAAAAGTGAGGGTGCAGGCCAGCCACGAAGGAGATTTATGGGCTTCAACGCAGAATTGGAATTGTCCAGATGCGATGCATTGGCGGGCGGCCTACTTACCGGCTGAGCGGTCGCCATATTGCGCTTTTGTACTATCGATACTATCGATGACGGCAGCCGAAGGCGTGAGAATGAATTGAATAGTGCAGGAGGGGTCTTGGTGTTTTTCAAGTATTTGTTCATTGACTAGCCGTGAGTCCTGTGACTAATAATGGTATACTCTCTATCAGTCTTCTCGTCAGTTACCCAGTCAGGTATCTCCTTGGGTGTTCCGATATCGTTCATGTGATGATGCTTGAATAAGAGGGGTCCTATCGAGCGAGTGGAGAAGAGCCATGTCCGGGCAGTAGACATCCAGAGTTCGCTAGTTAGAATGTCACCCATTTGTGGCTTAAACTCAAAAACATGACAGCCAAAAAGATAATGTAATCATGTTACGAAATTGATATTTTCGCTGGGGGTATCTATTCATTCCTAACGTGCCATCAAGCCAAAAACAGAAACGCCAAACGGTCTTTTCTTGCTCCATACCACTGAGAGCTCCATTTGTTGTTGCATTCATCGTGAGACCATCCGTCATCCCGATCCCCCCTGACAAGATCACGCAATGGATAATTGACACCAAATGATTTGGGCCGGCATTTGTTTGCTTTTCTTGATTTGTTTTCCTTGGTTTGCTCATTTTTCTTGTTCCCTTTGCGTTTCCTAATCTTTCTTCGTGGTGTCTACCAACCCCAAGTCCTGTTGGCAGCTGTGAAAATGGGAGGCTTCCACTGAATGCGCTCCGAGTCAATCAAATGTTTTTGCTTGAGTTTCGACTTTTCTCTCTGCTCTATCAGCCTTTGCGGAATGACCAGCTTGTGTTCTCCCTTGTGGTACACCTGCATCTTCAATGCCTGCAATGTATGCTCCACGTCCTGATGAGTCATGGACAACGATTGGGAGATAGATTCGATGCTGACTTTCTCGTCACGTTCATTGCTGTCCATCAGCAAGTCCAATATATTCTCGGACCAGTACTGCCGATAACTCAGGAGACCCAAATCCGAAAGCGGCTTTTCAGGAGAGCCTTGCCTCCCTTCAATCTTTGACAATTCGTAAGAAAATTGGATAAGCAGTCGTCCAAATCCCTTTCTCTGGTACTGTGGCAGAGTCAAGATACATGCAACATTATAACCATCTGCACATTCTTTCTCTTTGGAGAAGTAACCGACGAGATGATGCCCTTTCTCAGACTTCTGCGTCATTACGTAGAATAAGAATGGGTCCACATCATAGTATAGAGTCTTGTGGTCAAGAAACATCTTGGAAAGCAAGCACAGGTTTCGGCACCACGTCCGTTGTCGCCTTCCGTCGATTTCAAAAAAGGAAACATAGTCGTCGCGATATATTTCGTTTCCCGGGGGGTGCTGTAGTGTGCACTTTGCTCTGTGCCGGTGGAAGGACTTTTGGTCGCCATAGTACAGGAGACAGAACTCGCAGATGAAGATGACATCTTCCTGCGTGAAGGACTCTGGGTACGGCGAAAAGTACCAGGGGAAGAGATCGTAGCGGCCGAATTGTACTTTGGAAATATTCCGTATTCTGGCAAGCTCGGTCGGGTTTTGAGTCATAGATCCACCCGTCCTAAGCTTTTCTATTTCGGCCTCACGACTGAACTCTTCTTCTTCCTTCTTGATGCCAGGGGTAGCAACGTCGTCATCTACATCCATGTCATCGCCGCCGGCTGCAGGTGTCTCGCCAGCCTTGACCTCGATATCTCTAGGCGTCGACGGCGCTTTTGACGTGCGCATTGAGTCGGCAAAGTCGGGATGGGGGGTGACGGCTTCGGAGGCGACACTCTGCTCCCTCTTGCCTGGTCGCTTTTGCGCCTTCTTGGAGACGGCATTTTTCTTGGTTCCCCCAGAGGGAGCTTTCTTGTTCTTTCCATCCTTTGGCTTGTCCTTGTCGGGGTTCGGCCACTCGACGTCCTGCTCGAAATCTATTCGCTTGACAGGAACCCATTCGTCGAGTCGCTTGTTGAAGTTGTCAAAGTTGCAGTAGAACTGACGCCCGCTTTTCGTGTCCTTGATGCTCAAAATCTCGGCGCGGCGCGCTTGTCCGCCCTTCTCGACCCAGGCAATGCAGCCCACTCGAATTGAATCGGGCGTTGCTTTGCTCTTTTGTCGCGGTCCATCGGACCCGACCTGAGCGTCGCCGTTCAGAGTCCCGGGACTCATGATGAGACCGTCGTTGATGCAATGATAAGTTGATGATGAAAGTTGAAGAAAATGCTGATTAGAAAGTGCTTTGTAAGGTTTTGTGATGTACAAAGAGAAATCAATTGAGCGTTGGCGGGGCAAGGCTGGGGATTAGCGCTTGCAGCCTTGAGAGATGCGCTAATGAAAAGTCGCTACAGGGGGGCAAGTTACCTGTAGTGCCTGCTAGCATCTTCTGCGTAACCCATGGTGTTTTTGCAACTGCCCAACGCGATTGCGATATACCTAACATGTACCTTGGGTCCCTGGACATGAGTAGGTAAATCGTCTGAAACTTTGTTGTATGATCCCGTTCAAGCCAAAATAAAGATACGATGGAAAGCGTGTCTATTCTACAGAGGCCTTTATCTTCATTTATAAAAATTCCCATCCTTGAAAGTAGATGCATTCCCAGACCAATATGGTCTTTCATCATGACTGATTCACGACTCCTAAACGCCGATTCCATGCAAATACATAATCCTAGTGCTCAAGTAAAAATATTCACGCCACCTTATTTCGCACCAGAGTAGGAGTGAAGCTATTTGAAATCTTAGCATGAATCCCATACAATATGTCGGTTAGGAGGGGACAAACCTGTTCAGAAAATGATACCCATTCCTCCATACTTCTCAGATATGGATCCGTTGCAGAGTCAGCAGTAGACTCGTGGCCCCAGATGACGAGATCATCAAAATCGGCTTTGCTGCTCAGAGGTGCAATCTCAATAGGATCCGCGAGTTCCTCGTCGTCCAAGTTTCCGTTGACCGCGTCTGTTGATCCGGGCGTCTCACGTTTCGTCTCCCCCTTCTCGACTACAGATCCATAGTAACCAGCGGGTAGCTTGACGGTCTTGCCATGCAGCTTGCGGCCCCTTATGTACGCAGTCTTGAGATTGTCTATATCAGGAGCATCAGCGATACTGGTCTGTGGATTCATCATAGGTACGAGGTCGCCTTACCTCCATTTTCAGTCGGTTTCCAGTACGGCTCGATCGAGTTGATGCTGCCATCGTGGTGCACGCGGCATGGTAGCAGATTGACCTGCGCTTTCTTTGATCGAGAAGTGGCAGAAGAAACGGTCAGGATTGGTTGAGACATCGCAAAGGTGGTTTGATATGTATTCAGTTGGAGCAAACGTTGACGTGAAGCCAAACACTTCTTAATCGATAGCGAAGTCGCGTTGTGTTACGGAATACTGATGCGACGCGTTAAGTGCAAGCGGATTTGACGCGACGGGTGCAGAATATGGTGGTTCTAATTATAGCGCGATAGGTTCCGTGGGTACGGGAACTCGACTCGGTTCACACCCACTGAAGTCTGGTGTGGCACACGGCATCAAGGTAGGCCACCATCTACGCAGGTTAAGTGAAGCGACTCGATGCCCTTATTCGTTCAAGTGTTGGGTTAATTCTAAATGCGAAAAGCGAGTGAGAAGCAAAAATAGGTTTATTATGCTTTTTTCCAGCTTGATCGCCAAGAGTCGCCTGAATAGATGAGAATCGTCCTACCTATGTATTCAAGTGCTTTGAATGATATTCAGCCGACGTTTCCCCAATAGTAAGACAGTATATCACATTACTTTGATTCAGACATGTATGATCTGATTGATGATGGGTTAGGAACGAATAATTTATGTTTACAGGTACTGTTGTGCTCAATGAACTCTTTCGTGGGCTATCTTGAATGATGTGAATTGCGCACCTTGAACACAGCTCACTAAGTACTCTGTAGTATAAGAGCATTTGCCTACTTGTTCGGCCGATTCAAACTGCCGGCATTTCCCGTAACAAATAATGGTAATTTTCCATCGACTTTGAAAAAATCGGTCTTCGGACTCCAAGATGCGCCGGCAGTGGGTATTAGATCGTGGTCAATTCCAGCTAAGCTCGGGATGTTGATAGTGTAGCGATCATAGATCCAATCTCTGCTCACAGAGGATTCTCGGCAGTTACAACCCTACCAATCGTCTTGCCGTCGCGACACTTGATTCCTCTCATGAGATGGGACTTGAAGCAAATTGAGGGAAAGGGGGGAAAACATGTTGGTACTCATATTCAAGGAGCAGTTATTTTCACTTTGAATTTGTGCCCATGCTCTTCGCACAGATGAGGCACAGACAAGACAGAAGAAACAATTGACATCTTGCACTAAGATATTGGCGTTACGGTTCAGCCCAAATAAGCCAAGATTGTGAGCCAAGCGCCCTCACGATGCTGCAGCTAACCTTGCACCTACCCGATCGTGGGTTACACGATACATCTCGGTTAGGTATATGATTAAGATTTCCCTCGAGTGGTGCCCATCGCGCACACTATCAATTGCTCTTCGGCCGGAGGCTTGAAAGTGACCAAGTTACATACAATATGTCTGCTCCATTCCGGGGACATTATAATTGACTGGGAGAGACACTGTGTTACTGGTAGTTCACCCCAATTGTTACGAAATTTGACGCACCAATGGTTGCACTACTGTATACTCAAGTAGGAGGAAGTGACTGGTCGATCTCGCAGGCGGCTCAAGCGGACGACGCCATTGTGTCGAGCTCACAGATATTACGATCCCTGGCCCATCTGGGTCGCCTGTTGCACGAAGCTTGTCCTGTTTCGAAACAGGAAGATGGGCGGCCCTTTGCTCATCCGTTCTCAGTATCCATGTCCGAAGCTGCCGGGTAGTTCTCCACTTTGGCCAAAAGTGCCCTAAACCCTTGATGAATCAACGATCTCACAAGCACGTCTACGATGCGCCCGTCACCTCGATGGCCGGTAACAGACATGGATCCTATCTGTGCGCATGGTTGCAGCAAGCAACTTCTCCCTCTACGGTATTCTTGTAATCAAGCATGATCTGCGGTCCCCGGACGCGGGGCTAGCTGAGTACACAGGCATGTCTGCCGGGCTTGAACTCTGTTTTTAAAGTAATGTCGTCCTCGTCGTTCTGCGCATCTAGTGTGACCTGTCTTGCCCGTAGTGTTTACAGCTCTCCCTCCACTATCTTGACTCCTACGAGCCTCTATCGTGCGTATACGTTGAGACACAATCGCTAGGAAGCACTCGAGAACCCCACATTGGGCTTACTTGACACTGCTGAACGTCACGACCACTTATTCCGTGAGACAGTATCGCCGTTCTTCTCTCTCCGGCAACTGAGATCAACGGGTACACCACTTATACTTTCCTTTCTCTTCTATCTTGCACCTCCGTTGCTCATTGACCAACCAACACGACATTCTCGCCAATTACTCTGTGTACTCTGGCGTCAATCGCGCACATTGAGTTGTAATTATGGCGCCATCGTTACCGGCATTTGTGGTTCGGCCATTTACACGCTGTGCGGATATTGCACGCGGTACTCTAGGCAGCCTAACTTGGGAACCCGCCCTGGCCGTGGCCAAGCCAGCGATTGACTCGGTTTTTTCCAAGATTGAAGTCGGCACGCTGTTGCTCGTGGACAAGCCGGCAGGTACACGACAGTATTATGGCCAAAAGCTCAGCTCAAAGACGACCGAGCTGAATGGCGCCGAGTATGCGGAGAGAAGGGCCGACAGCATCCCACGGGTGGAGATCGTGGTGAACAGCGACGCCTTTTGGATGCGCCTGTTCTTGTTTGCCGACATGGGATTTGCCGAGTCATATATGCTGGGCGAGTTTGAATGCGCCGATCTAACAGCGTTCTTCAAGGTCTGTCAAACTCATCTCCCTCCAGTTCTTGGCTTGGCGATTGTTATTCTGACAAGTTGGCGCAGCTTTTCATTCTGAATAGAGATCAGATGAGCAATGGAACAACCCTGTTCTCTGCACTGTCTGGGGCCATCACTAGCATTGCGCGCAACACGAATACCTTGTCCAACGCGCTTCTCAACATTCAGGCGCATTACGATATTAGCAATGACATGTTTGCAGCTTTCCTGTCAGATGACATGACATACTCGTGTCCAATCTGGAAGCCGAGAGGACTGGCGCCCAACGAGACCCTGGAGGACGCTCAAGGGACAAAGTTGCAGCGATTTATCGATGGTACGAAGATCAAGGGATCCGACCACGTCCTCGAGATTGGAACTGGCTGGGGCTCGTTTGCGATTGCAGCGGTCCGACAGACTGGGTGCCGCGTCACGAGCCTCACCCTGTCAAAGGAGCAGAAGCAGCTGGCCGAAGAGCGCATTAGAGCCGCCGGGTTTGCCGACAAGATTGAAGTGAAGCTGATGGACTACCGAAAACTCCCGATTCCCGAGAAGCCTTACGACAAGATTGTCTCAATTGAGATGTTGGAGGCGGTGGGAAAAGAGTTTCTGGCGACATACTTTTCGCACATTAACCGACTGCTGAAGAAGGATGGCGGTATCGCTGCCTTTCAATGCATCACAATGCCCGAAGGGAGATATGAGGCATATTCAAAAAGCGAAGAGTAAGTCAATATCAGAAAATATGAATGCGCATGGGACTCACCACAGATACAGTTTCATCAACAAGCACATTTTCCCAGGTGGTCATCTGCCCTGCATTACGCAGCTACTGAATCATATCAATACCGAGTCAAACGGGACATTGATTGTCGAGAAAGTCGAGAACATTGGTGGTCACTATGCAAAAGCCTTGCGACTTTGGAAAGAAAAGTTCTTGGGGAACTTTGAGTCCAAGATTAGGCCAGCGTTGAAGCTGGAGCACCCAGACATGACTCAGGACGAAATTGACGTGTTCAGGCGAAAATGGGAGGTAAGTGATCCACACCCACAGATTGAGTCTGTCTATTTATCACGATTGGTCGATTCGCTAACATGATTTCAGTATTATTTCACATACTGCGAGGCTGGATTCGTCACAAAAACATTGGGCGACGTTATTATCACGGTTGGACGGGAGGGCGCACTGGAGTTGATGGAAGATGTCCCGGTATAATGAGCCGTCCATGGTGGTTTCTAACTCATGACATGATGGGCCAAGACCCGATGATAGATGCGTCTGGGAGCGGGGTGATGTAAGCGGTGATTACTTGGGGGAACCTGGATACTGTTTGTTGATCATTGTGTATATAGTATACGACAAGGTCTCCATGACTTTGTGGTGTGTATACCTACCTACCTAGAGCAGGCCTGGCCCCTATTTCGAATGATACCCTCTCTTCTATACAAGCTGCCTGAGTTTATGTCATCGCATAAAAACCCCCCTCCTCTAAACGTTCCAACTTATGCAACACACACCAGTGACCCCACCTTGAAAGTCAGCCCACTACTAATGTACGTACCTCCATTGCTACCCCTCAATCAGATGCACTGCATGCATGGACTCCAGCGTGGAACATCGATAGTGGGACGCGCAAGATGGGACACGATTGCGCTCCATGCATTCCAGCAAGTGCCTTGAGTGCCTCCCTCCAATGCTGCTCTAGACTAAAGAAGCCCCCTAATAATGACCTACATTAGATACAGTAGGTAGACACATTGATATTTGTTTGACCGCTCATTTCTCGAGACAAGTTGGCTCGTGTCGACGATCGGCTACTTCATTGCGTGCAATTGTGCATTCTATTCTATCCATTCATCTGACGGGTCGCCACGTGTTATCCGGTTGCTAAAACGACTTGTTTATAAGTGACCTGGTCAGGGTAGTCCGAGTCCATCATCTCCTCCTTCTCCTCCTCCTCCACCTCCAGCTTCAAGTAGTAGTAGCTTTCCTGCATTTCTTTGACCCAGCTCACTTCCAGCTTTCCACTCTCCTCCACTTACCCAAACCACCAACCCACCCTTCGAAACATCACCAACATGTCTGTCCCTGCTTTTCCCCCCGGCGGTACTCTGCTCGACACCTTCAAGCAGTCGTTTGTCGACGTCCCTGTTGACGCCGAGAAGGACAATGCCATTGCCACCACCCAGTTCCTCGACGCCGCCGAGTCCCTGACAACCATCTTCGACGCTCTTGGCTCTGTGGCCTTTTCTCCCGTCAAGAACGATCTTCTCGGCAACATCAAGAAGCTGAGAGAGCGCCAGCTGGCTGCCCCTGCTGAGTCCGAGACTGTCCAGGCTCTGGTCCTGAACGAGCTCAAGACCAAGAAGCACGTTGCTACTGAGGGTCTGGTGTGGTTGGTCCGGTAAGACCTCATCTATCCTTTGTCCCCATCTCCGCCACTGTAGAATTGTCACGGAATGCTGATCGAATATTCTCCCGTCCCAGTGGTCTTGACTTCACCTGCATTGCCCTCTCCTCGAACGTCAACAGCGAGAAGGAGGAGCTTTCCGACTCGTTTCGCAACGCCTACGGCTCAACTCTCAAGCCCCACCACAGCTTCCTGGTGAAGCCCGTGTTCAGCGCCGCCATGAGCGCCTGCCCTTACCGCAAGGTCTTCTACGAGAAGCTGGGCTCCGACCCCGAGAAGGTCCAGGCCGAGCTCCGACCCTACCTCAAGAGTCTGGAGCACATTGTTGCTATCCTCAAGGGTTTCCTTGACCGCAAGGAGGCCAAGTGGTAAAGAACGCAACGCGCCAGTGCCAACAACAAGACAAAATTAAAAGAAAAAATATATAAAGTCGGTGGTATATGGGACGCCTAGGCTAAACAAGAGCTGGCGATCTCAGCAGACCCGTATCGGGACACTGCCTGCGGCGGACTGCAATGCCTCAAAGAAACAAACTGCATTGTGCTCTTCTGTATCAAATACCTAAATCACTTTTGAAAGCACTAGATGAACTCTGAATAGTCGAGTGAATTTGCTTTATTCTATCGACCAATAACCATTCTGATGCGCATTAGATTTTGCTGGACGATCAATGAAAGATATTTCCGCCGTCAAGCTCTATAAATTTGATACATTACATTGATTAATATGTCGCCGTGTCGCGTATGGGGGTGTCATCTTTCGTTCTTCGCGCGTAATGGGGGGGGGGGGGGGGGGAATTTCTTTGCTCCGTGCAATCTCTTCAGATGTGTCGTCTCACTGTTCTCGCCTTCTTCTTCTTCTCACCACCGTGGGCAGCCCAGTATTCCTTGAGCTTCTCCTCCACCTCTTTCCAGTCGCTGTAAGGTTTTAGCAGAGCCATGGCCTGTACTGTGGCTGTGATGGCCTCGGGAGTAAAGTCAGCACTATCGGCCGGCTTGGCACGCCATCTCGGCTCCATGGGGTCGTTGAACTCTGTCTCGTTGTAGCCCAAATCTGCAATCTGGGTAACATTGAACACATCCATCATGTAGTGGTCCTCATGTACAAGGTTGTGGCAGTGGAACATGTAGACACCATCCCACGGGGCAAACCAAGCCTCAACGGTGACGGTCTCGTCGCGGTCGACCCAGACGACATCCTTGTAGCCCTTTTTCTCATATTCTTGCACGCCTCGGTTTTGGCCTCCTGTCCGCGAGATCACCTTGAAGTCGACGAGGTGTACGTGGACGGGATGCAGTAAGCCGCCGGCGCCGTTCTTGAGCTCCCACAGCTGGACGGTGCCCCGGGGCGGTTTGGCGAGGACGCGGTGCGCCACATCATCAAAACCGACACCGTTAATGAGCCAGTTGTTGTCGGCGCTCACGGCAAACTCAAAAGTGTGCGCGGGTGTATCCTTTTCGGGGAGTGTGGGCAGGTCGGCCAGGACGTCGGGTATCGTTGAGGAGTCGTCCACGCTGTCGTCGGACACGACGAAGCGCATCACCTTGTCCGTGTGGATGTAGGTCGCGTCACCGCCCACGTTGTCCTGGTTGCGCATGGTGACGTTTTGGCCCGCGTAGCCGGCAAAGTCAAAGACCACATCCCAGCGCTCGCCCATGCCGACGTGCAGGCTGTCGGTCTGCACGGGGTTCGACAAGAGGCCCGAGTCGGAGCCGACGACCTGGAACGGGATGCGAGTCGTCGTGTCGTTTTGCGTCACAAAGTATATGTCAAAGGCGCGCGAAATGGCCGCGTTGACGACGCGGAACCGGTACCGCCGCGGCTCGACATTGTGGTACGGCCACGGCTGCCCGTTGACGTGGATCACGTCGCCGTACAGGCTCACCGTGTTGCCTGCCGGGCTGACCAGCTGCCCGTTGGACTGGTACTCCTTGGACATGAGGATCATTGGAAGGTCGTACGTGCCGTAGCCCGTCGGCAAACCCAGGGCGTCCTCGGCATCGTCGTGGATGATGTAGGCGCCGGCCTGTCCGAAATACGCATTGACCGAGGTGATGTCCACGGCGTGGTCGTGATACCATATCGTACGGGCAGCCTGGAAATTGGGGTAGTAATAATCTTTGTACTGATTGGGCAGGAAAGTATCCTCGGCCCAGCCATCCCAAGGTGCCCTCTGGAGATAGTATTAATATATGTTCAGTCGATGCCTCTGCTGGCAAATATATTTCCAACTCACTGTTGGACTTCCATGCACGTGTACGGCACTTGGATTTGTCGAGTTATTGATAAACCGAACAACAGTCTCTTGGCCCCTTTCAATCAAGAATGTAGGGCCTGGTGACATGCCATCGTATCCCACTAGATCCGTTGCTTCTTTGCCTGGGTAGATTTGTTGTGTGAATGGTACAACGTTCATCTCGAAATAAAGTATGGTATTGTTTGTGACCGGATTGATAATGCTCCTTCATGACAACCGCGTTAGTAAAGGGGAGCTCTTTTTTATCGCCAGGATACACCAAGAAATTGGCAACCAACATTTTCGGAGAGGCTATCGGCGGAATGGGCAGCGAGTATTGGTAGAGCCAAGTATACGGCTCACCAGCCCAATCCTTGGCCTTCACCTGTGGCAGCAGGCTGACGCCGGCCGCCACCCGGACGAGGATCAATAATAACGAAAGCATCGAGTCTCGCTAGAATGGATGCCAAGAAAAATGTCACTTTTCTGTGGGGGGGTTGCCCGGATGTTTATATTGGCTGAATTGACAAGAGAGCCTGCTAGGCTTCACTTGTTCTCAAGAGTTTTTTTGCTTTTGCCGCGCATCTGACATATGTCAGGGTTTATGCTTTTCTTAGCAGGAGAGTATTCCAAGTAAAGTAGAGTGATGATTCCGCTGCTTTTTGTCAAGAAAAAAGAAGGGAGTTGCCAAGCCAATGGTGTATAAGACAAGTAGTGGCTGGGTTGAGCTTATGCGAAGAGTTGTTTTCATTTCCCCTGTTTCAGACATTCGTGTTTCTTCGTCTTTTTATCTACTGAATTCCCGGTGGCGAGTGTTATAGCTCGACGTCAGTCTTCTGATCACAACAATGACGGCACAATATTCTGGATTCTGCCATGTTGAAGTGGTGGTTTGGAGCGAATCCCGCTTGTGCGTGAGCGATCAAATAGAACAAGCTCAAGCATAGCGCTGACCCGACGAACTTTCTCAATCATGTCAGCGGGTCTTGTTGGGCACGGGATGGCCGGCTATTGCAGCAGTATTCTCAATGTGCATGAAGAAGGAACCTGTGATGTTGGCTGACATGCCCATTGACTAGCTTGTTCATGTTCCTCAAAGGTCCAGCTCCATGTTGTGATTAATCCCTGTCCAAAAGCCTCCGTTCTGCTGGTAGTTGGCTCAATCATACGGAATTGGAGTGCGGGTTGTGGAGAGCTTTTCGAGCCCGCCTCTGTTTATACTTTGGCATGGCATCTCAGCTCCAGCCATCCATTTGATGCAATTGCCTGTGGGAATTCTTTTCCATGCCCTTTTACTTACTGCACAGGCATGGGCATGCCGACCACTCGGAATGCGAGCAAGCGGCAATCTTCATCCATGATAGTTCCCGGGCAATGTGCTTGGTGAAGAAGCACCAGCACGCAGACCAATCACATTGCCTCCTCTCAAAGCGTTCGTTGAAGCTTAAGCCGAGCTTAAAACGTCATTAGCCACATACCATATCCAGAGCTGAGCCTCCAGGACGAGCCTCGCTACCCAATCCGTTTCCAGCGTTCTAGATCCCCAGCCCAAGTCAGTCTGTTGGTTCCAAGAGTTGGGCTTAGTGCAAATCGTGAGCCCGTCCTGGCGTTCTTGAACAAGACCCTTTTTTCAGGGTTCCAACAGTGTGGTCTTAACCCCCCTGGTGATGAAGATCGCCATCATTCGATCATATGCACAACTTCTAAATGCTTCAAATGTACGATCACAACACAAACTCCAAGGCTCAAGGCGAAAATAGACGAGATGGCCTCGAAAAACCAGCCCTGCTCGCGTGGTTGATATTCTGGGATCTTGGCAACAGGTACCTGCATGCCGAGCTTGGACGGTCTGTAGACGACAAAACCGAGGGTGGTCAGCCTTCACCTTGGACAGCGTCCTTTTCCCGTTATGTGTGTGGCACCTCTTCAGCCATACAATGGCCCGATCGGTGCGACTATTCCATTGGCGTCTAACCTTTCTAGGCGGTTGACAATTGATAGCATTCACGTCACTCAGAGGCTTCTAGTAAAACTATCCGGACTACATGTTCCGTATTGTTGTTACGTCCTTTGTCTGTCCTGTCTATGCTGAGGTGCGACATGTCGCCACGTAGCCCTAGCACCGTTTTTCAACTACTATGACAAAAGACTATTGCAAAATTCTGCATGACTGAGTAAGTCGTCGATCAGCCGCCTACCCCTCTGCATACTTTGACTATAGAATACGGGTACGCTTGGTGAACCCAATCGCTCCCGATTCCCCATTTGTGGGGGGGGGGTTTTTGGCGATCCCTCGCATCGCATATGGAATATTGGGCTGACGGTTGGCTCCGTCGTCATTGAGTGATATGCAGGTCAAGAATTCGCAAATTTCTTGTACGCCGACTTGGCTAGAGACTCCTGATATCACCTCTTCAAGACCCCCACACTAGGCCCTGTGAAAGGGACAGAGTTCAACAATCGTTTTGTGGCGTATCGACCTGGTTCTAGACGACGCCGAGACAGTGAGGCTCATGTCACACTTTTCAAGAGCCGTCCTACTGGGAGTGTGGTTGTGCAGTCACATGAGTACACATACATCACTCATGATGTCTCCTTGAAGGTGAACCCTCAATTGCTTAGACGTGAGATCGGCCGCACAAGTTACAATCTCGGCGATAACATGACCATCGCGAGTGCTCAAGGAGAAGAGTAGTATCCATACCTAACGGGCCGGTCGGATTAAACGGCAGGTATAGTCTTGTTGATATCGTTTCTGCCACTTTCGGATCAGATCGACTACCCGATGTGAACTATAATTCTTTTGACATCTCCCGTCAGCCCTACCGTTCCCGAGCAAACTCCGCAAATCACGGCATCGTCATTTCAATCATTGCTTTGATGTTATGTCCATGATTAAGCATCAGTAAGCTCAGAGACATGTGGAAGCTGTTATCTCTTTGGAGGCGTTTACTGATGATTGCCATGGCGCTTTTACTAACAACTCAACTTAATGTTTTCTTTTTCATGTTTACTGATATGATACAATAATCGTTCATTGTTCGAGTTCTGCGTAACTTTGCGTATTCCAATTCTTCCTGATTGTTGCCCGGTCTCGCCTTTAAGAATTTACCGACTGGCCCGCAGAATGCAGACCACAGATTCGGAATGCGGAATGCTACCGCAGGATAATGTAGGAAGTAGATACCGAGGGATGTATCTTCTCATTGCAGGGGGAAATTTAAATATCATTACGAGCGCTTAGAGCTCACCCTGGCTTAAGCATAATTGCACGTCCACATATATTTCGTCTTCTCTATGAAGTCTTTTCAACATGCGAAAGAGTTTGTATGCTGTCTGGGTATACGCGAAACAAGATTAAAAGGTTCAGTGACTATCATTGTGATAAATCTTTGTTATCCATATCTACGTTACACTCGGTACACTTTGCTGGTCGATATGCGTTGCGTAACCAGGATTATACCCGTGAATTGAGATATAAAGAAGTGAGTCAAAGGCCTCAGCATGAATTGGATTGGAGAGTCTTGGGAATTTTTTTTTGACAACAACAATAACGGTTGGGGGGGCAATTATTGTCAAGTGTTGGGAATTTATTCCGACTAGCCATTATCTCTGCTGCGTAAGTTGCCTGGTCGTGGAAAATATGTCAAATGTGGCGTTTTGTATGGCAAACCTTTTACTCTCGTGGCGCGCGGGACAGTAGCCACGGGCAGTTTTCAAGAATTCGCACCTGGGGCAGAATTGCAACGTAATTTCACGTGTAAGAATATCATGGTACAGATTGCAGCCCGTAAGAGCCTCCTACAAATTTGCACACGTGTAGGTTATCCTGTGTCCTGCATGCATACTGCGTCTGCAGAGCAAGGCCCTAAGAACTTGCAATGTGAGTCCCAGCCACGAGGTTCAGCCAAATTCGCGGCGAGACATAAATAGCACAGTACCGACACTTCCTGCGCCCGGTTCTAGGTAGGAACACGCATGATCACATGACCGATTTCTCGTAATACTTGTGCTGGTGTTTGTTTATATGAGGGATATCGCGAGTATCTTGGCAATAGGATATAAGAATTGAGGGGCCTACTTCTTGCAGAACTCTTTTTTGCTTTCTTCTACGTTACATGCAAAGCGTACGTATGGTGTGATACGACCTAGAACCACACTCGCCCGACGCAGTGCCAAGCCTTCTTTTTTCTTTTCCCCTCTCTTCTTGTTTTTACCACACGGGAACGGGGATGGAGTCCAGCTTGGGCAGCCAGGACTCGTAAGATGCCTGGTCAAAGACGCACTCCTTGTCGGCGCTGTCTCCAGACCACAGTGGCCGCGCCGGCCAGAGGCACAGATCCTCCTCGACGCCAGCCGTGGTGACGGCGGGCAGCTGGTCGGGCGCGTTGCCGTTCTCGACCCAGTCAATGACGCTGCCGAGAATGTCCGAGGGGAAGGGCCCGTTGGGCTGCGACGAGCTGCGGCCGCAGTGGCCGGCGCCGGGCACGAGGAAGAAGCGGTAGAACTCGTTGAGCTCGGTGTAGCCGTCCGTCACGCTTAGGCTGGGGTACATGGCCTGGCGGACAGCATCGTGGTAGATGACGGAGGATCCAGCGGGGATGCTGTTATCGGACTCGCCGTGGTAGTGGATGATCTTTCCGCCATAGTCGCGGATGTCCTCCAAGTCGGGCCAGTCAGTCTATTCCAACAAGAAATGTGTTAGTAATTGCTCTATCCAAGTTGTGCCAAAGTCAAATTTTTGAGATTGAAATGTCACATATGGGGAAATAGACAACGCCGTATTGAAACTCACACCTCCAAGGCCATGTCAAGAAGAGAAAGGACAGCATGAATCACTAACCTGCAGGGTGCTTGAGTACTCGGGAATTCCCTGAATTATCCAATCTCGGAGAGTGTCATACGTCGCATTTGTAAGGTCCAGTTCCGACGAGATCACTTTCTTTAGGAAGTAATTGACCCATTGCACACCAATTCCACTGACGGCTGCCTCGTACTGGCCAGTCTCATTGTTGTAGGTGGTACCAGCATCGCCAAAGTCGGCCGATGGCTGGAACATGATGTAGGCTTGGCGTCCCTGGGAGTCAAAGAGACCAGCCCAGAGATCCTTGACGAGTTCAGCGGCCTGGGCACTGACGGTACCGTTGACAGCAGGGGATGATGAGCCGCCGCCAGGTCCGCCTGGACCACCTGGACCGCCTGGACCGCCACCGCCACCGCTGCCGGCAGCACAGGCATACGTGTTGCCAATGGAAGCAGTCGCATTGTATTGGAGCTTGCAAAGATCGGTTCTGCTGACAACTCCATCCTGCTTGCCGTCGAGCAAGTCACAAGCTGCAATTGTATCGTTGTTGATACGGGTCAACTCGCAGGTCGGCGGGTAGTAATCATTGGTGATCTCTACCAGAGCAGAGAACAAGTGAATAACCTGCTGGAAGGCCATGCGCATAGCCGGGGCGCCGACGGCGGCACCATCAAACTGGGTACCGTATCGTTGAAGCTGACTGAAACCATCACGTCCACCCTCGGAGCAGCCAGAGTAATACGAGTAAATCTTGTCCACGCCAAAGAAGTTCTTTGTCAACTCTTGACCAAACACCGTCATCTCGTGGATGGCCTCGTGAGAAAAGGCATACAAAGCATCGTAGTTCATGGAGCCGTTAGCGTACAGGACCTTGTCCGTCAACTGAGCACTCCAGCTGCCCAGACCAGCATCCGTGGTACCGGAGGCGGCGCCGTAGGCCAGACCACCAGAGAGGCCACCGGCTCCCGAGGTGATGGCAAAGCCGCCACCGCCGGTGGAGAGGAAGCGGTTCTGGAACGTGGCCGGGTCGGGCAGCCAGTACCAGACATTGGTCTGACCGTCCTTGCCGTCGTGGGTGTATCCAAAGGTGACGTTGCAGACGGCGACGGCCTCGATGCCCATGACGCCATCGGTGGCGGCGACCGAGTAGTTGCCAATGGCGTTGACGGCGACCGTGTCTGGGTCAATGGTCGTACCGGGAATGAAGCCAGTAGCAGGGAGTGCGGACTTGACATAGTCTGCCGTGCAAGCTTCAGCAAAAGAGGCTGCCGCCGCTGTGCCCATGTAGTGGGCACCAGCAGCAGCGAAAAGAGCAGTCTTCAATGACATGTTTGCCGTGGGCTGTATGGAGACTGACCCGAGAACAATGACTTCACTGGTGAGTGAGCTGAGATAGCAAAAGGTCTCATGGTCAAGTCTGATTGAGGCACGGCGACTTATATAGAAATATTTGTGTAGGTATAAATAACGTTTTGTTTCTTCGAACGGACGGACCGATCTGCGGTCGACTTGCCCGTTTGTGCTTTTGCCCGCTCGCCGGGCGTCAGAAATATCACGAGCATGGTGTACGATCTGGGCAGGCCGCGTGGCACGCAGAAGCCCAAGCCAGAACGATTATAGTAATGACATGGGGATTTAATAGAAAATAAATGCGAATCTGGCACTGCCATGCCCGGTTTACGGAAGCATGCGGAGGCGAATGTTACGCTTGGTTCCATTCCGTGGACTCCCACTTACCATTTGCCAAGAAGGAACCTGTACAACGGCGCCCTAGATGCAGGTCCGGAGTAGATCACCTGAAATTACAGTGTAACTGTAAAGAACATGGCCCGAGAGGCGGCTCAATCGGACTCAGAACTACTACCGTCCCCCCCAGATTTTGCAGCTCGGAATAACGGAGAGGTCAATATACCCCAAGATCAAGGCATCATGCGATCTCATGTTGGAGAACTGACTGATGTAGAAGCTGCCAGAGGCACGCAGTCTAGAATGATCCGCGAAACATAACCAGGGAGTGGCAGGGTTCAGATGGTCCGTCTGATTTCATGATATGGCCTCGGAGATGCGCCGTGTCTCCTAGCTTGGGGACTTTATGCTCGAAAACTCTTGGAATTCATGTCCAAGCCCACATTTTGAGATAACAATAAGAATGATGATCTCTAGGGTCGTCAATTAAGGTTAATTCGTAGACCGTTTTGCAACAAGAAGCTTACTGTTAAGAGAATGTGACAGGCAAGGGCACTGCCAATGCCGGGTCTAGATTGTAAATCCGACGGCCGAATATCTCCGAGGACCATGTTGTTTATCTGATTTACAGCGCAATTCTCTCTGCCAAGCGGAGGTCAGTGACCCCTGGGCCACGTTTTTCACCTTTGTCCTCGGCTGTGGTTGCAGACAACTTTCACAGACATGAGCCCAACACGCAAACTGCTTTCATTACTGCAGATGGGGAGCGCGTGGGCGGCCAAGGTCTTGTTTTTCTGGTTTCACGAGTGATGATCTCACCGAGACAAAGCGACAAATTCGAAAGTAAGATTTGTGTTAACACTCGAGATCCAGTACTTGAATAACGGCAAGTCGCGAGTGCAGAGATAATAGACCTGACATGTGACTTATTTATGAACTCACTTTCTAGTATAGCTGGACCCTCTCCTGCTCCTTTCATTTCTTGAGTTGAATGATGGTAGACTCAAGGAAAAGCGCTTACCCGATTCTGATGGTATACCTGTTGACCGACTTGAAGATACTAGAATAAAGTCTTGTATTTATTATACGATGAGAGATGAAGTGAAATGTAGTACAATCGCAAACACCAACACCATTGTATATCATGACCTGGCGCAGAGAATGTGGTGATGGCAGTGGGCAGTAAAAAGTACGAGGCCCACTAAAAGATCAGGAATACTATGACGCTAAATCAGGCGCAATGCCTCGACCCACTTTAAAAAGGAAAAGAATGGAGCTCTTTGGGCTTATCTGCTTATCAAGCGTCGAGGGGTCGAAACTTTTTGACATTTTTCAGCAAGAAGGCGAATGGATGTGACTGTGACGTCCCCCGCCGCCCGCCGCCGCCAGAATTCCAAACCACCAAATAACAACAAAAAATCCCGATGGGATTTCACTTTTACAACCCAAAAAACACGACATATTCCTAGACAAAGATAGCCCATCATGTCTATGGACATTGACTACGACGCGCCCATCTCGATTGCGCCCCAGAACGACGAGCCGCAGAATGCCGCCACCATCTTCTGTTGCGAGTGCGGGGCCCCCATCGACGGCACAACCTCTACGAATGCCCTTTGCTACGACTGTGTAAAGCTCAAGATCGACATCTCACAAGGCATCCCCAGAGAAGCAACTGTACACTTTTGCCGAGACTGCGATCGATGGCTGCTACCCCCGGGTACATGGATCAGTGCTTCCCCCGAAAGTCGTGAACTGCTTTCGCTGTGTTTGAAGAAATTGCGCGGTCTCCATAAGGTCCGCATCGTCGACGCACACTTCATATGGACCGAGCCGCACTCGAGGCGAATCAGAATAAAGTTGACGGTGCAGGACTCTGTCTCGGATGGAGTCATTCTCCAGCAGAGCTTCGAGGTCGTCTACGTTGTCGCCTGGCAACAGTGCCCCGAGTGCGCCAAGTCATACACAGCCAACGTGTGGCGAGCCTCCGTCCAGGTTCGGCAAAAGGTCCTCCACAAGCGTACCTTCCTCTTCCTCGAACAGCTCATCCTCAAGCACGGAGCCCACCGCGATACCATCAATATCAAGGAGGCCAAGGATGGAATAGACTTCTTCTTTTCTGCTCGCAACCAGTCAGAGAAGTTTGTCGATTTCCTAAACTCGGTGGTACCATGCCGGGTCAAGAAGTCGCAAGAGCTTATTTCACAAGATACACACACGGGCACAAAGTCCTACAAATTTACATTTTCCGTCGAGCTGGTGCCCATTTGCAAGGATGACCTGGTAGCACTTCCCATCAAGCTCGCTAGGCAGATTGGCAACATCTCCCCCCTGGTACTGTGCTCCAGAATTGGTACAGCAGTCAACTTCATGGACCCCAACACTCTCCAAACAGCCGAAGTCAGTGCTCCCATCTACTGGCGCTCGCCGTTCGGTGCTCTCGCCGATGCCAAGGAGCTTGTCGAGTTCATCGTCATGGACATTGAGCCTCTTGGCGTGACCAAGGGCAAGTGGGTTTTGGGACAAGTCGAAGTTGCAAGAGCTTCGGATCTGGGAGTCAATGACAAGACCTACTTTGCAAGGACGCACATGGGTTCCCTTCTGCATGCCGGTGATTCTGTTCTTGGCTACATGCTTACTGGCACCAACTTCAACAACGAGGAATTCGAAGCCATCGAACAGTCCAACGCGTACGCATCAACTATCCCCGACGTAGTACTTGTCAAGAAGCACTACCCCAACCGTCGCCGCAACCGCAAGAGAAACTTCAAGGTCAAGCGTATGGCCAAGGATGAGGGCGAGCTGCTACCCAAGAAGGCCGACCAAGAGCGCATGGATCGCGAGTTTGATCAATTCCTGGACGACATTGAGCAGGACGCCGAATTCAGAGCTGGAATTTCCTTGTACAGGAACCCCAAGAAGCAACCAGCTGCTGATGAGATGAGTATTGCCGAGACAGAGAACGATGAGGATCACGAGGGTGTAGACATGAATGAGCTATTGGATGACTTTGACGAGTTGACGATGCAGGACTCGTAGAGGTTGCTGGAGTTGAAGAAGGAGAAGGATAAATAGATACCAAAATATGATGATTCTTTTTTTCTTTTTGCAAATTGCAAACGAGCATGTCCCGTGGTATGAGGCCGAGAACAAAGATTCTTTCTGCCAGAATCAGTCAACATCGCCCGCTTGTTACACCTTTGTTCTTGCAGAGCCCCCCATGACAATTGACTGGGATTGAGAGTGGTACAAAGGATAGCAGCAAGCCGTAACCCGATTTCAGACATATTATTCAGTTCTGGAAATAGTCATTACTTGTACATTACGAACCAGAGGAAATGTCCAGGTGTCCGGAAGAGATAAGAGATCTCTTGCGATCAATCATAAGTCATCCTCCCGACTACCGCCGCAATCCCCAACCGGGTACCCTCTGGATCCTTCTTATTGATAGGCGCCGACCAGAAGGCTGTCACGTGGCGTGCCTATTGAGCGAAAGGGCAGTCTTGGACTCGACAGGGCACGATACACCATATATCATATTCTTTCATGACGAGTCTCAGCACCCTTGTCACTGCGCCGAGTTCGCTCTACCCGAGAGTCAAGACGAAGCCTTTGTCCGGGTCAACCAGTTTGCCATCAAAGCCTCCCACGAACTGAGCCGTCAATGGCCGGATGCCGGATACGATGCCGCGAAGCATTATCAGATGCTGTGGTTTCAGGTTCTGCACTGGGCGGTTGACAAGGTTGGCCGCCCTCGCCGGCCTGATGAAATGTTTCCCGATTTTCGACCAGAGCTTGCGCGCGACTGCAGCGAGGTCATGTTCCTTTCTCTTTGCCAAGACTTTGATAGATCTGCAGAACCAAAAGACAAGTCTGCCTGGGAATCAAGTCTGTATTTCTGGGCCGGTCTTGCAAACGACCAAGTACGGGAACTTTGGCAGAGAGCTTGGATGTTGAAGATTCGCGCGCAGGAAATCAAGTACAGGCAGTGGGCCGAATCAACAAGAGAGAAACTTGGCCAGGAGAATTCTGACAAAGACAAGGCCGACGATGTAGACGCAACTCTAGATCATGGAGGAAACCATGAGCCAGCTATGGACGACAAGGGGGAGCCCAATTTAGAAACGATTGAGAGCCTTTTCCGAAAGAATTCAAATGCACGACGCCTTGGTCATACGCTGAAGAGAAATATGAAGATGACTGCGGACTATACAACAAAGCCAGTGGGGTTCAAGAAGGTGCCTCAACAGCTTCGAAACCTAGGCAACTATATAATGAGAAATATATACCCTTACAGGGAATATATGACTGCTGAACACCTAGATCGAAAGAAGAAGGAGAAGTCTACTATAGACAACATAATCGACCGATTTCTGGAAAATGGCACGATATAGAGCTGTTCAAAAGAAAGCTTTTTGTTTTTGTGCGGCGAGGGGGCGATGATCATCGGAACAGTTCGCATGCGGTCAGTTAATATCTGCTTGGATCTCATGAGGTTTTACCAGCACTTTGTCCAATCCGAATGTAAAGCGGTCAGAAAGCCATTTTTTTTTTTGCAGAATAGGCACAGAAAATGTTGACAAGGGTAAAGTCTATCCACGACAGCTTCCTTCCGATGTCTTCGGTCACAACCATGGCAAGCATTCGCGCAACCTCGAAATTGGAAGATTGTGATAGTTCCGATCATCCTGATAATCAACATCACTCGCCATGTCCCACAATTAATATCCATATTCCTTCCACATGAAATCTGGTGCACCCGCAATTGCTAAAACGTCACATGCCGTTCAATCATTTCTTGCCCTTCTAGCGAAAATTTGAATTGAAATAGGGACATAGCCATGAATATGAATCATGATGATGTTAGAAGATGCTTCACTTGTGCGAGCTGTGGAGCAGTGAGAGGTTCGGTGACGTGCCCGAATGTAACCCATGTCAGGCCGTTGTCAATCTTCACAGGCCGCGGTTTTAAATAGACTACACGGTACACTCCAGAAAATAAATCATCATGTTCAAAGTCACAAGTCTGACCCGACAAGATGTCTGCCCTGACCCTTTGCACGACCCAGACTGGAGTGAAATTGCGAAGCAACGTTATTTTGTCCAAGTTAAGCCGGATGTTTCCCTTGAATTGGCGGCGCTCCGCTAGCATCTGAGGAGGGCGTCGAAAGCAAACTGGAATGAGTGGGTAAGCTTCCGAAGCACAATCAGTAATGAAGTCAAGAACATACAGTAAACGTTCAGTTCCACATTGTAAATCTTCATGGCAAGAGTACGCGGAGCCGTGCTGACTAGGGAGATGGATGATATGAGCTGCTTATTGAGGACTATACCCTCGCACGCTTTGTCAAAGATCAAAACCATATGTTTGACTTCTTCTAGTAGCGCGAAATCCCAAATGATATTCTGTATCTCCTGAGGTAATCTTTTGAAGGGGGGAAACTTGGTAAGGGGCTTGGTTTTGACCTTGTGCTTGTATCTGCCATGGCGCTTGCGGCTACGCTTTGAAGCCTTTGACTTTGCCATTTCACTCGTCTTGCGAAGCAAAGTTCTTGTCTTAGGGTGTGTGAGCAGCATGAAAACCAATAAAAGGGAACTTGTGGTGTACCAGAATTTTAACTCCAATTGACGTGAGGGCATTTGCGTCTAGCCGCCGAAGGCACTTGTGTGTACAAAGCGACAACCAATCAGGCCACCAGTGCCTGGTGAGAAAGAAAAGCTGCAGCCCTGAATCAAGTACTTCATTGAATATCTTGTGGAGATTGACATCATAAGAAGAACTTAGACAAGTTGATGCCTGTGCCTTCTCTTGTTTGTGAAGCTCCAATTTTTCGGATCTGCCTAAATATACAGCATTCCGTGACTGAGAGCTGTTTGATGGATATCGTCATGTCAGAATGCCCTATAAAGGACAATGAATCAAAGCGCTTGCACCAACTCATCTGCAAAATACTGTAAGTGTTGCGCATAAATGTCTAGGTTTCAGTCATGCTGGATTGTCACTCATCATGGAACGAACAGGCAGCAAACATGAATAATTTTCGTGAAGACATAAAAATCTGCAAACGTAGTAGTACAAGGCAGATAAAAATATATCTTGAAACATGTCATCAGCTTCTTTGATGAGATTTAGCCGGCGATCCAAATAGGTCAGCAGACAATGGCACCGATTTGATTCCGATGTCAAATCCAGATCAACCAAATTGACTCAGGCGATGGACTGGCCGTTACGTCAGAATGTCATTCAGATGACTAGATACAGCCAAGAGCCTCCGAATCGAATGAAAACTAGAACGCGAGGCCTCTTGTTGCACCCTTTGAGCCTGGGCGACAAACCATAAAGCCGGGGATTCTTTGTGCCCTGAAAAAAGAAAGGACCTGAGAGGGATGATGAAGAAACCTCATGTTGAGGTTTCACTCTTTCTGGTACCCAAGCGACATGTTCAATTGAAGTAAACGTTGAATATCACAGGCAAGCAAGGTGCAGAAGAAATGGAGGTGCGCCTCCAAGAAATCAAGGAGTTAGCAGTGAGGGTTCTACAACCAGGCTACCCACTGCATTTGCCCGCCCAAGGACACGAATTGCTTCCTACACATCTACAATGGATTCTCTCAGTCGACCACGAGCCAAAGACAGGCTGCTATGCTCTTCTTCTGCTTAACAAGCGGGCTGTACTGGAAATACCAGACGATAACGACAGGCAACACTACGCACCGCGCATCGCCTTCTTCCACAGCGAGAGGAGCCGCCAAAAATGCCAATGCGTAGACTTCAATTACCTCGGCGTTCCGTACTCGGAGATCGTACACATGGACAAGGTGGCCAACAAGTCGGCAAGGATCCTAGCCAACCGATGGGCCGAGTCCGGGTTCGACATCTGGATACACTACCAGAACCTCTGGGCGGGCGTCGCGTCCATGGCACTATCGCCGACCGGGAGACCCAAGTGGCACAAGCAAGTCATTCCCACGTTCAATTATGACTGGCCGCGGTCCTTTTGCGAGCTCATCTTTCTCGACTTGTGGCAGCACGGCGTTGCCTTCGACTCGAGCGTGCCCCGGTTGCACGCCGTGGCCAACAATGAAGCTCTTGGTCTCTACAAGGAGGAGATGAGGCGCATATGCACCGAGGCCACGGTGCGCGATGCCAGACGCAGAGGTAACGACTATGCGCTATTCTTTGCCAAAGAGGTAGGACGAGATTTCTTTGCAGTTTGTGTGAAATGGCCATTGAGTATTTGAATCGCTGATACTCTCTGCCAACTAGGTTTGTGCCCAGTCCGAGCTTCTCTTGATGCGGCGCAAGTATGCTTTCATGGATTTCGGCCCAAAACATGCTGAATTTGTTCCAAGCAGCGAGAGGTGCCTGATGCGTCGGCAGTCCACTGGCGCGTTGCGAGGATTAGCAGCTCAGTTATCTGCCGCCTAGAGAAGGCCAGAGGTCATTTCGGTCTCTGTCTACTGTTTGAATATATAGAATGGGTCGACTGGTCTACTTCGGTATTCATGTTGGAGAGTTTCTCGGGGAGCATATCGCACGAAAATGTACGATGAAGGGTGGAAGTCTCTTGATTTCGGAAAAAATAGGTCGTTTGCCAACCACAAGTCACAAAGATCCAATGACAGAACGATAACAAAAAGCTCGTCAGTGCCGTGGCCACCGACGTAAGAACTCATGTTTTTTCTGATCTGACGAAATGATGGTTTTCGCGGGGGCCCGGGTTTCGAATCCAAACGAGCACGCAGGGCCATGGGCACTTTTTTGACTTTTATTCTGTCAAATTCAAAAACGGGCTGTTTTATGTGTAAGCAGTGTGTTTTCACTATTGAGTAATTTTGACATATCTTGAAAATACGATACCCGTTCATTACCAACAGTGTCGCGGTTTTACCAACTCTCTACACAAACCCAAGTCCATCCATTCGGCGTTTCGAACTTGTCAGACGCATTAGGTCCTCTTTTGACATTTTGAGGAAATGCCTCATGTCTGCCTACTTCGGCGATGATCGTCTTTGTCTCGCCATGACCAAGCTCCCATCTGAATAGCCCAATGTCTCCGTTTTCCCTCAAAACTCCTTGCACCAAGTCGCCTATTCGAACCACCAGTCCCTTGTTGTCTCCATGCTCATACTTCAGGACATATCCCGAGCTGTCCTCGACGCCTTCCTCATCTAGTTTAATCCCACTAACCCAGGACTCTTCGTACATCTCATCCAGGCCCGAATCCGGATTGACCATGTGACCCCTTTCCAGGCTTTCGCCTTTGTCCTCACCAGGAAACATGTCGCCCTCGTCACGGACGGCGGCTGCATCCACATGTCGGGAATCAATCCAGTGCGTAAAGACGGAATGCGGAGGAACAACCGAGTCGTCATGCATTGAGGTCCCTGCGAATGCCCAATCTACTCGCGCGAGCTCCCGGACGGGTAGGCTAGCCTCAGACGCGGGGATGAGTAGTAACCTTACATCCACAAATCGCCGCTGTGGGGAGGTCAGGACCCTCGTGGAAGTAGGCTCTGAAGCTGGGGCATCCTGTCGTACGGTTAGTTTCTACAAATATTTGGGGTCATCATGGCAGTTAGCGCTGCCGGAACACTTGCACCCCATTTGATGTATTTCCGGATGGATATGGATGGTTTTGGTTGACGGGTCATAATGGTGGCGAATCTTGCAGGGCTTGCAGCAGTGATCGGTTTGCAGTGCCTCCTGTGAGTGCGATGCAATGAGCGTAGGTCGCCAACGATGATCGGGAAGCGCCTTATCGCTTATCGCCAAATGCGGAGTATATGGCGACACTATTTTGTACTATATGATGCGAAATTGTAACACTTGTAGCTGGCCAATTGACAAATCTCCTTGTAATGTTCATAACATGGATTGTAGTCCCCCTATTCTCTAGTCAGCCAAACTCTCAATCGAATGGAGATTATCCGTTTTGAGGCCAATCATATTTCAAACATCTAGAACATGGCGATCATCCAAGTCAGATGATCCACTACTGAGTTACTGGGTCTATTGTACTGGCTGGATTGTTCATCTGAATCCCGACTACTACTTCGTAGGTCGCTATGCGGTGTTTATTTGCCCCGGAAAATGCCCAACCTCACGAGGGATATATAATTCATCATCTTCACTCACATAGCCCTAACACAAATGCTATGTAACACAATCTTAGCAAGCCAGTCTAGAATCAGGGGTGGCTCATGGCCTTCAGTCAATACTCCACCTGACCCTGGTCCTCGTATCACAGACTAGCCATTACAGAGATAGATAGAGTCAACAACCTATCGGGCTGAGAGATGTCAGGGCCGACAATTGTGCCCTGTAGCTGGCAGCCTGTGTGGCATTCCATACACTAGCCAGTCTCCGCACCGAAACTCACAGACCTTGGGAGATATACTGCTCGCTTATTCATATTATACAGCGCGAGCCAATTAAAAAAAAGGTCACAATCACTATAAGCGACTCTCCTCGATTCACTGTAAAATCAATATCTGTGTTGCCACGTGCTGAGTAACAACCCACCTTTTCTGCAATGTCCTTGACTAACACACTTGCATACTACTACCGAGGCAGACCCAAGCTGCTGTCCAGGGTCTCTATTGAGCCTACCAACTACCTATCTCGTGGCGGCGGGGTCCTCCCCCCTGCGACTGCATTTTGTTTGTGGATCACAAAGACCGCAGTCAGCATGGTTTCGACTGGGCAATGTGTCGCACGATCTCGCTAGTAGGTACTACTTAAGAGGCTGGCAAATTCCGCTTATCACCTTTTTTTTTTTTTGACTTATTCGTCGGGATCTTCCCTTGTCTCGCCAAAGTCTCTTCCTTTTCATCCCAAAGGGGAAAGTTTGTTTGAGAAAACCGCCATGGACGCTCTTCGCGGACAGGAGCTGAGCTGGGTGAATGGCACCAACGCCATCATCACGCTGGGCTGTGTCTGGCTTGGTTATCATGTACTCGTTGCGCTGTACAATATTTCGCCGTTTCATCCTCTTGCGCGGTTCCCCGGTCCCAAGATCGCGGCGGCCACATATCTTTATGAAGCCTACTTTGACTGGATCCTAGTCGGTCGCTATACACATGAGATCCGCGACATGCATGCGAAATATGGTTAGTCTTGCGCTGAGACTGACGAGTTCTGTCTTGATTCGACTCGCAAAGAAGAATCCGCTAAATGTCCAGTATATAGGTCCAATTGTCAGGATCAACCCAGATGAGCTTCATTGCGATGATCCCTACTTTACAGATGAGATCTATGCTATTGGTGGCAGAATTCGAGACAAGTGGCAGCACCAGATCAACACGGGCGCAGCAGGCCCCGTCGCCGTCACCGGGTTTTCTACTGTTCCTCATGAATTACACCGAGTCAAAAAGGCAGCTTTGGCTCGTTTCTTCTCGAGGACACAAACGCTGAAGCTGGAGGGCGAAGTCAATGACTTTACGCAGCGCGTGGTCAATAAGATGCTGCGCTCCTCCAAGAAGGGAGCGTTTGACGTCAAGGAGGCGTTCAATTGCTTCACGGCCGATGTGATTGCTCAGTACGCCTTTGGTGAGTCCATGGGCTTTGTCGACCAGGAGGGATGGGAACCCAACTTTGCGACATGGGTCAAGAGTTTCTTCCAGCAAGCTTATATGATGAGAAATAACACTGTGGCGCGTAAATTGGCACAGGTTGCCCTGCCAATCTTGCAATACGTCGACAAGGATGTGGGAGTTATTATGCAACAGATGGATGTGACGATTCCCGGCTATGTTGAAGCTGCGATCAAAGACCCCGACAACGGCAGAGTCTTTGCAGATGTCATGCAATCCAACTCATTACCTCCCGAGGAGAAGAACTTGTATTGGCTTTCTGGAGAAGGATTCAATTTTCTGCTCGCTGGTACCGAGACCACGGCCGTAAGCAAAACTTTTGGTGGCATACTGCATGTCGGAGCCTGAAAACTGACTGATTCCTTAGGCGACCCTCACCACCACTGTTTATTACTTGCTCGCACAGCCCGAGACCTATGCTACTCTAATGAACGCACTGCAGGGTATCGACCCTCTCAACCCCAAATGGACCGACCTGGAACAACGCCCCTACATGTGGGCCGTGATCCACGAGTCTTTGCGCGTGATGCCCGGTGTCTCGCACAGATCAGCCAGAATTGCGCGGACAGAGAACTTGAACTACAAAAGTCAAGACGGAAAAGTCGAGTATGTCGTTCCAATGGGAACGCCGATTGGAATGTCGTCCATGATCAACCATTTCAACGAGGAACTCTTCCCCAACCCCAACGAGTTCAAGCCAGAACGATGGCTTCTACCCGACGGCCAGCCCAACACCAAGCTGCAAAAGTTTTTGCTGTCCTTTGGCAAGGGCAGTCGTGCATGTCTTGGAGAGCAGTATGTGGCCAACTCCCCTAGCCATCCTATCAGCACTGCTGCGCTCTTGTTCTTGTGAAACTATGCTGACGCCAGCAATCTACAGGCTTGCATATTGCGAACTGTACCTCATGACGGCCGCAATGGCGCTTCAGGTGCTGCCACGTGCAAAACTGTACGAGACTACCGCTGAGGATATCTCCTATGACCATGATCTGATTGTGCTCCAAACCAAGAAGGGCTCCATCTCGGTCAAAATTACCATAGATTAAACAGACATCCATATATTCTCGCTCCTTGTCATTACACACATCTAATATTATTGTATTTTTAAGGCATATAATATGTTAATCAGGTAGAGTAATTGAACAATCTGCATAGCTTCAAGCTTAATTACTTCTCTTACCAGCTGTACCTGAACATGGCATCCTCCTTATCCGTCAAGTCAGTGCGGGGTGCACCATACTTGTCCAGCACAACCTGCTCATGGGTAGAAGCGCCCTCTTGTCCCTCGCTTTGCTGCAACGCGCGCTTGTTGTCTCTAGTCGAGTTGTCCCGCATGCAGACGAAGCGGTACGCAGCGACAACGACAAACAAGAGACACCACGTCACGATGCCGGTAACGACGCCCTTGAAGTAGCGTGGCTTGTCGGTCCACAGCTGGGGCGCACCGATGCAGCCGGCGCAGTAGCCAATGAAGAACATGGCGCTGACTACGGAGCGCTTGGTGTTGCCCTTGACGTTGGACGCTGTCAGGGAGAGAAGAGGCGACATGACGGCGGTAATACAGGAGGCCTGAAATTTGCAACAAGAATCTAGTCAGCCATGGCGCGTTCATACGTAGCGATATAGTAGACTCTTTAACTTACCAGCCACGAGGCAACAATCATTCCCCAGCCAGACTCTGTCGACAGCTTCAAGAGCAGCACTGTTCCCACTAGCGGAGGGATAATCAGCACCATGACGACCAGTATACGGTTCTTCGGGAACAGCCAGCAACCAGCCACACCGATCCACAGGAGGAGTACTTGGACAGCTCCGGATGGCGCGGTATAGAGCATCGTTTCGTACTTGTCGTAGCCGATGGTGTTGATGACGAGAGAGGCAAACTATGAGACGAATCCATCAGTATAAATCCAACGTGGAACAGTGTGCATCGCAAATAAGAAAAAAAAAAAAGGGAAAAGACTTACGGTAAGAACAGGGCTCTGCATGGTGACCAAGACGCCAAAAGCAAAAACAAACCAGGACTTGCTATCCAACAGAGCCTCGCGCAGCTGGCGCATCGAGAAGGAGGTCTTGTCACCACCCTCGCGGTCCTTGGCCATGCGGAGGGAGAGCACCTCCTTTTCCCGGGCGGTCAAGAACCAGGCGTCCTTGGGTCCGTTGGGCATGAGGATGTAAAAGGCCACGCCGGCAGCACAAGTAATGGCGCCGCACACAATGAAGATGGTTCGCCAGGGGGCCAGCGACAGGGCCGTGTTCTTGCCGATTCCGTACATGAGGAGACAGCCAATGACTTGGGCGATACCGTTCATGCTGACCCAAAGTCTTCAACGGCTGTTAGTCGAATGTTTCCTTTCAGGTTCTCTACCGGATGTCATGATAACTTACGCGGTACGGACGGCGTGTTCGTCCTTTTGATACCAGATGCCCGTCATGGTAACAAACGATGGCGATACGGCACCCTCGGCGAATCCAAGCAGGAAACGTACAGCCGCGAATCCGGCGTAGTTATGCGGTGCAGCTAGGCACATGCAGATTATACCCCATATCACACTATATTCAAAAGGTCAATGGATGTCCGTGTCGATGGGCAGTAGGTATGCAGCTGTGAGAGTCATACATTGTGGCGCCGACAAACTTGGTCAGATGGAGCTTGGACATCAAGTAGATAAAGGGATACTCGGCGACTAATTGGCCTAGAGAACAACAACTGTCAGTATTGATGCATGTAGATGGAAATGATGAAAATGGAATAACTTACCGACGTAGAAAATGGAGGAACACCACGAGTATTGGCTGCTCGTCATGCCGAGATCTGTAATGAGCCCAAAGACCTGGTTATAGTCAGAAGCACGATCGCGCCAACATGCAGTCAACGGCAGACTCACCGACGCATAACTCAGAGTTTGCTTGTCCAGGTATTGCAGGAAAAAGATGAAGCACATCATGGGAAGAATCGTGTAATCAATTTTGCGCAACACCCTCCTCTCCTCTTCTTCCGTGTATGATCCGGCCAGCTCGACAACGTCCCCCTTCTCCTCTATGCTGAGCGGCTTGCCGTCGGTGCTGGGCGCCGGCTCGACTCCAGCGGCCGACTTTTCAATGGTTGTAGTAGCATCCATGGTGGCGGGTGCACAAGGTGTGTTTTACAAGCTGAGAAGAGAAAGACGTCGATGATAGTGCCCGAACTTGGAAATGCACTAGAATGCGCGACACACCATTAAAGTAGCTTGCATAACTTCCCACGTTTTCTCGCGAGGTGCGGCCCTGCTGGAGTCTTTTAATAACAATCCACAGTAGGGGGAGAGAGATATTGTATCTCGTCCTTCTCCCGAGTAAAAGGGCATCTCCACCACTGAGCCGGGGAAATTATGGGCACTGCGGGATAGCGACGCCTAAGCAGTTTGATAGGGACTCTGGCCATAGTCTATGGGCTACGGTTTCGGCTAGTCAGTTGGTAACGACTCGGATCCCGCCGCATCGGAGGACCTCTTCCAGGGCGTTATCAGCGATTGGTGACAGCTAACCGATCCTGGTTCATATACAAAAGTGTCGGCAATCTGTCCCACTCAAGCCACTTACACGGCATTTCATGTCCATGTTGCCGACGATTATTCACTTGCCTGGTTTCCTTGACATTGCTTATTCGGGGGCGATTGCCGACACACTTAGATACAGGCTGGATTGATATTTTCTCTTCTTCATGGCGGGATAGAACTGGAGACTGTTTCTTTGATCTATTGTCAATTATTTCCCCCCTTCGCTTTCAAGAAAACTTTGCGTGTAACAGCGCATCAGCCATCGTTTAGGCACTGTCGCAATCATACTCTAAATTCTCCGCTCGTTCTTATTGTTGAGTTTAGGGAACTTAGTTGACAATGGTCCAAGAAGCTGACCTTAAGCCGTGGTTGCGGCCGTCGCCCAAGGCGTATATCCTCCACAACGCCAACATTGTGGACGTTGCCCAAGGCTCTATTCGCAAGTCTGCCACGGTGCAAGTTCAGAATGGCAGGATCACATCAGTCACCTCAGCTGCCGCTCAAGTGCCCGTGCAACCAGGCTTCATTGTCATAGATTGCACAGGTCAATATCTGTCTCCTGGTCTGATCGACTCGCATGTGCATTTGGTTGCCGTGCCTGGATTTAATGACCTTTCGTCCGCCTTTGGAAACCCAGAGTCTGTCAGTTTGCTCAGACAACCATATGTCTGCTCACAGATGCTGCACCGCGGCTTCACAACAATACGCGACTGCGGAGGTGCACACTCTGCCATCAAGGAGGCCATTGCCGACGGCGTGTTCCCGGGGCCGAGGCTCTTTATCGCGGGGCACGCACTCAGCCAGTCGGGCGGCCACGCCGACTACCGGAACAAGCACGATCACTCGGCATGCTGCGGCGGCGCGACCAACGGTCTGGGTCGCGTGTGCAACGGCGTCGCGCAATGTATGCAGGCGGTGCGCGAGGAGATTCGGTGCGGCAGCGACTTTATCAAGATCATGGGCTCGGGCGGCGTGAGCAGCCCGACGGACAAGATCGACCACTTGCAGTTCACGGGCGAGGAGATCCGCGCCATTGTCGCGTGCGCCCGCAACGCCAAGACGTACGTCACGGCGCACGCCTACACGGCCGAGGCCATTCGGCACTGCATCGAGAACGGCGTCAAGGGCATTGAGCACGGCAACTTTCTCGATGCCGACACGGCCCGCCTCATGGTGGAGAATGGCGTCTACCTGACGCCCACCCTCGTCACCTATGACCAGATGGCCTCGGAGAAGTGGACCGGCTATCTGCCCCCCGAGTCGCAGTCCAAGAATACCGAGGTCCTCGACGCCGGTCTCAGAGCCCTGCAAATAGCGCACGAGGCTGGCGTCAAGATTTGCTTTGGCACTGATCTGTTGGGGCCATTGGGCGCCGCTCAGACGCACGAGTTTGCGCTCCGTGCAAAGGTTCTCCCGTCTCTAGAGGTGCTACGCAGCGCCACACTGAATCCGGCGCGCATGTTGGGACAAGAGACAAACATTGGCCAGGTGCAGGAGGGCTTCGAGGCCGATATCCTCTTCCTCAGTGCTAACCCGCTGGAGGACGTCACGATACTGGACCAGCCCGAACAATTTGTGAGGGGAGTCATGAAAGAAGGTCGCATTTACAAGAGCCGGACAGACGCTATAGTGGAAGATGCAGCGGTGCCGGTCAAGATTAAGCCTCTACTGTAGGTCTTTGCTGGAACAGCCACGAATTGTCGCCCAATAGAGGCAAACCTTCATCCGTAGCAATGCATAGCGTTGGGTATCATTCAGACCATTTCGAGTAGAAACAGTTTTACAAGATGAACACAAGTTTCAGTACTGCTCAATATATCATGACCATTAGTCGACGCGTACTGACTATCATAGAGCCATATCTGACAGACGTTTCCTTCCTCACCCGGCAAAACGCCACCATACATGCATATTGCGCAGTGACGCGTGACCAAGTCTAGTTTTCAGCTCAAGACTCTTCTCGTCGGCTGCTTGGTTCGAGCGCTTGCCAGTCTGCCGGTTGATACTCAGGATCCGGCACACTTATCAATATGCTAATTCATCACACACGAGAAGCGAGTGCTCCTGCTTCGGTCTACTCTTGGCAGTATACTTGACTGGGCTCGGCAATCAGTCTTTCAGCTGCCACTTTGCCGAAAACTCCGACTACTTAGGTAGGCATTGCCATGATGACTGAATACGAGGCAGACAAACAATGGAGCACTTTCAACTAGAATCGAATAGGATTTTCCATGAAAATAATCAATCATAATGAAACGAAGAGCCTTTTTATGACTTTGCACGTTTCATAATAGATATAATCGCTAACTTCTTCCAATTTGAAAACGTAACTGCTATTTTAAGCAGTGTAGGTAACAAAGACGGGGCTTGTGATGACTTTCCCGCCATTGTGTTCCCTACCCACAAAGTAGATGGCCTGTTCATCCCCAGCTGCATGTACACTTGGAGCAATGGAGAACTCGCCCTCGACGCGCCTTGGTAGAGGTGCATCGACCAAATGTTCAACGGACGCGAATAGTTCAGCGCCTCCCTTGATTGATATCTGCTTGCCACCACTCTGGCCAGCCTCTGCAGCCGAAGTAGTGAGACTAAACGTGGGCTGGGACTTGTGCGGGTTGCCATTAAGAGCATTGCCAACCTTGACATAGCCCCCAAGATGACCAGTCACGCTGATCGACGTTGGTGAGGCAGAACTCTCCTTGAAGTAAATATCGACACCGTCGAAATCACCACTCGTATGCGTCTCGAAAACCACTTGCGTCTCGGAAGCCAACTTGATCAGCTCTTCGGGATTGTCAAGCACACCTCCAAACGGCTGTACGTGAGAGATTGCGGCGCCTGATACGAGGATAGAACCTTTCCACACGGCTTCGCGATATCTGTCGTACAAACGAGCTCCTCCCCACTTTACTCGTATCTTCTTCTGGCGGCTTCGAGCAGGAGTCGACTCTGACGCTTCTCGTTGCAAGTCACGGTGAAAGATCTTGCCAGTCGCATCCCAAGCCTCTATTGACTCGAAACCCTCATTTCCATAGAATTGATACTTCAACGAGACTTCTTCACCGACCTTGACCGTGACATCGTCACCCTGAAGCGAGCCCTCCTTGGTACGAACCAGACCCACTAGTCGTTCTCCGGTCGTGGCAAACGTCCTCCGGGCCCGGAGAGACTTGGCCACGTCGGCTCTCTCGAGCTTGTCGGCCCACACACCGGTCAGACCACCCTTGGTACCGAATACGGCGGTGCCCGGGACACCGCCGCCGCAGCGGCCACGGTGCTCGTCCGAGTTGGCAGACACGCCCATCTTCCACCCGCGGCCGACGGCGTCCCGCAAGAGCCACTCAAACAGACCCCAGGCGCTGCCAATCTCCAACAGCCTCTCGAGCTGCGGGTGGTGCCAGGCTAGATTGCACCTCCGCCCGCCCACGTGCGGGATCAGGAGATTCTTGTCGGGCGAGTGTGCGTACGTGGCGTATACTTCATCAAGCGGCCAGGCGCCCGGAGTCAGCTCAGCCGGACCGTCCTCATTCCACTCAAAACTCCGCGCGACATTACCGTGCCGGTCAAAGGGGAACTCGGGCGGCGTCACGTCCGGGTCGTCGAGAAAGACGACATTGTGGTCCCCGCCGGCCGCCGAGTTGCCGCACCACTCGGTGCCGGGAAACAGCACAAACTCGCCTTCGGCATTGGTCTTTTTGATAATATCGAGCGTGGCGTCCCATTTCTGCTTGGTAATGTTAAAGTCATTGGCCGTGTAGCCGACCACGTCGAGACCGGCGACCTTTTGGGCGTAGGAAAAGTTGTAGGTGGTGGAATTGGTGCCGACCGTATCGTCAGAGTGCACATGAAGATCGGCAAAGAGCGCGCGAGGGACGGGCAATGAAGCGTCGGCGGTGATGAGGTCAGACGTTTCTCCCAAGACGAGGCCGTTCTGGTCAATGATGGACACTGATAGCGCATAGTCGCCGCTCAACGGTAGTGACGAAGTCAGGCTGGCCACCGTCCAACCTTGGCTAGGCAAAGAGAGTTCTTGGTCCCAAATTCTTTCGCCAATGTCGTTTGCTAGATCAACTCGCGCCGTCAGCCCTTCGAGGTCTGTCGTCGTGTTACCCCAGGTATCCTCGGTGTGGAAATGGGTAGGAAATGGCGTTTCCGGCCTCACCACGCGCGGCGAGATGGCCTTGACCTTTGCGACAGGGCCTGGCCGGATCGTAAAGGCGATATCCGGCTTGATAGGTGCAAAGCGCGAAGTTCCCACGGGATCGATATACCATCTCATGAGAAAGTTCTCCTCCACAAAGGTCTGGACACGGGTACCGCGCGATCCCCAGCGCCGATCACCGATGCGAACAATGATCTTGTCGCCTGGATTCATGTAGCCGTCGACAATGTCCAGTATGATGGCCTTTTGAAAGGGGCGTTCGTGACCCTTTTGATCAAATCTCACTGCCAGTCCTTGGACTGTGGCTGGGGCCTGACCAGGATGCAAATCAGCTGGGACATGTTCGGCAGAGACGTAATTATCCTGTTCAGGATTTGAGGTCTGAAACAGAGCCCAATCCGAGTAGAACTTGAATGTGCCCTTGATCCACGCGCCATCGGCGAGACCACTGGCGCCAACGGTGTATTCGACAATGATTTCGGTCCATTCTCCCGCTGTCAATGTCTTTGTGTTGCACTCCAGAGTACCCAAGAAAGGCAATCGTTTGGTGTGCTGATACAGTCCCACGGGAGCAAAATACTCGCCAGCTAGAGCTTTGAGCTCCTCATTTGACAAAGTCTTCATCCCGAATAAGGCAATCAGGGCGGCGCTGATGTTGGTGGTATCAGTTCTGAATGCAGAGTTCAAAACTCGCGCCAGAAATCATGGGCCGAGATCAGATAGATATGTGTGTTCACCGAGTGCGCGACAACTTATCGCTAGCTATTGCGGTTTCGCAGGCTCAAATGTTGCCAGGCAGTTTGACTCATGAGATGGGGAAAATCAAGCATCATCCTGTTTGCTAGTACACAAGCTAGATAAACGAAAATACATATGTCGAACAATACTATAAAGCACCAAGGTATCATACGGCCCAGTTTGCGGGCTTAGTGCGACCCGAACCCCTGGGCGGGCGGATGGCGTGATCGATGTCCATAAATGCGCAATTGGCAATGCCGCTCACTGTTCCCAACCTTGTAGGGCTGCCCTAACGGATTGAGCTTCCCATTAGGAAAATTGATACATAGTAAGCTAGTTGATACTACTGGTTGGCTGGGCAGATAGGATTGATTTCTTTGAGACAAAAAGTGAACCAGGTACTAGGGGGTAACTCGGAATGGGATTTGAGATGTCTTTGCTCCATAGAGGCACAAAACATCAGGCCGCCGGTTGACAAAACATAGCTAGGAGAAGGGTTTGATCCATAAAAGTTGATTGCGTGCTCAGGTTCGTCGTCATTCGGGTCCGACGGCTCGTCTCTGCAAAGACATTGTCGCTCTTGCAAGCTTGATGAGATCTGTGTTATAATGGAACAGTGAAAATTTTAAATACATTCAATGAAACGGCATCCATTCATACATTCTCTTCCGCGTTGTTGAAGCTTGATAATAAACCGTGGATAGGTCTTGCCATCAAGATCGGCGCAATAATTCCACCATGTCGAGCCTCGATCTCAAACATGTCGGGCAGCCGGATTCGAAAGTTTGTGACGATGAGCCAACCACCACAACTCAAGTCGATTGGACTCGGGAGGAGGAAGCAAAAGCTAAGCGCAAGTGAGTCTTCAAGTGTCACCCAAATGTTAAGAACCCATGTAGGTATTGACCATGTTACCCCTTTGTTCAGATTAGACTTGGTCATCATTCCGCTTCTGATCTTGGGCTTCTTTTGCCTTCGTAAGTCTCATCAACTCTCTCAACAGACGACGAGGCATGAATGCCATGGCTAATGAGTACAGAACTTGATCGTGGCAATATCGCGAATGCCAAAAATGATACACTGCTAGAAGATATCGGTATAACACAATTCCAATTCAATGTCGGCCAACAACTTTTGTCCCTCGGTATCGTCCTGTTCGAGATCCCGTCCAACATGATCCTCTACAAAGTTGGCCCCGGCAAGTGGCTCACTCTACAGCTCTTTTTATTTGGGCTCGTCAGCACATTTCAGGCTTGGCAGACAAATTATAGCGGCTACCTCGCTACACGCTTCCTCTTGGGCATGACCGAGTCTGGATACATCCCTGGTGGGCTGTGGGCGCTGTCGACCTGGTACACGCGCGAGGAGACGGCCAAGCGGGTCATGCTCTTCTTCTTTGGCAACGAGCTGGGCCAGGCCTCGTCCAAGCTCATTGCCTATGGCGTCTTGCACATGAAGGGCGTGGGGGGACGGCCAGGGTGGTTCTGGCTCTTTGTCATCATGGGAAGCTTCACCATTTGCTGCGGCATCATTCTTGGCTTCTGCTTTCCCGACTCCTTTAGGAATCCTCACAGCACTTTCTTGCCTCGACATGACATCTTTACGCCACGGGAACTCCACATCCTCCGAAGCCGTGTCCTTCTCGATGATTCGAAGAAGGAGCAAAAGAAAGAGCGCATTGGCAAGGAGGCGTTCAAGCGAACTGTCAGTCTTTTCATTGCTTTTTGGTTCGAAAATACTTGTACTAATCTTAATGCTCTAGTTGACCAATTGGCGATTATGGGTTCATGTTTTCATCACGCTTTTGAATAATGGCCCCTTTCGAGCACTAGACACCTATTCTCCAACCATTGTGAACCTGTTGGGTTATCCCAAGTTGCAAAGCAATGCCATGGCATCCGTCGGCCTATTCTTGCAAGTGCCCGTGTCCTTTGTCTTTAGCTACGTTTCGGACCGGTTGTAAGTTTTCCTGCCAAATCTGTAGAAGTGGCAAGTTCAGGACATGCTGACTCTAATCTCTCTTAAGTAACAAGCGAGGTGAGACCGTCATGGGCGCTCTCAGTATGCACATGCTGGGTTACATCTTGGATCGCGCGTTCACTCAGCTCAGCAATCCCGGCGTCCGATACTTTGGCATCATTTGGACACAGATATTTGCCAATTTCCCTCATCCTCTCAATATCGCCTGGATGTCTCTGGCCTGCCGTGACTCGGAAGAGAGGTCTTTGGCCATGGCCATGATCATCATGAGCGCCAATATTGGTGCTATCTACGGTGCACAGATTTTCGAGTCGGATGACGCACCGCTCTACCGGCGCGCATTTACTGTGAATCTTTCGTTGCTGGCGGGAGCGCTGGCATTGGCAATTTTCAAGTATGGCGACGATGTTCGATTGCGAAGGAGAAAGCAGTCGGGTTCCATGTAGATATTCTTTTATGAATTTAGGCGAATCCACAGATGTTGGCCAGACAAACTTGCAAGGTACCATTTCATCTTATGATCCTTGATTGAGGATCCAGTGTCCTGGGACGCTGTGCTAACTCCTAATCTCCATTACAGCCCTATACTCAGGTACAAGAGGATCGCCATGCCATATTCCTCAGCCTCGATCCACCATGAAATACAAGTTCCCTCTTTCGGTATTAATCCAAATAATCCATGAATTTTTAATTGGAGATTAGAAATGAGACTCATTTGTTGGACATCAGTGCATTCGCTGAGCTTTCTACAAGGATAAAGAGACTGTAGCACTATTCGCCCAGTGCTACCCTGAAGATCCATGATTATTGACCTGGCATCGTCCCTTGCATTGAGTGCAACAATCGACAGCGACTGTGTGATTTATTTCTGGCTTTTTGTCGCAGCACAAGACTTCACGATACTGAATTGAATCAATTATCTGTATTCAAATTCTCTTTCTCGGGTATGCTTAGGCGGCTTTGCGATCACAAAATCGTACGAGTTGTCGGGCCGGAACCCGCCGTTACCGATTGATTCCCCAGAAGGATTGGCGACCCCTAACGTTAGGGAATGTTGGGTCCATCAGCCGCCCTATGCGTCCAGTGATAGGGCGTTTTCAGCACGCCTTTAGCGCCCTTCTCCACGGGTTTTATCTCGCGCTAGATTACCCCAAGTTAACAGTCATGACATTCGGTACCGAACCAAGCCGTCGGGTGCTTGGCGGACAATGTGTAGCCGACTTCGGGTTGGCCTTAAAAGAAGGAGCAGCCAGTTTCCCGATCACCACCAATTTGGTTGGTCGGCTACCTGTCTTTCTGCAATCGCATCATTTCCTCCACCGAGCTTGGTCCGGCCTGATGACCACTGCATAGCCTACGTAGTAGCTACCGCATCGCCATGGCGGGCATCACGCTCGACTCTCCGGCGGCTGCGAGACGACGGCGCAGAAGGCGAGTTCCAGACGAGAACCGCAAGAGAGCCCCTAGAGCGTACGTCCAAAGGCTAAAAAAAGGGAGAAGAAAAAATCACATCAGTGAGAGGATAAAAGTTGCAAGCTGACCTATTTTGCCTCGATCCAGATGCGACCGGTGCAAGGCAAGGAAAAGCAAATGTATAGAGACAGATTCGGGAATTTGTCAGAGATGCCGACAAAACTCCCTGTCTTGCCATTTTCAGAGGTATGTCATTAGTTGGTTATCAGCCATCATTTCGAGTGCTAGCAATCGACCTAATGCAATTCAAGACATGCAAATCAAACTCTTGCTGTCTATCATTTATTCCAAATCACTCGCTCAACGCAATGATCCAGAACCTAAACTCACACATAAGCTGACACTTTCCCAGAGAAAAGAGCCCCGGGGACATCCAATCCGATGCCTTGAAAGACGGGCCTATTGAGTCTCCCGCGAATCTAGAAGTAGACACTTGTCAGGCAAGTCCTGAGGGGAGATTCTCCACCGATGGGCGTGAGTCTTCACCTATCATACCTAGTGTGGCAGTATCATCACTGTGCTAACTCATGATTAGATCCAACAGAACGATTTATGTGGCCTCGATTCTTGTCGAGGCTACGAGAAACCTTTTCGCTGGACTCTGAGCCTGAAGATGAACAAGATGTTATCAAATCTATACAGGCAGTAGGTACCCCAATCTTCTATCCAAATTCAGTGGCTCGGCTAGTTGATATGGTACTGATGAAGAGCACATCGTTTTAGCAAGCACTGCGTTCACCGCCGATACAGCCAGCCGAGTTACAGAGACTCCGTAAAGCAGTAGATGCCTTTCCCCCTCGGCCCGTCGCAAACTTTTTACTGTCCGTTTGTATTGACCATGGCACGGACTCTTTCTTCTACTTTAATCAACCACAATTTCTGGCCGAGATCAATGAGTTTTATAGCGATACGTCATCTCGTCTGCGTACAGACTCCAGCTTCATATGTCTCGCCCACGCAGCGTTTGCTCTGGGGAGCCAATGGACAACCCTGGAGCGACCAGAGAGTTCAAGATCCTCGCTCCTAACAGAAGATAGTGATCCTGGTAGAATATTCTACAACCAGGCTCGGTCATTGATACCGGATGTCATCGATATGCCCTGTCTACGAGCTGTTCAGGTGAGTAGAAAGACTTTCCAAATACCTCAACTTTGTTGCCTTTCATTTGATCAAGGCGCATTATGGTTTCCACTCTTTTCATACATACCTACGCAAAGCGAGCAGTATCACATTTCAATTATCTTAAATCTGAATCATCTAGAAACATGCTGACTTTGTCCTCGTTGCCAGGCCCCTTTTGTTATGGGAGTTTACCTTTTACCCGCCAGCGCCATTGGATCATCATACGTGTACCTTGGCCTAGCCCTCCGCAAGGCCCTAGCACTTGACTTACATCTGACCTCTGACGATGCAACACTTAGCGAAGAGGAACAGGAGATCCGTCGGAGGATCTGGTGGTCAATATTTTCTTTGGAGAGGTAAGTGACATTGTGCGGATGCCAACTGATGGAATTCTAACCTCCTCCTGAGGTCCTCGACAGTAAAGCTAAACCGGCCTCGATCAATCAATTCAGCAATAATAACCAACACCTTTCCCCAACCGTATGCGCCTTTGGACAAATTGCAAAAGTTCAACAACATTCAACACCAAATTGCTGATGCGCGCTTGATGATGATACTCGACCGAGTAGCAGAGCCGTCGTAAGTATCATCACACTCACATAAACTCAGTGCTTTTCTTCTAAGTCTTGTAAGGGAATGGCCGCAAGTGCTGGATGGATCGACACCATTTGCAGCAGAGTTGAAAAGCTGGAAACGCTCACTACCAGATTCACTCAAGCTGCAGAATATACACCCTCGATCATCGTACTATCGGGCAACTTTTCATCTTTACACAAATTATTACTTCACATGGATTGCCATGGGTAAAGTCAGCGTGGTTACAGTTGTCCGCGCCAGACTGCGCTATCATTTTGGTCGTGAGTCGGATCCACCAGAAATTCCTCCACAGTAAGTTGCGATCAGTGTTTCTTATTCTCACTTGTTTGTACTTTTGATACAATTCCTGCATGGAGACGACGTCTCTTTCTGCAGCGGTCACGTCTACAACTTCCGGAGCAATGGCTGATTTGCATCGCTATAGTATCGAGGCCTTGTCCAGGTCCTGCGTCAAGGCTGCCAAGAAGATGCTTCGACTATTCGAAGAGATTCGAAGTACCGGCAATTTGACACGCTTCTCCTTTACCGACTTTCAGGCTTGTAGTATTGCGACTATCGTCGTCATACTTGCTGGTATTTTGCAACGCGATGGAGGGTATGAAGCTCAGGTCACGTTTGGTCTAGAGTGCCTGAAAAGGATGGCCGAGGGCAACGTCACGGCCAAGATGGGCGTGAGCTTTGTCGAAGCACTGCAGTCAATCGCCGACGAAGCTGTTCAGAAATTACAACGGGTAAAAAGTCCTGATGCGACAGTCTTGCCAGCAATACTGCCTCCGAGCCAGCAGTCTGATTATAATAGCTGGGCGACCTGGCTATCAAGGCAGAACAACTCTACGGGTGTGACTGGCCCTACACCGGAGCTATTGCAAACATCACCAAGTGAAATTACAAACCCGATCAACAATACAAACTGGACCCTGGAATCGAATCCAACTGGTTTCACCACATGGGACGGCGCGAATGTATTACAACAGCTTTCGGTTCCCAACATCCCTGCAGCCGGTCTAGCGCAGCAACAAGGATCATTCGAACCACAATCGTTAGACAGTAGGTTTCTCTCCACCATGTACAACGATGACCAGGCTTTCCTCATGGGACTGACTGGTTTCGATGTTTTGGGCTTCTCTGGACTGCAAGATGAACTTTAAAAAAAAAAAAAAAACGCCAAAGAAGAATGAGCCAATGCGGCTTTGGTCCCCCAGGCAGGCCAGGCAAACCAGAGGCAACATCAATGTCAAAGCGACGCGCAGATCTTAACAAGATCATACCCATGCAGCTTACCAGTCACAAAGACAACAAGAAATTACCGTGCTTGCCGTGGACTGTTTTCTCTCCGACAATCCCTGGCCCCCTTGTTCGCAGAGTGGCTCCTAATTACCAAGGTAGCAAGCATCTCTCTGTTTGAAGCTGGAGTAGTATTGCGCCATGCTTTCCAGATCGAATGCGTATTCGCGATCGTCATTCATAGCCGGATATGGTGGTGGGTTGGCCAAGTCGAGCGATCGCCTCCTGACCCAAAGATTGCATTGCTTGTAATACATCTAAGCCCTACGAGAGGACTGCCTATGCGGGCATATGCTGCGAGTCTGGCGTTTTAGGGGTCTTCTACTGCATTCAACGGCCAAGGGAAATTGCCTTGAATGCTGGTTACAAGGCACTTCCTTGTCACAGCAAACCACATCTCACCAAGCCATGCAGCCATGCAGCTGCCGTACATACTACCTTGATGATGCATTCCGCGCCATAGATATGGGGAGATCACTTCTTTCACTCAGACAAACATTAGAAGCTCTACACAGTACCTAGTCACTCTATTCAGCATTCAACTTTCACCGCTTCATCCTCGAGGAACTATCAGTAACCAGTCGCCACAGGTCCAGTCCAAATTCGGCACAGTTAGCTGAAGGCCTATACACTAGAAAGCGACTATCTCGACTATCTGTTGGAATATCTTCTTTCAGGCCTGGCTCGTCCGGCGCGTCTTTATGGTTATGGCTGCGTGGCAAGGTACTATACATATGTGGGCATGTTATGGATTTCCACTAGCAACAGCTCATGAGCCGCGCTTTCGTATACCAAATGCTCAATATTGGAATGATCAACAGTTGGCAGTTTCGCTCTCAACGGCCATGATGATCTGATTGTTCCAGTTGCAGTATAGCATGACGAGGCAAGCAGTGCGATCGACAACGTACAGGCTGCATGAGCTGCACTTGCTGGGTATCATTTATCCCTTTCAAGACATTCTCGAGCATGATTACAAGGACCATGCCTCCTTTGGGGGGATAGAGGCACGACAATCTTTGCAATAGTTTGTGTTGAAAAACAAAAGTCTCCGCATGGTTTTCTATGCAGAAAGAAAATCTATGGAAGCTCATAGTGGATAAGGGCTCCCACCGGACCAACACTGAACTTGCAGCGGTACTTGCGCAGCCAGGGATCCAGGGTAGTCTATCGATCCTGCGATTGGGAGATGCCGAGGCCTAGGCTGCCTGGCTGTACCTATGCTCCAGTCAATTTTCGATAGTGGTTAGCAATTGTGGATTGCTATCCTGGCCAAGTGATAGCGCAGTCGTGGACGATGAAAAAAACTTTTGCGCCAATTTCCACGATATATCCGGGCCGGGCGGGTCGCTCCGGAGCTGTCTCCTCTAGTCTCTCCTCTATAAATCTCGAGTTCCACCGCGGGACTGGCGCCGATAGGCGAGTGGCGTTCCCGGGAACTGGGGACATCCTTCTGGCCACGCGAACGGCGAATAAACTTCTGCAAGTCAAATCCTGAGAAATGCATAGGAATGGGTCGTAAGCATGAGCTAGTTGGTGCAACTGAGCCGCCCATCTCACGAGAATTGAACGATGTGTTTCAGCATAGTGCCTAAACAGGGAATCTTGGCCACTATTTCATGGTCATAATAGTACGATTTTACAAGTCAAGTTTATGTATCTGAAACACTTCAAGTTCCAGCAAATGGGGCCAACCTCGATTAGAAAAGAGCAAGACCTGCGTTCACCCGCCTCTTTGGACTTGCGAACTTGATTGACCTCTTGATAAGGCTCTCCCGCAGTACAATACACATGGGAAGAGGCAGAGAATGGTGTCTAGGATTAGTCTACGTGCCGAGTTGGCAATGACTGATATGTCAAAGATCATCAAAAGAAGTCTGTCGATACTAGTAGCGGATTTGGGGTCCGGTAGTATTACACGTGGATACGTCTGGATGAATGACTATACCAAGAAGGAAATGGACTTCGGCGACCCTGTTGATCAGAGAACAAGGTATAGTCAGGGGGCGGATGCGTATGCGGACACCGGCCGCGGAAGTTACCAACAGTCCGGTTGATATTTAAATGGTATTTATCATTTTAGAGACGGACCCTTACTGATACTCGAGTGCTCCTGTCTCTTTGTTGTGGTTCATCAGTTCTTACCCTGAGCAAGTTCTCGTTCTGTGTTTGCAAAGTCGTCCTTGTCAATTATTTGGGAGCAGTCTTCCTCAAACACCAAGGAAAAAAAAAACAAGATAATCGCCATGTCTCGCCAAGGATCCGTCGACGACATTGAGTCGCAGCAGAAGAACGGCATGACTTCTTCTGCCACTGCTGCCCCCGTCGAGCCGCGTCACAGGCAGCTTGCCGACCCTTCGCCCTTGGGTCTGCTTGCTTTTGCCCAGGCTCTGTTCCTCGTCAGCTTGTTCGGTGTCAACCCTCAGGGCGTTACTACTCCCAACATTCTGATTGCCAGGTAAGTTTGATTGAATTCTCCAGAATATCGAAAGATCAACAAAGCTCATACACGTGGCATCATAGTCTCATTGCCTACGGCGGTCTCGGTCAGACCATTGCCGGTATCTTTGCCTTTATCCACGGCAACACCTTTGGCGCCACCGTCTTTTGCACCTATGCCGGCTTCCAGCTCTCGTACGCGCTCATCTACCTTCCCGGCTCGGGCATCATTGCCGCCTACACGGATGCGACCACGGGCCTGCCCACGGCCGACTTCCTGACGGCTATTTCCCTCTTCATCTGGGCCTGGTTCATCGTCACCATGATCTTCACCGTCGCCGCCGTCCGCAGCAACCTCATCATGCTGCTCGTCCTCGTCTTTACCGATCTTACCCTCTTGTTCCTCGCCGTCTACTACCAGACCAGCATTGCCGCCTGCGGTACCGCCGCCTCGGCCTTTGGCTTCGTCACTGCTTTCATGGCCTACTGGGCTGGTGCCCAGGCGCTGTGGAGTGTGACCAATGGCGTCAACTTGCCCATGATCCCGCTCACCAAGCAGGAGAAGTCTGCCTAAGTGGACGACTGAGAAGGATTTCAGTACGAATGGACTAGAACGCAAGTTGATGTTTCTTGTCAGCTTGTATCATTTTTTCAAAAGTTACAATTACAACGGTGCCGCCAAATACCCCGGGAATGCGCTCCGAATCATAATATAATATCTTCTTTTACACATTACCCTTTGACAATGAATCAGTGATTTGTTATCGCTTTGTCTTGACACGTAAGAGTATTGCGATTGACCCATCTCAGCCATGAGTTCAATTTTCCAAATATCTGAATGTCAGTTTGCAGGATCGTCGCAGCTACAGACTAGCTCATGCGAAGAGCCACAAGTTCAAGCTCAAGAGGCTGCAAACTCGGGCAGAGTAGGCTTCTTCTGCCGCCTTGATGCTGAAGTGGAGGCACAGATCCCTCATACTTAAATTGAAAGTCCTGATATCACTGTCTCAAATCATGATAAAGACGGGACGGCTACTCGACCCAACTGGCGTCGGGTATTCTTGTCGATTTATCAGACATTTTACAGAGATCAATACCGGGGGGTTGTCAAAGAAGGTCCAATCGTCGCCCTGAAACACTTGGCCGCTGTCGATGCGGCTACAAACCTTTACCTTTTGGCAGCGAAGCGGGGATTTGGTCAACGGGCCCCGACATTTCAGCGAGCACTGCCACACCTGCCACCATATACGCAGATAGCCTGACAAGGCTCCGTAATGTTTTGGGCATCAAGGCATTCTCCAAGATCTCACCTTTTATCTAGTCATTACAACTCGCCGCAGCCCTCATTCGATAGCGACCACAACTTTCTGATAAAGTAGTGGGAATCGGGCCAATTAAGAGTCTTTCCCAAGTAGCTGCAGTCGCCAGAAGGAGCAGCACAGCGATGGAAGCCAATGTGAATCAATTTGTGAGAAATCTTCGCCATCTATTGCCATAGAAGTTTGTACTCAAAGCCGCATTCGGCCAGCCGTGTCATGGAATCGTGAAAATGCCCAGTTTAAAAGGCCCGTTCAATCGGCGTCCTCACTGGCCTACCTGATTAGTACATTGTATTCAAGCCAGATACGGTCTCCAATTCACGTATTTAGGTCAACACTTGACCCTGAATTCTTGAAGTAACACGCTGGAAATAATAGTCTTTCGCAATTAGAGTTTCGCTCATGGCTGATTTGGCTGTAGGCGAGCCTCGCCCCACGATGTTTCGACGATACACTGAATGAATGGATATAGGTCATGCGATGGTTGGGTGATGGATTGTGACTGTACTCTGTATTTTTCATTGTTATTCTTGGCACAGGCTGCAAGGCTCTTTTGACCCCGACCAGTCTGTCCGACTTCGGCATGTACCCTTACAATTCGGGATTGGCTGCCGTACCGATTGCTTTTGTGAGGTATAGCCTAGGTATCTGGGGTCGCCCCCGTGCAAATGCTGTAAGGCTGTTTCGACAAGCACCTATATTACCACCGAGGCGGATAGCTTGACAACATTTTGGGATGCATTATTTGTACCCTGAAAAGAATTTTAGAAATTACGCCAATAACGAACAAGACCGGTCCATAAAATAGAGCAAAACAGTATTTCATACTGGTTTTAAATGTTCGTCTCAACAGCAGCGGCGGGGCGTCCCAAACTCTCGCAAAGGCAGGCCGAGGGGAAATGTCACAGACTGCAGTTTACTATGTACCACACTCTGCCTTGCTCCATCGTATCTTTCATGATATGCGGCTATGCAGATTATCTCTACGACCATCGATGCTCTGATACGGCTGCTGAGCAGGGGCTGTGCAGTTCTGCATGGAAGGCCCACGACCCCTACAGAACCCTGTCAGCTGAAAAGCGGGGTAAGCGTTCATCTCTTCGCCTTGATAGATTGCCTGTCTTGAAGCATTCGAAACATTAACCTCTACGACCATCGTAGTAGCGTTATGGCTACCCATCATCACCTCAATTTCAGGTTGAGAGGGATCCCAACGAGATATGAGACAAGGATTGACGTCCGTGAACTCGTCAAAAGCGTCCTTTCCATTGAACCTGGCGCGAGCGTTATTATACATTCGCTTGTGGACAATCCGATCGAACCCGACAGTCAAGTCGCAACCTTGAGCTTTCATACTCTCCCGGCCGATTTAAGCGATGGGTCAAAAAACGAGTGGTCATTCAGCTTGCCGACAGATGATTCTTCATGTGAGGATGAGTTTAGCCGCATGGACTATCTGGTATTTGACACACATTTCACGGGGTTCACACCTTTACAACACACAAAAGCTGAGAACTGCCATGTCAAGTGAGCTATACATCTTGGATTTGCAATATCCAAAGGGGGGCAAAGAAACGCTAAATGAGATACAGTCTAATTGCGATATCTGGCCTTGGTGGTCATGCTTTCGGTTCCTTTAAAGAGAGAGGAGGACCGTTCATGTGGCTACGGGATGTGCTTCCATTTGATTTCCCTGGTGCGAGAATCCTCATTTACGGATACGATACTCAAATCGAGCAAAGTGTTTCTTTCCAGAATCTAGCAGACCTTGGAAAGGCCCTGGGAATTGACTTGAGAAGTCTTCGTGTTGGTTTACTTTTCCTTGAACCACAATACCCTGCTGACCTCGCAATCAGGTACTCGAGGAAAATGCGGCCATAGTTTTCATTGGACATAGTCTTGGGGGACTTGTTATCAAAGAGGTTCGACTATTTATTGTGACTCCAAGGCCATTATCCTGTCTTATACTGATCATATTACTGTAGGCTATGACTAATTTGCATGAGGCAATGAACAAGCAGAGCGCCTCAATCTTGCATTCTGTCTCTGGGTTCTGCTTTTTCGGCGTACCTCACCAAGGGATGGCGATTGAGTCATTAGTCCCTTTGGTCATGAACAATCCCAACCGGAGCCTTCTCGAATCTCTGAATAAAAATTCGGCACTCCTCCAAAGTCTTGAAAGGGATTTCAGCAATCTATTCGTTGCCACAAAGCCTGAAATCTTCTCATTCTACGAAACAGAGAAATCCCCGACTGCAATCAAGGTGAGCCGTTGGATTCCCCCCAACAACCAGCTTGAACCATTGCTGAATACCTTTGCAGACAGAAAAGGGCAAATGGGAACTCTGTGGGCCACCTGAAGTTTTGGTGGATGTCTCATCTGCGACATGCGGCTGCAACGAGCGATATCCTATCAACCGAAATCATTCGGAGTTGGTCAAATATCACAATCGCCATGATGGTTGCTACGTACGTGTCAGAAGCGTGTTAGAGCCACTGTTGGGTAAAGAGAGTCGTCTGGCATTTGAGTCCAAGAAAGCTGAACATAGCGGTACGTGACTGGACTTCGGACTACGTTCACAATGAATTATATTGACTTTTCTGGCATAGTGTCACTTTCGGATGACGATTGGGGTTTGTAGTTTCTTGATGAATTTGATACAAGTACTGACATGTCATAGAGTCTCTGAGATCACTCTCATTTCGTGAGCAAGAGTCAAGATACCTTGAAATTCACACCGCAAATGAGACTTGCGAGTGGCTACTTCAAGAACCGCAATATCAGACTTGGATGAACAAAAGTCACGGCCTGTTCTGGATCAAAGGGAATCCTGGAGCGGGCAAATCTGTGCTTATGAAGTTTGCTCTTGATGAAATGAAGCGCAGGCAATCTGGTGAAGTTGTCGCATCCTTTTTCATCCATGGTCGTGGAGTCCTTCTTCAAAAAACACCCGCTGGCGTCCTCCGCGCATTATTGAGCTCAATACTGGAACACTTTCCTGCCGATCTCTCTCGGGTCACCCAGCGATTTAAAGATTACCAAAGACAGTTTGGATCCTATGTAGAAGGAAGGTGGGATTGGACACAAAAAGAACTTGAAGACTTCATGTCTTATACCCTGACCAAGGGTACCATGAGTCCTGCCACAGTCATCTTCATCGATGCACTCGACGAATGTGGAGAAAACTATGCCAGAGGCTTATTCGCGTATTTCAAAAACCTAATGGAAGTCGTCGAGCGGAAAGGGGGCCAGGTGAAAATCTGCATTTCCTCCAGGCATTATCCAATTCTTGGCCTGAACACAATTCCAACAATATCTGTGGAAGAGCGAAATGACACAGATATTCGATTCGTTGTCCAGGAACTACTTCGGGAAATCCAGCCAAGAGCAAAACGCCAAGAGGTCGAGAAACAGATCCTTCTGAAAGCCCAAGGGGGGTTTCTATGGGCAATTTTGGTAACGCAGCGGGTTATACACAACAGTATAATTGGTACAAAAAACAAAAAGCTTTTTGAACAGCTCACAGTTACTCCCGAGACACTTAACGAACTATATACCGATATTCTGAAAGACACCGCCGGGAAAGAGAGATTACAAATGATCAAACTTTTCCAGTGGGTTCTATTTGCCGAGCGACCTTTGTCTTCACAAGAGCTACGGGAGGCGATCGCCACTGATAGGGACATGACTTGCGCGACCGTATCTCAACTCAGAGATCATGACAGCTGGATCGAAAGCTTGAATCAATTTGAGATACATATCAAACACATCACGAAAGGATTGGTGGCATTCGAAACTCGCGACCTTTGGGAACAGTACGAACTTGGGGGAGAACCTTAGGACCGAGAAGCTCAGTTTATCCACCAATCTATTGCTGACTATATGCTAAAGAGCTTTCTTCAGCAGCACGGGCCGTCCCTGCATGCCAACCAAACTCCCACTGGGGCTGGCCACTTTGAGATATCGAGATCCTGTCTCAGATACATTATGTTGAGTGAAGTGCTTGAGGCAACCCAGCTCTCTCGTAGCCTCCTTTGCGCAACCTTTCCGCTGCTACCGTATATGATCCGGTTCTTCTTTCACCATATTCGGAAGGTGGAACAGGAAGGAATTCTCCAAACGGACTTGCTCCCACTTCTTTGGGATGAAAAGGCAGGACCGTCAGACAAGATTGCCAGGCTATGGAGAACCTTAGACCCTGAAAGTGCACATACACCGAATGGGTGGCCATACATTGGTGCAACACCCCTCCATGTCCTAGTCGCACTCGGGTCCAGGAGCGCATTTGAAACGTTTCTGCAAGAAAACCCAGAGGTTGACGGCAGAGACTTGGAAGGAAACACACCACTACTTCTTGCCATCAGAGAGTCCCATCTTGACATGGCCCTGATGCTGGTGAACCGGTCCGTTGATTGGAAACTTCGGTACGCCAACGGGATTGACGAGGATATCAGACGGATTGACAACACTGACAATCGAAAATCATACGTGGTAGATATCAACGCGGAGAATTAGGATGGTGACACTCCTTTAGTCATCGCCCTAGAAGCAGAAGCCAGAGAGTTGATTCTCGGACTAATTGAGGCGGGCGCTGGCCTTAACGTTCCGGATAAAGAAGCCGCATTGGTTTCTTATGCCGTTCGTAACAGGGACAATCATCTGTTTATGCAACTTATCAAGACAGGTTTCCAACTTGACGGTGCCATATATTTCGTGGTGCAGGAGCTATCCTACGAGGGCAAAGATGATGTTCTTGAAACATTCCTTTCCGAATTGCTGATAGCGGGTGCAAACACATGCCGATTGATGGCGTTCAATGCAACATCTAACGCCGATACGTACTATAATAATGTCAACAATGAAGATGAGGACGACGATGCCATTCTATTGGCGTCACGAAGAGGACAAGCGTCTACAGTCTCTACTCTTCTAATACATGGCGTATCGGCCACTTACCAGGGCAGTAACGGACAGACGCCCCTCGATTTAGCTCTAGCCGGCGGGCATCTTGATATAATCAGGCTGCTTCTCGAAAAAGGCGTCGACCAAAATGCTTTATGCAATAAGCACGGACAGATACCACTTGAGTTAGCTTTAGGAAAGGGGCAATTCGACGTCGCCAGATTGCTTTTCGAAATGGGCGCCGACCCGAATGCTTTAGGTAGCAATCAAAACCAGACACTACTTTAGTCAGTTTTGGGAAAGGGGCAACTCGACGTCGCCAGACTGCTTCTCGAAATGGGCGCCGACCCAAATGCTTTAGGTAGCAGTAAAGACCAGACACTACTTCAGTCAGGCTTTTAGGGTAAAAAGGGG